TACCTTAATCAAAGGAATATATCGAATCCTTAGAACGATTCAAATTGATTGATCGAAGCTTCTTACTTAGCTCTCAAAGCTTTGCAGAACCTTTGCCAATGCTACCCCTTGCTATTAAATAAATTTGATAGCAGTGAACTTGCATATTGTGTATTAGATTGGTTGGTTGGAGTGCCCATTAGATTCCTTCCTTTCTCTTTCACACAAAAACGAGGCAAGCTCGTTATCGGGAGCTCTTACATCCGGAACTCCCTACCTCTACAATCTATCACAATCCTGCACTGTCAATCCTATTTACTACAACTCGAACTACGTAGCCGTCTGATGTTCCCTAGCTCCCAGCAACCTCTAGCCCTGTTAATGTCCTAGGGACCTCCGAGGACCTCCTGGGAACCTCTTCAAAGGTCAATCCTTTCAATCTGAACTACTCATAGGTCATTCCTCTCCTCGGTCGCGGTTACCATAGCTCCCTTCGAGCTCCAGCTTGCTCCTAGCACGCTACAACATAAATCCCTTATACCAAAACCTACCCTAAGACCTATTCTGACCCAGGTCTTACAGTATGCTTACTATTACTATCATTACAATACTCAATATAACTCTGTCATTATCTTGGAACCAGTTTGCCTAGTCACTCTGCCCCATTATTGACACGCCTAAATTTTGGCTAGACGTCTATGCTGTGAATTGTGACATTTTCATGCATAGATTCTGTAAGACCTGGGTCAAAATAGGTCTTAGGGTAGGTTTGGTATATGAAGTTTTATGTTGTAGCGTGCTAGGAGCAGGCTGGAGCTCGAAGGGAGCTACGAGAACCGCGACCGAGGACGGGAATGACCTAGTAGTGCCTGGAACGACGAAATGATGACCCTTGAGGGGGTTCCTAGGAGGTCCAGGGAGGTCCCTAAGGCGTAGGGAGGTTAAGGAAGGGTGCGGGACCGTACGGTATTGCGTAGTAGGAGTTGTACTCGCTAGAACGTCAATATAGGATCGAGTAGGTCGTATATGCAACTGGGTCTCGAGAGTGTAAGCTCCCGAGAAGGGATATGCCAGGGAGGGTAGGTCCCTGGGGGCGGGGCTTGAGGATGGACGTCCTCGAGTGTGGGAGGTGGTAACGGAGAAGCAATACGTAGTTCGACGTGAGGGGTAGCTTCGACGTTACCTAGATCGAGGTCCCGAAGCTTACGAAGTAGCTAGGGAGCTCTGGGAGGTTTGGGGAAGGGTAGCTCACCAAAGCGGGTAGGCGTTGGGGAGCTCGGAGACTCACTCGGAAGGCTTAGACTTGAAGTGAAAGTGTATATTCGATCGTATAGACGATCAGAGAGACAGTAGACAGAAGTAGAGAGAAACAGAGGTAGAGAAACAGAGAGTAAAGAGAAATCCGTATGGTTAGCAGGTACAAAGGGACAGGGACTGGACCTATGCAAAAGGGTGTGTGTTCAAAATATACCAAGCTAGCGCTTGGGGACGTTGCAGAGCTACTTAAATAGGTACGGGAAGTGAACAAGGGAACATCAGAACCTAGGGAGCACGAGGCAGATAATCGAGAGAGACAGGCGATCGAGATTGGTACTTAATGGGGCTGGTGTCGGAGGGCTTCATACGCGTGTCGGAATGGTTGTCCGGACGTTTTCAGGGGGTGGTGGTACTGTCTTGGGGAGGTGCGTACTGCCTCAGGGATGTCCTGGGGAGGTGCAAGGAGAGTCGGGAATGTGAGAACATATGGGCTGATGCTGGGGCTGGTCTGGTTATGGTCAGGGCATGACAGATTCATATTGAGAGGACTGTAATTGAGACCCAGATTGACAGTCAAAGTCAATACTGAATCAGTCTAATAAGTTGAAGGGACCATATACCCATACTACCACAAGTTGGTTAGTTTACCCATCCCCGATACTACCTTCGGATAACAGTCTACCTGCTTGTCAAGCAGGATTATACCAGACTCAGACTACATCTGAAGGATGACCATTCACGTATGACATACCAAGGTGATTTTTATTGGACCTTACACTTGCAGGAGTTTGGAAGAACTTACTCAAGTGACCATGAGCCAAGGATTGACTCGAAATGACTTTCTAGAACTTAGGAATTATCAAATACTCTTTCTAGAATGAGATCATGCATTAATCTAAAAGACTGCAATTTAGTCTAATAGACCAATCAGGTTGCATGGTTGAGGAAAATGACTAGAAGAACGATTGAAGTACTGCGAGGCTCCGAAGACATATCAAATGAATGTCAAAGAGTCCTGACGTAGAAAATATCGAAGAATGCAATTAAATGAATACTATGCGTAACTCCCTTGATAGAGTATAGGCACAATGGGTGTCTGTTGAAAGAGAGAAGCAATTAGTTTAATCCAGATGAATCAGATTGATAGGATTAGAGCTGAGAAGAGATAATTTGCCTCTGGATGAGATGACAAACAATTGAAAGAAGTGTTGAGCATCCATGACAAATGAACACTATTCAAGTCATCTGAACAATGAAAATTAAATAAATACTAAAGTACCTACCTATATTTAGAGGTATACTAGAATCTTGGAACCAATTTGGATCAAATAAGAATGATTAGATTCAAATTGAATGTCTTATAACTTATTATAGTAGTTTCCTTGTGGCTCTGAACATTTGTTCTATTAAATTAATTGTTATATCCTGTACGTATAAATAGTGATCATATGGATCTGGGAATACAAGTGATTTTGGAATGACGTTGCAGTGCTAATCCATAAAAAGGAAAGACACACTCCCACCAAACTGAAGCCTCTTCACTAGCAGCCATTCAGGCCCAGCACTTGCGAGTATAGAAATGTCGTGTTTTGCTCCTTGTGACTGTGTGAAGTTATATCCAGTTGTTGGATATTCTTTGAACTTAGGATCAGTCATTGGTTTTAAGGGCAAATCATGCTATGTAGTTGTGCCAGCACATAGTTCTAGCCTTCCGTGGGGGTCTGTGTGTTTCAGTTTTAATTTACTTTGATTTAAACCTCCAATTCTTGATATACCCATATCAATACCACCAAGTACAAATAGTGCTGAATCTCTTAATCAAAGGAATATAGCAAATCCTTGAAATGATCAGATTGATTAATTGAAGCTGTTCCTTAGCTTTCAAAAGCTTTGTGGAACCTTTGACAAGGCTACCCCTTGCTATTAAATAAATTTGATAGCAGTGAACTCACATATTGTGTATTAGATTGGTTGGTTGGAGTGCCCATTAGATTTCTTCCTTTCTCTTTCACACAAAAATGAGGCAAGCTCGTTACCAGGCCCAAATGGCTGCTAGCAAAGAGGCTTCACTGAAGTCTGGTGGAAGTGTGTCTTTCTTTTTTACAAATTAGCACTGCAATGTCATCCCAAAATCATTTCCATTCCCAGATACATCTAATCACTATTTACACACACAAGACATAAAACAGCACAACACAATTAATTTAATAGATTAAATATTTGGAGTTACAAGGAAACTACTTTAATAAGTTACAATCCATTTAATTTGAATCTATTTGGTCTTATTTGATCCTATATTGGTTCCAAGATTCTAGTATACCTCCAAACATAGATATGTACTTTGGTATTTGTTTAATTTTAATTGTTTAGAGAATGACTCAAATGGTGTTCATCTGTTATGGATGTTCAACATGTCCTTCAATTGTTTGTCCTCTCATATAGAAGCAAATCAGCTCTCCTCAGTTCTAATTCTATCAATCTGATTTATCTAGATTAATCTAATTATTTCTTGCTTTTAATAGACACTCATTGTGTCTATACTTTATCAAGGGAGTTGTTCATAGTATTCATTTAATTGTATTCTTTAATGTTTTCTGTGTCATAACTCTTTGGCACACATTTGATATGTCTTTGGAGCCTTGCAGTACTTTGATCATCTTTCTAGTCATTTTCCTCAACCATGCAACCTGATTGGTCTATTAGACTTTTAAATTAATGCATGATCTTGTTCTAGAAGGTTTATTTGACAATTGTTGAGTTCTAGAATGTCATTTTGAGTCAATCCTCGGCTCATGGTCACTTGAGTAAGTTCTTCCAAACTCCTGCCAGTGTAATGTCCAATAACAAAGATGTCTAGCCAAAATTTAGGCATGTCAACAGTAGCGCAGTGGCCTGCAATCACATGTCTTCCATAAATTACAGCCTTGTAATGTCTAAATATATTGAGGAAGCAATTTCTGTAAGCAAAGTTGAAATGCCCACAGAAAAGACAGTTAATAATGTAGGTGACAGGTGCTACTACTTACTAGGAAATTTTTATGAGAAGAATGTAGAGAATACAATGACTTCTGCAAGATTGCGGAAAGCAACAGCAGAGGACAATGATTGTAGAAAATCAACATTGGTACAGCCCACATGACTCTATATGACCATGATACAATGGATTAAGAATAAGATTGAAAAATCAACAGGATTGATCCCTGATGATCATCTGGCAAGGTGAATGGCTCCACTCACTGGAGAATAAATTGGGAGAGCTTCACCCATTGAATCTTCAGGTAGATGCTTGGCATCTTTCTGTCTAAAGAAAGTACTTCACCATGTATTGCTAAAGACAAATTGTCACAGTCTAAAAAGTGAATATTATTGTATCATCTAAGAGGACATGGTATACATTTTGAAGGAACCATCCTAGGTATGGAGGATACAAGCCCGAAAACAAGCGATATGCGCATAAGTAAAAAAAACAAAGCGAAACATACTTACAATAAGAGCAACGTCGAAAGTGCTCGTGAATTTGGGAGGATCGTGGGTATGCGGGCAAACAAAGAAGACGACGAAGGGATTTGGGGGATAGGGACGGGGAAAGTATAGCGATAGGATGTTGGAATTCCAAACACGAATAAGCCATGGACGAAAACAATAATCATACTATGAATGTGAGTCGAATCGTTGAAAAGTACAGTCCCCGGGAAAATAAAGAGGTTGCGGGGGTATGAAAAGATGCGTGGGATGGTAGAACATAGATGCAATGCGATGTCGATGCAATATGGTAACGGTGACGAAAGTAAGATGGAACAAATGAGGATTGGACTCCAGAACGTAAGTTGAACATTATGAAACGACGATAGGTGATTGACATGCTGAAAGAAAAGTATCGTCTGTGCACAGTCCGTTTTACTTGGTCCTTAGGCCTAAAACTTGTTCCGCCACCAATAATTCATCGTCTTCCCCATCTTCGACGAACCCATTCTGCGCCCGATGCGCCTGACAGTCCGCTTTAAGGGCAGGCAGCTCTGCTTTCAGATCGACCGGGATCCCCTCCTGCCACCTGTTCATCGCCCAGCGCCTCATGAATACGCTAACCTAGAGTTTGAGAACGGGTAATGTCAAACTAAAGCTTTCTACGTAGACCAACCTAATTGGCAACATACCTTCATGTACTTCCGGCGGGCATACTTGCGGTAGAAAGACTCGTGTTTGATAGGCTTCAGGATATAGTTCAACATCAAATTCGCTGTTGGTATCAACACACTCTCAGAATAGGTAGAATAATGGGCCAAGTTCGGGGTCTAAAATATGAACTTAGGTAAGTTGAAATGGAGGATCGGGCAGACGACGTACCCAAATTTCGCTACCAAGACTAATACGCGCAAGCCACATCGCAGCGGCAGCGAGCAGACTGGGTGGTGCAGCAATAAGCCTCCATTCCAAACAAGCAATCTCGAGAAGGTATTTTGCAATCGTCCTGGCCTTCACATTGTAGTCGTCTGCTTTACTGACACGTCGAAGAAAATGCACGGGATTCGCGTAATTGAGGTTCCAGTTCAAGGTTTTCAATACGTATCGCTCAGCCCCGAAAACATCTGCGACAGAGTAGGAAGCTTCGGTTTGAGCGAGGAATTCCTCCGCAGAAGGACAGACAATTTCCTCCACTTTGGCAGCAATGAACATTGACGTCACACCTACAAGTTGGAGTCTAGCGAGAGAGACGACACGGGCCGAAAGGAAACGGTCGACAATGTTCATGCAAAGGAAAAGCGTTTCGGGAAGTAAGCGGAAACGCTCTTGTAACTCAATGAGCCAATCGAAAAGAATACCACGCATGGTCCATCCGAGATCTTTTTGATTCGCCATATAGTTAGGATTAGGCATAGTTTGTACCTATAGAAAGATTAGCGTGGGTAACAGACGGAAGTAATCACAGGCCACAAACCTCTATCTTCTTGAAGTATTCGAAAATTTCCACAACGTATTCGCTAACCATGACCGGGTCATCTCCATCGTCTTGATCAAGGTCATCCCAATCCGGGCCATTTGGGTCCGCTTCAACCTCCTCCTCTAAGGCATCAAGTTCATGCTGATCAGCCCATTGCTCTTCAACAGCATCCTCTGGGGCATCTGAAGATGTTCTCGCCTTCTTGAAGACACGCTCGGCTTCGAGATCATCGTCGGCGGCCTGATGAGCAGATCGACGAGCGGATGTACGAGTGTGAGGTATGTCGCGCAGGTTGGCAAGAGATTTCGGAATGGTGAGGGCAGGCAAAACTTTGCGAGGCGGTGGATCAACGATCATGGCGGTGTCGTCAATCTCTTGAGATTCGGCGATTTCACCTAAAGGCTCGTTGTTGTCGACAAGGGTACTAGTCGTCGACTGCCTGGTACTAGCGACTGTCCGAAGGGGTTGCCGAACGGTCTTGGACTTGTTGATGACCACACCGTCAAACTTCTGAGCGATCTCCTTGTTTTTACCCTTGCCACCAGGTTTATTGTTCGCGACCAAGGATGTGACCTCGCCGAGAGCCTCTCGCTTTCGTTTTGAAACAGGATGGTCGCTTTTTGGATCGCCATTAACGCTGATCTTGGCTCTGGAAGCCGCAGTTGCACCGGTAGCACGATTGACGATGCTATATGTAGCACCACTATTGTTGGCGGAAGAGGATGGGGGTTTCGCGCGGGTGTTTATTCGTGAAGGACGTGCGTTGGCATTTTCAGCATCTTTTGCTGTTGCCGTGCGTGTGTTTCGCAGCGCACGACGTGTCTGTTTGCGCTAATCAAAAATGAAGTCGACCTCATGAGATGGATTGGCTCACAGGTACAATAGTGGACATCAAAGGTCACTGGCTTCCTCGCTGAGGAAAAGCAATGATATGAAGAGAAAAGTGAAGAGGTGAGAGTCGCTGTGGAAGCCGAGGATGGCGAAAACAATTCAAATGTTATCCCAAACTGCACGTGCAGAACAAATATGGAACAACACGATCTCGCGTTAGCGCGATTAGTCACATGCTCGCGATTCAACTTTCGATCCAGCAGTCAGACTCGTAGTTGAACGAAGTCCAACGTTGAAGCAGGTTGAAGCTGAAATTTTTGGTATTTCGTCGAAGAAGACCTCGAGAGCTCTGATCAAACATTTTAATTCCGTCAATAAACGACTTCCGCGGGACTTTTTTTTTCCAAACTGGTGAAAACAGGCGAAGAAAGCTCAAAGTCTTCATCAGTCCTTGAAAATTGATTGAGGCACCGTTCTCGAGGGTGGTGGTCTCCAGTCTAAGCCTATGCTACTGTATATGTGTATGTTCCTGAGAATGCCTATAGTGACTTCAAACTTGACTTGAAATGTAATAGGTTCAACACCGTGACACTCACGACCGGGTCTGGCGCCGAACTGTTATATTGTGACTTCGCTATTTTCCTTTTCTATTTGTACGGAAGTCGAGATTTATTTGTCGGCGCCGCCGCCTTCGTATTTTCCTGCTCTGTGATCTGTGTACTTTCATAGTAGGATTCCACGGACTCAAATGATGAACAGATATCGTTGTGGCTCGGTAATATCGCGTCAAAATGGTGCGCCGTCAATGACGGAAATCTACGCTATCATTGCCTGATCATTGCTCTGAAACTCCACCATTGGAACAATTCGGGAGTCACTTTGTTAGCATTACTTGGTCGAGGAGCGTGAAGAAGCCAAACTCTTGTGACTTAAACGTGGGGCCTCTCAGTCAAGGAGCCAATCGAGAGGAGTAGAACTTTCTATCGACATTCTATTCTTTACAACCCACGGGTCCTGTCACGGATCCTAATCGCTTCCAAGCGCCTTAGATCCCTAGTACAAATATAAAGCATCGATTAGAACTCGGATTCCCCATCTCAAAAATGGCCGCAGTTGAAATCCCCACCAATATCCGCGCTGTCCAAGTTCAACCTGACAAGACCGTCAAAGTAATACAAATTCCCTTTGGTCAAGATGACCTGGTGAAGAATCTTCCGGAAGACCAGCTCATTGTAAGTATCCATTGAATTTATGTGGTCGTTGTCGCTGATCAAGAATGCCGATAACGGATACATAGATTCGTGTCCGTGCAGTGGCATTAAATCCCACGGATTGGAAGGTAAGTTAAACACCATCAACATCTTTCAATTGCAAGTCTTGTTGACGATGATAATATTCTCCAGCACGGAATTGGCGAATGGGGAGCCGCTGGTACCATTCTCGGCTGCGACAGTGCAGGCGACGTTGTGAAAGTCGGATCTGCTGTGAAGCACTTGAAAGTTGGAGACCGTGTAGCTGGTTTCAAGTACGATCCTTTATCTCACCTCCCAACAAATATCTCACTCTCTATCTACTACAGCTACGGCGGTTCATACCAAACCAACAATGGAGCCTACGCTGAATTCGTCCGACTCTACGCCTCGGTAACGTTTAAGCTGCCTGATGAGCTCAGCTACGAAGAAGGAGCCTCACTGCCCATTCCCCATCTCACCGCCGTGCAGGTTTTCTACATGCGGCTCAATATTCCCAAGCCCTTCAGCCCTCCCGCTGCCGAGAAAGAGATCATCCTCATCTGGGGCGGCTCGACTGCTGTCGGGCATAATGCCATCCAACTCGCGCGCACCTCCGGTTTGCGTGTCTTTGTCACCGCGTCGCCCGCTGTACATGAAGAATTGAAGACTCTCGGAGCAGAGCAAACCTTCGATTACAAAGCCGTAGACGTCGTCAAACAGATCCAGGATGCTGCTGGAGAACGAGGCATCATCTACGCGATCGATACTGTCGGAGAGCTAAGTACCACCAACAGCACCATTGACGCATTATCTCTCTCTCGCAGCGGCCATCTCGTCTCGATCCTTCCCCCGGATCCATCCTCCGTAAACCGTCGCAAGGACGTCAAGGTCGAGTTCAGCCTTGTTTACACTTTGCTCGGCCTCGATTTCACCTTTGCTAGTGCATTCAAATATGATGCAATACCAGAGGACAAAGCTCTTTCGCTTGAGTACGTATCAACTTATATGCCCCGTGTTCTCGAGGGATGGAAGGCTGGACAAGGAAGTACTTCGTTGAAACCACAGCGTTTGAGAAAATTGGAGGGAGGGCTGGAAAAGATCGAGGAGGGATTGAAAATCATGAGGGATGGCAAATATGGAAGAGAGAAGTTGGTCTATACCATTGCCTGAACCCCGAATACAGGATGGCAAAGAACTGTATTTGTATATCTGCTTATCTGACTGTCTTTCGCATGTGTACCCAAAAACAATGCTATCTGTCTACCACAATGTGTACAAGTGAAGGAGCTGGGTGGAATATCTTGACGTATTATGCTACAGATGTGATGGCGTCGGTGGTGACTAGTAACTAGTAACTATAGAAAGCAACAAACACAAAATCCACATCTAAATGTGGACGGAAAGCAGTAGTGTAGTGTATAGCACAGATGAAAACGGTAGTACATCCCAAATCAATTAATTTCCGGAGGACTCGGGAAACCTCTCTTTTTCCTTGACCTGAACGCTATCCGCCCACCGTGATACAACATCCTCGCCTGAACCTTCAACCACAGCACCACCAAACACCTCCTTTAGGACCTCCCTAACATCTTCTACGTATATCAGTTTGATTCCTTCCTTCACGCTGTCGGGTACGTTCTCTTCGATATCAGCCCGGTTAGCAGCAGGAGCCAAAATAGTCTTGATGCCAGCACGGTGGGCAGCAAGGATTTTCTCCTTTAATCCACCCACAGGAAGAACGTGTCCTGCGAGTGATATTTCTCCTGTCATAGCTACGATAATGCGTCGAAAATTAGGAAGTACGAGAGGCGAAATGATATTGAACTTACCGACATCCCCCCTGACACCTACTCCGGATCCAAGACTAACCAACGCACTCAAGATCGCAGTTCCAGCGCTTGGTCCCTCCTTCCCAATACTTCCCTCCGGCATATGTATATGCACATCCCGATTTACTAGCCATTGTTCGTCTGGGGACGATGTTATACGAAGATCATAGGCATGTGCCTTCACCCATGATAGAGCAATCTGGGCCGATTCGCGGATGACTTCACCGAGTTTACCGGTCAAGATGATGGATCCTTTGCCAGGGGTAGTCTACGCACTGGAGTAAGCAAAGAAGACGAATCACTCCAAGAGTACACCTACCAAAGTCTCGATAGGCATCACAGCTCCACTCCCATTACCCAAGTAGCCCAACCCCGTACTGACTCCTTTGACCAATCTTCCGGGTCCCTCATACATCCGATCCTTTTGATACACAGGAGGCCCGACATAATCTTTGAGATTATCTGCTGTTATCCGAACATGTACGGAAGTAGGGATAACTAGCGGAGCTCGCTTCTCAGTCGTAGTTGGGTGAATCTTCTGGTCGTGCTCAGGATCAGGATCGGCGAGTGGGGTTAGGGGTGCCTCAGAACTGTGTTCCGTAACTGGAGTAACGGCGGCGGCGGCGGCGTCTGCTGGTAGTGGAGGTTCAGGTAACTTTTCTTCGCCGAGGTCTTGGACGATCTTCAATGCGGTCTTGCGGTAAATCTAGAAGGTTCAGGAATTAGTAGTAGGTCATGTATCGAGCAAATTTTTTACGTACTTTCTCAACCATCTTCTTCAAATTTCGAACACCACTTTCCCTGGCATACCATTTGATCAATGAATCAATCGCGGAACGTTCCACCACGACGTCAGCGTCTTGAAGACCGGCAGAGGCTTTCGCCTGAGGAGCAAGGTATCTATTGAAAACCGTATAAGCTATCGGGGAATGAGAAGGCGGATTCTTCGTCCAAACCTTTCTGCGATGACCCTTTTCTCCTCACTGACATACCCACTGACCTCAAGAACTTCCATACGGTCTAACAAAGGCGCTGGGATGGCTGAAAGATTGTTTGCAGTACAGACAAACAATACTCGAGAAAGATCTATCGGAAGATCAAGGCTGTAAACAGTAACGATCCTTGAGTTTGTTTTGAAGGCGGAAATAAGTTGGAAGTTCAACACGCACTAATGATCTAAGAACTCTTTATTTTGTTCAGGGTCCAGCATTTCCAGTAAAGCGCTAGACGGATCGCCATTGTGTCCTCTTCCGAGCTTATCGATTTCGTCTATAAGAACAAGAGGGTTCGAAGTTCCAACTCGTTTGAGAGCTTGGACCATTTTTCCAGGAAGGGCACTAAGGGGAAGTGACATTAGCTTTGGTTCTATGAACTTTGCATGAGCGAAATGCGTGCTCACCCGACATAGGTTCTTCTGTGCCCTTTGATCTCAGCAACATCACCCAGTCCACCGACCGAGAATCGGAAGAACTCGCGACCGACTGCTCTCGCAAGAGATTTACCAACCGAAGTCTTACCAACACCTGGTGGTCCATGTAAAAGTATGATTTTGCCTTCAGGTGTGGGAAGTCTGTCGTTTTGAGCAGGGGGAGGAGGAGGTACGGATTTGTTGGATTCCAAAGATGACGACGAGTCGACAACAGGATCCAGATTTTGAGCAACGGAAGACGCAGACTCAAGACTGCCTCTGAGTTTTCCTACTGCAACGAATTCCAATATTCTCTCCTTCAACTCTTTCAAACCGTAATGATCTTCTTCTAAAACCTGTCTGGCAGCTTCCACGCTGTACCGGGTAGGTGTATAAACACCCCAAGGGAGCTGAGTGATCCATTCAAGGTACGTCCTGGTCACGTTGGCCTCGCTTGCGCTAGGTTCCAAAGACGCGAGCTTGTTGAGCTCTTCGTCGAAGACCTTCCGGACCGGCGCAGGCATAGCCAGCTGCGCCGCTCGATCCTTGAATTTTTGTAACAGCTTATCCTTCCCATCTGACTCGAGTCCCAATTCCTTCTTGATACCCTTCAGCTGTTCCATGAGATAATACTCGCGTTGACGTTTAGCAATTTTGGTGTCCACGTCTTTGGAAATTTTGTTCTGGAGCTGAGCGTTGATCAATTCCTTTTTCAGGACCACTAATGCCTTGCCGAGCCTGTTGGCCACATCCACTTCTTCCAAAACCTCCTGCAGTTCGCCTGATGTACCGCTAGATACAGCAGCAGCAAAGTCAGCTAATCGGTCTGGTTCGTCGAAGACGTTGGAGGCAACCTGGTTGATAGAGAAGTTGGTAATTTGGTCCCGGAAGAGAGGGTTCAACTGCGCAATGTCCTTGAACACGGTCACTATTTCAGCAGTAAGAGCACGTATATGCTGAGAGGATTTAGTATAGGGCAAAGTTGGGTAATGCACAGTGTTAACAACAGATACTGGGTGCGAGTTGAGGAAGGACGTGATCGGTGAGAATCGGCCGGACGTGGGGGTCTCGTCAGTAGGTGTTTGGGGAGGAGTAGCAGTTTGAATCTCTGGTGGTTGATCATCCTCTACAAGCTCAACACGAGCCTCCGTGGGTTCCGATGCAGTCCCATTTTTGAGGAGTTCAGTGATCAGGATCCTCCGATGTGGGTACAGAACAGCAGTGAGGTACTCCTCTGTGTCCTCACCAGAAGACTTATCCACGTCCTTGTTTCCTTCTGAAGAAGCGGTAGGGTTTGGGTTCGCGCTAAACACAGAGGTTATCTGAGCAAAGACGCCAACTTCATGAACTTCATCTAAGCTCGAAATAACATCCTTATCTAGCGCTTCACCCTGGCCGTCCTTTCCTTCTTCTTCCCTGAGTAGAAAAGCGCCGAGATACGGCTGCCCTCGCGCCATCATATCCCTGACTGCACGTACAACAGCGGGGTTTTTTATCACGACCGCTTTGTAGAAGCCTGGGAAAAGAGGACGACGGGCAATAGGGAGAGCCAGAACGGTTGGGTAATTCGTCGGGACAGTCGGTTTGGTCAATGACTTGTTGTTTCCGGAAGACGAAGCGGGAGGCGTTGAATCCGAGTCACTCTCACCTCCCTCGGAGTTAGTCCCTTCTATACTACTAGCCTTGACTTCTTCGGTTGAGGTATTGTCTTCTGTTTCGTCTGATTCTTTGCCTACTCCCTTGCCATCCTTCCCTGAACCTGAACCCGAACTATTGATCCACCTTGGACCTGCGCCGCCACTACCAATTCTAGGAGTACGTCTCATCATTGTATTGGGTGACGAAGAGAAGGTTCGAGAGGTGGGTCCCGCGAGAGACATCATCCATCTCGAACTCCTGGTAGAATTATTGAAGAACGAAGCCAGCAAGCTCCTGCGAGAACAGTGAGAAGAGAGCGGTTGTGCAACAGATGTGGGAGCGGACGACGACGCAGAGGCAAACCTCCGCCCGAGTCTATTCATTTTGGACCTCTAGACTGTGTATCTCCGTAATATCGAAATGCTCGCCCGTGTGCTGTCGAAAAAGATTTGTGATGACCTAGTGGGAGAGGATACAAGGAGGAGCGTCAGCTACGATAAAAGTCAGGCAATACACTTCCTGATTGCTAAGAGAAAGAGAAAGCAAAGGAAATTGATTGGCCGGAAGGAGACGCGTAAAGGTTAGTGAGCAGCGAGCTTACCAATTTTATCTGATACCGATAAGATAATCAAGGTTTTAAGCGCTCAGTCAAGCGCTGATCATGACAATTTCTTCCTCAGGCTGTCCCCAGGTACTCAATACTCAACTTTTCCTAACTTTCCCTTGATCGGGGAGACTGAGAGAGAGACAGTGTGCTTTATATAGCCGAAATACACGCCACCTCGATTTGAACGTTAAAACCTTCTAGGTGGCGGTTTCGAGTCGCAACGAGACTCAGATCTCAATACCCCTCACAAAAGTCTCTGTGCCGATAACCTCGGAGTACGAACACCTATCAATGGGATTTGCGTGCTATGCACAGGAATTATTCAACAGCTGGACATATGTATTTCATTAGAACCTAGATCCCGAACATCGACCCCGAGTGTTGAGACTTGCAGATATGAATCCTGTAGAAATCTGACCACTAAAACAGGTACGGGGAGGCAAAGCCCAGAGAGACTATGAAGGGACTCGAAACATTGATATGCAATGCACTTGATCCATTTCTTAGGTCTGTGCGCATTTGGTGTCGATATATATATCATGTCCTCCCACTTGACGTTGCAGTTCAACCTCCCCAGCCCTCCTCCCAATCATCCTCAGTAGAATGTCAAGTGCTATAGATGATTTGCTCGTTGCCCAGCTACAGGAAAACATCATCACTTACTCCATTGGCGGTATCTTCTGCGGTTCGTACCCTCTTGCTAACGAGATTCCATCTGACTCAAATCAATCTGTTCCAGGAATATACACTGTCCTAGCTATTATCGCTGCATATATCCTGTTGTACGCACTAATTATCAATGTCCATCGCTGTTGTTAGTCTTACATAAATTCCTACTAGCCAACAAGGCTTACGCTACTCCCTTGCTCGTTCGGTGCTATTTATTTTGAACGTAGCCATGTTCGTCGGTCAGACGGGCAATCTTGTCGCCGTCATTGTTTCGGAACTCAAAATCTTACGGGGATTGGGGGAGACATTTTACGACCCCACTCAGGCATTAGAGCGCTGGGAAGTCGCAATCGTCGTTTTCTCCCGAATGAATGTGCGTTGACCGATATTTTGTGACAATTCAGTATATTCGATTCAAGCGTCCATTCTTTTAGTATCTTCTCAGTGATGCGATTGTAATTTGGCGAGCTTGGATACTCTATGATGACCGACTTTACCTTCGTATCTTGCTCATCCTTTGCGGCTTGGGCTCACTAAGTTGAGACTCCCCCTTACTTTTTCTTCCAGGAGCTGACAGATTCTAATAGTCGGCGTTTCGCTGGATTCAGCATTCGTTCTGAAACAAGCATTTTCAAATGGGACCGGCGAAGCAACCGCATTAACCAAAATTCGGGTTCTCATGCCAGTAATGCTTCTAATCACCAATTTCATTGCCACTAGCATCATCGCTTTCAAGGTTTGGTAAGTGTTTGAGCCTTCTGTTTCCTGGATGGCGTGTTGAAATTCAGAACAGGGAGTATAGGCGCAGTATCAAGATCAATTTAGGTAACCAGAAACGCAAAACTAGCGTAGAACAGGTCTTGATTCTCCTGTTGGAAACTGGTTTGGTTTATTGTGCATGCTGGGTAAGTGTATCCACACTGAATTTCTAAAGATCTCTCATTCAAAGTTATCAGATTGTCACGATAATTTCCTTAACACCGGGCACACTTTCATTCATGGGCCAAAATGTCTTTGCGACGATGTACCCAAACTTGACCGTGAGCTTAGACTATAATATCAACGGGGGAGAGGAGTTTACGTTTAGGATTTTGCAGGCCATTTACCCAACCCTCGTTATAATTTTCGTCGCGGCTCGAAAATCCTACTCTGAATTATCCATTAACGTGTCTCAAACATTACAATTCGCGGTCCCGACCCCTGCAGATATCGTATTTCAGAAATCAGATACTGAGGGCTCTCCGCCTTTTGTCGCTACAAAGATAGCAGGAATACCTGATTTCGACGGTGCAAGTCTGGACAGATCCCTAGGAGAGATTCGAACAGATAGCATTCGGATGAACTTATCATCGACCTCTGTGTCTAACGCGGTGGATCCAGACTTGCACCCAGTGGAGGAGTCACGATAGACCACGGGCTTTGGGAAAATTCGTCCTCATATTTAGTAAATAGGTCATCGTTTTCATAACTAGTAGATAGAAACTAGATAATTCGTTACAAATAAGATGCAGTGCGCAGATTGAATGGTTGAAAAAGTTGTATGTGAGTGATTGTGTTGCGAACATACGATTACAAATGGAGATGAGAGATTGAAAGGAATAAATGATAAAATATATACACCAAGCACCACTTGAAGAAGATCGATATGCGTAAATATGCGTCGCAGGCATTAGTCCATCCTTGGCTTTTATCTTACGCGGCATAAGATATCTGCAACGATCCAACAAGTGAAACAGCGAAAAGGTGTCGCTTTATGGACGCGATAGGCGAGCCAGATGAGATTTGAGTTAGACAATCAAGTGTGGCGCGGCTCCCCAGCTGCAATTTTAGCGTTCCGGCTTTCCACGATCTCCGTTTTGATTCCAGGCAGTTCGGCAATGAGATCCACTTCCGCTCCCGCCTCAAATCGCGCCAAAGCCCACTTGCGCACATAGACACTGCACTATCGAAGACATGAGCATTAGCATATATACCAGGGGGAAGATATCGTTCAACTCACCTTCATGAACTTCCTTGACGCATACTTTTTGTATAAAACTTCGACCTGCACAGGGGAAATAACGGAGGAGAGCAGGACCTCTGCAACGGGGATGATTTCTCGTTCCTTATACGAGGTGTAATGAATGAGATTGTGTGTCTGAAAGCCACATTTCAGCAAGTGGAAGAATGTCAATCAAGCTCACTGAACTCACCCATTCTTCACGACCTAAGGTGAGGCGCGCAAGCCAAAGAGACGTAGCAGCAACAAGGGATGACGGCGTCGCGACCAGCTCGGGCGCGAAGCAGGCAAGTTCCAGTAAATATTTTGCAAACGTTCTCGCAACGGGATCGAGATCGTCAGCTTTGCTACCTCGTCGCAACCACGACATAGGACCAGGGAAACTCAAGTCCCAGTCGATTGTCTTGAGGACATACCGCTCTGCCTTGCATATTTCGTCGGCACTATAAATCTCTCCGGTGAGGAGCACCAGTTCTTCCGTCGAAGGCGCGACACCTTCTTCAAACTTGACAGCGGCACAGAAACAGGATACTCCTACCAGCTGAAGCTTTGAGAGTGCTACTGTTGGCCGGAGAGATAGGAAGCGGTCCATAACGTTGACAAACAAGAAGAAGGACTCTGCAAGGAAGTTGTATCGGGAATGAATAGACAAAATCCACTCGATCAGGATAAAACGCTTCTCCCAGTCCAGTTCAGAGTGGTAGTCCATGTAGTCTGGTGTGGGCGCTGTTCTTATCTAAGAGTAGCAATACATCAGATCGATCTCGATGAAGGGCGAAAGACAAACCTCGAGCTCCTTCATGTATTCCATAATTTCGTGTACATATTCTGGGGCCATAAATGGATCTTCTGCGTCATCTGCATCAAGATCATCCCAGAGACCAGCGCCGTCTTCGTCTTCGTGAACATCAGCAAGTTCGGTGGCTATTCTATCTTCATCCAGCTGAGAATCATCAAGAGTGGTCGGTAGCCTAGGGGTCACACGAGCAACAGGTTGTCGATCTTCTCTATCTTCAGTTATGCGCTTCTTGAAAACAGGTTCTCGGTCTACATCATCTCTCAGAGACGCAGGAGCACGAGGAAGTAGGTCCTTGTGGGCGGAAGTTTGTGGTACGAGCTTGAAAATGGCTGGTTGGGTGGCATGTAAAGGTGCTGGAGCTCGAGTTTCGTCAATCATGACCTCGTCCCTATCGTCATCTTCCTTAATAATCCCCAGGATCTGTCTGTCGCCGGCGACAGGTTTAGACCGGAGCGGCTTTTGTATACTTGCTGTTCCACCAACATCACGCAGAGGAGCACGAACAGTTTTGCTAGTAAGTCTCGACTTGCTAGCTGTAGCAGTAGGACCAGCCTTGTCTCCACTGGTGGCTTTTTCTTTGCCCTTTGCCGATGCCTTGGGTTTCCCACTGTTTGACTCCGTGACCTCTCCCAAAATCTCTCGCTTCCTCTTCACTGATGTTTTTTCGCCCCCAGTCTCGACTGTTTTCGCTCTCGAAGCGACGGTGGTAGCAGTAGCTCGAGCATTCTCAGCTAGTAGGCTACTGGCCTGTGTTCTAGCGCGGGTCATAATCCTGGACGGCTTGGCATTGGCATTCTCGCTATCCTTGGTCACTTTAGTTCCTCGGGTGGTTCGGCGAACCTTGAAAACGATATAAGCAGAGATAGAAATGAAGAATAGAGAAAACAGACCGGGATATTTGAAGACATTCAAGAGGCAGAGGAGAGGGTAAGGTAGATGGAGCAAGGAGTAGATGAGAGAGATGAAGAAGGTAGTCAAGTTGAGAGCGTAAACTTCAAGTTCAAACAGAAGCCGAAATGACCATTTCAACGACACACGTGACTCCCTGATCGCGTTTACGTCAAGCACGTGTGCGTGATAAGCGCTCAATATACTCTCTCGGAGTCTCATCGTCATCGACCATGTATGTCAACTCCACTTACTCGGAAAGAATTACTCGGAAAGAATCCCTTGATACTCTCTTCTGTTTACACTGTAATGGCCGACTATATTCGAAGGATCGTCTCAGGTAACAAGGCTCGATTCAAAGATGGGAAGCTCAACCTTGATTTGGGTGGGTTACGGACTTCTCTCTATACTCACTCACATTTATCAAGTTAAAATTTATAGATCTGGTATACGTTACTGACCAGGTCATCATTATGGGCTTTCCAGCTGTAGGTATTGAAGGCCTTTATCGTAATCGTCGCGAGGATGCAAAAAAGTTCTTAGACCATCGACACGGAAAGAACTATTGGGTCTTCAATTTCTGTCCTCTCAAAGAAAACTTCTATCCCGCAGATACATTTGACGGGCGAGTTTCTCGATATCCTTTTCCTGACCACCAGTTAGGCGGAAGTTTCCTTCTTCTCCTCTTCGATTTCTAAATCTATAATGAACAGTGCACCCCCGTTAGCTATCATGCCCCTAGTCGCTCGTGAAATGCGGATCTGGCTTGATGGTTCATCTGAGAGAGTAGCTGTCCTTCATTGCAAAGGTGAAAAGGCTTTTCATGCGATACGGCAAATTTATTCATATACAGTGTTTAGCTGGAAAAGGCAGATCAGGAACTATGGCCTGCGCCTATTTATTATCCTGTGATGAGCTTGCTTCACCTCCTCGTTTAGAAAGAAACTATTCACGTCGAGAATGGGCGAAAATACGTGCGGATGAGACCATGAATGCCATCCCAGACTCGGAAGATTCTTCTCCAGATAGACTTTCTCGCGCGGTGTTAGCTGAAGAGACTTCCATCGATTCCCCAGTTCCAGGGTCAGTCTCGCCTGGACCTGATCAGCGCCAGAAAAAATCATACGCTGATGCTCTCGAGCATGTTCTCAACCTCCACACCTCCCGTCGAATGAAGCCATCGACTTCCGACTCTGACAAGGTCAAGCAAGGTGTCAGTATTCCCAGCCAGCGAAGATTTCTCTACTACTGGTCTTTGTTGCTCTCCCGCGAAGCACCCTCCCATCTGTGGGCAACTGAACTTCTCGTCCCTTCACCGAATCAGGATACCATCTTGAGCATGCCGGTCTCGCAGAAGAGCCCACGCCCAAAGGTTCGCCTCACGGAGATCAAAATTAGGATGAAAGAAATTTCCAACATGCGCGCAAATCTCGTGCGGGCAGCAAACGTTGTAATAGATAAAACAAATATGAGCAAATCCCCAGCCCAAACGGATAAAAACACGCATGTCTGGGTATCTCTTGCCCGATATGACGATGATTTTGTGGAAACGCTGGAACGATGGGAGAGATACACGCGAATGGATAGCGCGAGTGACCAGGGTTATATGGGGCGACGTGAACCTGGGAAAGATCATTTCGGAAAAGAATCTTTGGGTGAGCTGTTCGTTGACGGACGATGGGACAGCAAGAAAATGGTAAGGAGCTTTGCGAGGATGGGTGCCGATGAACAGTCTTTCGTCAAAGACTACACAGAAGAGGTATCAACATCAGCGCATCACGATTCAATCAACCTAATCAAAATGTTCATTACAGGGTGGCAAAATCAGGACATACGTCCTGCATCCTTTGTCGGAGAAGATTTGGAAGGACTTTCGACAAGAAATCGAAGGGAGCGAGAAAGAATACACCGTAAAGCCTGAAGACATCGATATCCCTGCTTCAGAAGCAAATTCCATGTACGACATCACTCAAAACGTGAAGGAGAAAGGCGTTGTACTTGATGCCGGAAGGGAAGTGCGGGTGAAGCTATACATGGGTCAGGTAAGTGACCTCGCATCTGCTCTTTCGCTACTTAGATACCCTTACAAGGTCTTCATGGGCTGGTTATGGTTCATTCCGACTTTCCACATGTCTCAGCCTCCGCCGTACTCAGACCTGTCTCAACCCCAACCATCCAACATTTCATCAAAGCTCGTCCTCCAACGTAAAGAGCTGGATTTTGCGTTAGGAATAGGAAGCTCCATCATAGACATTGAAATTTCTCTCGACTGGCTGAAAGAAACCGAAGTTGAGACCGTGCAACCTCCCGCACGAGTAAACACAGAGGATGAAGAGACTGCTCCTGAGAAGGTAAAAGAACCCGCTGGTATTGGAGCGACGATCGAAGCGATGGCCGCGGGTGATGTGGCAGGAATAGTCGAAGCAACACAAGCCGCAGAGGATTGAGTATCGGACATGATGCTGTAATTTACCTTCAACAATATTTTTTTAATGTGAATATTAGAAGGATTGTGATACTTCCACCCAGGTCTGCACGGAGTTCTGTTCACCCATGAATGCATGAATTCAACGTCAACCGAAACCCTTGACAGATTATACAAAGAAGTGCAGAACTGTTTTCCACAAGAAAGACGAAAGCCAGTCCATCGACCACGATATCGATGATTTCATACCGTTGGAACATCTATTGAGATCTATTCACCTCATCTCAGCGCATCCCTCATTACGGCGCAGCACATGCCAAAAGCCAATCACTCAAGAGTACAATACAACGAACCGTCCTGTTTAAATTTTTTGAATTGTTCAAGTAGCGCCTCTTCCCTTGCCTCCACGTTTGGATTTGCTGCCTCCTCCTCCTTTCCCCCCTCTTCCGCCCTGATTTCCTTTGGGAGCTGAGTTCAGGGTAAGTGATACATTGGCGGGGTTGGGTATATTGGTAGATGAGGATGTTGGAGTGGTCTTCTGCACGTATAGAAATCAGAGAGGAAGAAGGTACAATTGTAAGACATGCGCTTACAGGAAATTTGCCACCTGTAGAGGGAGCCGATCCCAATGTAGGGGTAGTTTTAACAGGAGAGTCCATTGCAGCGTCCTCGCCTTTCCCCCCGGTATCCGGCTCTGTACCACCAGATTCATTCGACTCTGACTCAGGTTCAAACTCCCCAACAGGTTTCAAAGCATCCACCTCGGCCTGCTCTTGTGCTGTGACCGAATTCTTGGTTTTTGTGGATGCCGTCGACACGGTCGATGGGGTGAGTTGAGCTTCTGGTCCGCTAGGTGCAGGGACAACGTCATCGTCGTTCGTCACAGTCGCGTCTGATACTCTATGCTCCAATTTTGGAGCTTTCAATCGAGACGGCGAAGGCGATGTAGGCGGACTCGGAGGTGTAGGGGTTTTTGTCCTCCCTCTAATCTTTTCCCCACTCACCATTGAGTTAGTGACAGATTGGGGATTCCTTCCTCTCTCTATCTGATTCCCCTTGTCCCTTTCTGTGTCTTTTTCAGTAGAACGACTCCGACTCCTCTCTTCCGATGCCTTCTTGATCCGCATCCTCTCTAACCGCTCCAGAACATCAATTTCCCCTTGCACGACAAGTCCCGCGAGCCAGGATGCACCTGGCCCAGTAAGGGAAGGGATTGAGGGAGGTGGGTGGTAACCGTGATGGCTTTGACGAGACGGTGAAGGATTTGAGTGCGAAGAACTCTGGGAAGAATTATTGGAATGAGTATGGTAGGACTGGCCAGACGACGGTGGCAAGCGACGTGAATATGATGAAGGGAGACCCAAAGCGTTTGCAGTCACTGCTGTTGCGGCGGAAGGCGTTATTTCGTACGGCTCGTTCGAGTCGTCTTGGTCATCGTTTGAAAAGTTTGACGGTTGTGATGGTGTTGAACTATCTATTTGAACATGTGAAGCCAAGTTGTATGTGGTCAGAAGCAGAACGAAAGTAGGGTGGTGATAGATGGTCCACACAAGATTCCGATTTACAAAAGGAAAAAGATACATACCAGCTAGTCCACACCCAAAGATCAACATATCTCTTGCCCCAGCCCTCTTCTCTGGGCTACCAGCCAACATCGGATTCAAGAACCCTGACAGATGCGAAGCCGCACTAGCAGGGAAAAGATACTTGTCTGATAGAACGGAGTGAAGAGGCCAGAAGCGGAGTTTTGAAATATGCCGGAGGTCACCTAAGTGAGATAGAGCGGGAATGAAAGGGAGGGGAAATGAAAAGATAAATTACTAAGCCCACTCAGTTGGGTGAAGATATTTACCTTTCCGCGTGAAGAACTCCCCACAATATTTTCCACCCATAGTTAGAGAACTCGGGAGAGTACCCATAAGCTCCATGATTTGTGCGATATGATCGTCGTCCTACGGTATCAGAAAAGGATAGAGGACTACCGGGTGAAAAGTTTGTTCCTCAATCAAAGAACGAGGTATACCTTTGAATACCTCGAACCACTTGCCGGATCAAACAAATAGTCTCCACCTGTTATAAGCTCGAATAACTAGACCATTAAAGGAGATAGTCAGCACAATATGAAGGAATTCAGTATGTGGACGAAGAGAAAAAAACAGATGGACAGTTAGGATCCACGGCGGGATTTGCATTCCAGGTCCCATATCAGCTTGGTATACACTCACCACACACGCCAAGCTCCACATATCAGCACTGGTTCCCCATTTTGCGCCTAGAATGACCTCGGGGGCACGGTATTGACGCGTTTGAATGTCGTCGGTGAAGTGATGTTCGGTCCATGTAGCTGATATGAGCAGAGCAAGGATCGTCAGCATTACGGTGCAAGAAACACCTTCAAACAAGGACGAAGCCTCTCCTCGGAAGTGAAAATAGATAAGTGGATAGGGGTCAATCTCACCATTTCCCAAATCAGCAATCTTGACCGTAATCCTCTCTTCAACCTCCATCTCTCCTGCCATAGCGCTGACGCTGTCCTGCACACGACCCATCCCATCTTTTGTGATCTGCATATCCCTTCCGTTGAATGGAGGAGGTTGTGCTCCCGGTGGCAAATTTGAATGCGAATGGGCAGGCAAGTCGGAGGCATTTGAGGAATGAGAGGGAGCTTGTTGTGTCAGTAAGGAAACTTTTGGTAGGACCTTTTTGGACTTGTGAGTCGAAAACTCCAACACGTCTTCTGCGTCATCTAGGGTAGACGACTTATCCAAAGATACATTTCCTACGCCTTCAGCAATTTCTTCCGCATTCGAACGGCCTTCAACAGTGGACTGACCCGGGCCCTCGGGATCTATCTTGCTCATACCAAAGGAAAACTTATCAAATACAGGGCCCGAAGATGTCGAACCACTCGTGGATGAGTATATTGACTTGGGGAGATTCCCGCCCGCGGATGCTAGGCTCGATAAAAAGCCAGTACTTCCAAAAGAAGAGGATGGACTAGGAAGTGGTTGCGAGGATGTAATTATTAGACTTTCGGACCGAGGAGTCTGATTTCCTCCTCTGCCAGTTGACGGTGGGACACCAACTACTCCCGACATCCGAGCCGGAGACGGATTCGATGAAGAATCCGTAGCAGAGGCATTAGCCAGCTTGGATTTGGCCAGCTCTGCCTGGATTATACCCTCGACATCGTCGATAGCAATGAGCACATTTTCAGGTTTCAAGTCTGTATGGATGACACCGCAACAGCGGTGCATATAATCCAAGCCAAGGAGAATTTGCTTCCCTATTTGCTTCACCAATCCCATCGGAACGCCTTTACTTTGGTGTCTTTTTATTAATCCCAGCAAATTCTCTCCCAAGACTTCAAAGACCATACAGATATGTGTTCCGTTGGGCCCACGATGGCGGAAATGATCGAGGAAAGAAATCACATGCGAGCGGCCGGGGTGCAAGAGAGAGGGAGAAAGCGCTCCCGTCTGTGCAGTTGAGGATGGTGTGGAGCTCGTTATAAGGCGTTGCAGAAGTTTAATCTCGTCCAAAGCAGTCTCGGTATATCGAGGCGCAGATTTGACGACTTTGAGTGCTACATGACGTTTCATCCTGGTTCAAACAGTCAGGGTCAAGAACCTGAACTGGTAGCTTTGGCTGACCTCCCATCCCAAGCCAGCCAGACTGTACTAAAATGTCCCCAACCCAGCTTCCTCACTACCACGTATCGACCTTCGCTGAAAGCATCACCGATATGCACCGGATGATATCCTCCTTTGACATAGTCCTCCCAATCTTCTTCGTCTTCCGTGACTGTCGATTGGTATGATTGGCCAGAAGGAGAGGAGGCGTAGGATTGAGATTGACCAGAGTGGTGGGAGGCATAGGAAGACATCAGAATAGAAAGGGGAGGATAATGCCGTCGCGATCCGTGAAATTTGTCGTCGTCGTCGTATACTGCGACAAGATGGAAGTAAAAGAAAGAAGAGATAAGCGGATTTGGACCGATTAGGTTAAGATCCGGTTTTCCCATCGGACCTCCCGGGAACAAGCTTGGTCCGAAATCCCGGATCACGCGATTGCTTAGACGCTGGTAAAATTCTTGAGCGCTTAAAACACGGTCCGATCAAAGTACCAATCGCTTTTTTTCCTCCGATCTTTACAGCCGCTCTCATTCAGGCTGTAAGCCTGTATCACTGCTGATTTTGCTTCATATAAAATGCTCTGTTGACAGCTTCAAAGCCTATCCTATACCCAACTGCTTTGTGTAATACCACTATGGATGTTCCCAACGAAACTTTGGCTACGATGCCAAGCCATGTCCGTGTACTAAAGGATATCACCTTTGGAAGTGTAAGCCCAATATGCCAAGTCTCCAGGACTTCATATTCACACCGCATAGATCGCCGGAATGGTCTCCAAAGTGTTTGAACATCCTTTTGACCTCACAAAAGTACGGTTACAATCTCAGGTGTTAGACTCGTCTGCTCGATTCGCAGGCCCAATAGACTGTTTAACGAAGACATGGAAGAATGAAGGTATAACAGGTCTATATCGAGTGAGCATGGTCTTCAACTGAGTTAGGTAGTATATAAATTGACAAAACGCCTTACACAGGGTCTTCCCGCACCAATTGCTGGCGCAATGGTCGAAAATGCCTCTTTGTTCCTGTCATATAGAGAACTTCAGAACCTTATCAGACGTGTAACACACCAACCCGACTCGCAGAAGCTTCCTCTGCACCAACTAGCTCTCGCAGCTGCCGGATCTGGAGCCATAACAAGCTTTCTGCTGTACAACCTCCTTATGTTGATCTCCTGATACCTGTTTATCTAATATTGTTTTCCAGCACACCGATCGAACTTGTGAAATGCAAGATGCAAGTTCAGATGCTGGTATCACCTCCATCATTGTCCATTCCACATTCTCTTCCAGGCCCATTTACAGTGTTCGCGTCAGCATTTCGCAGTTCCGGATTCACAGGCTTGTGGTTGGGTCACACGGGCACGCTCATTAGAGAGACCGGGGGCACGGCTGCGTGGTTTGCAACCAAGGAGTACGTCGCGTCTCTCCTCCTCGCACGGCGTGCTGCAAGTAGCCAAGACCTTCGTCCCTGGGAGTCTGCATTCTCCGGTGCCTGTGCAGGAGCAGCTTTTAACCTTGCTTTATTCCCAGCTGATACTGTGAAGAGTGCCATGCAGACCGCGGAGGAGCTCCGACCATCATCCGGCGCCCTGAATCAGACATATCGGTATTCTCCGCCCTCGTTTTTTGGCACGTTTGCCCAAATGTACAAAGCCCAAGGTATTCGAGGATTGTACGCTGGGTGCGGTGTCACTGTCGCGAGGTCAATACCAAGCAGCGCCATCATCTTTCTTATATTCGATGGGCTAAATAAACGTTTTGGATGATTGGTTGACGTAGCGAATCGTATCCATGATCCAAGCGTCCACTTTGTTTGCGCAATATGTCTCTAGGTATACTCGTTCTTGTGCGCGATGAAGACAAAACTCGACTTCGTAGAAGATACATTTCATCGTGATGATTCGGATTCCAACTTATTAGCGAACTTCTGCCAAAAGCTTAAAACTAAGTAATGCGGCTATTATGTACGCCTGGGTATCCATTTGTATACATAGTGTAATACGCATCTATGATAATTATAATGTGCTCTCAAATGTGTGGATTTCGATGATGAAGAATAGACTATAGTATAGGGCCATGGTAGATCTCAAGGACTTCCTATACTCTATCAACCCCCCTTCGATCCCCCGGCCGCCAAGAAACATCCCCCTGCTGAAAATGTATAGGATGTATAGTCGGCTATAGTCCCCTGAGTCAGTCTGCGACGCAACTAGCTTGGGCCCCAAAACCGGACATTCAATGAAGCAGGTTGATCCATACTACCCCTATTTAGCCCAGCTTCTGTACTGGAATCGAGGCCGACAAGGCCGCCGTACACGAATTCTCCGGAGAACGTTGAGTGGGCCAAAAGCACAGCGAAAGTTGAGCCACTGTTGTAGGCGAATATGAATAGAATGACTGAGGTGGGGTAGGATGTAGTGTATTATGATCCTGTGCGGCATGCTAGGACACAGATGAATATCATCTTGTAAACATACGCGTTGGCGAGATGGTTTCCATCGAGGTGAATGAAAGTGGTGTGCTAGATAAACACAGCACGTCAACAGCTGAAAGAATGTTTGACTCGGTACAACAAAGTGGGGTCAGCATCCACATGAGTGCAAAAGATCTACGGCTAACATGTGGAGCATATGGTCGCATTCAGGTATGCCAACGATCACTGTCATGCAAAAAACAAGTCCTCGGGAGATATTTACACCCACCTAAATTACGTAGCGTTCGTTAATATTACAATATATTAGTTTGAGAGAGCGTCTTGATAAGGATGAGTTCTTGAACTGGAAAAAAAGCATCAGTGAACAGAACAATTGTGCTCTGAAGCTCGGACTGAGCTCGGCGTACTGTGAGTGATGACCGTAGCGGTTGCCGTGGTATCCTAGGAGAAAACACGTGAATTTCCCACAACATCATCGTCAAAACGAAGCATACTATAGCGCAAGTCAGGTGAGGATGCATCTTTCGTCTTTTGGTGGGGGAGTGCTGCTTATGCAGGGCCGTAAACATGTCCAGAAGATCTACAGCAGGAAGCTTACATGGAGGTAGCCTCAACAAGGAATTCGAAAACACATACATTTCGAAACGGCCTCGGTTTCGTTGGGCTTATCTCGATACGACGTGACATATTTGCTGAACTGCACGCCAGCCTTCAATTGTGCGTCGAGAATGTCAATTTTGTTGAGCAGAAGGATTAGATCAACCGAGGCCAGCAACTTATTGCTGCATATCATGCGCCATAGTTTCATTGAGTCGGCCTGCCAGATGATTTAATGAGATTTCACAAGCAGTAGAGGAAACGCACCAGCCGATTTACAGTCTCGTCTTCGGCGAGAGCTTGGTTAAAGGCTTGAAATTATGTCAAGCTAACAGGTGTGGGTCGAGGATGATCGAGGACAAACCAGAGACTGGGGCAAGAAAAATTATTACAGTCACTGTGTCAAAGAACTGGGCCCAAGCAGCTAATCATTGAATGACGGATCAGACGAAGCATTATTGAAAATCATTGGAAATCACGAACCTCTTTGACTCCTGTCACCTCCAACATCATATACAATCCAGTCTTTGCCGTTACCGTTCTCAAAACCTGGGATGAATTCTTAACATCTCTTGATTTCATATTGTAGCAAAAAAGCAAGTTCCTGACGTACTGCTTTCCATCGGTATACGATGTTCTTCTGGACCTATTGTGCTGACTCGGGCTCGTAAAACATCATCTAGGTTTTTCATGAATTTCGCGCTGAAGACAAATATCTGAATACGCTTAACGCACCTGGGGTTGGAAGATATTCTTCTGCGGATATGCGTTGAACGTCTTCAAGGAAACTTAAATACAAAATCAAGATGAGTAAATGAAGGTGGCGTCAGAAAAAGAAGGAGAAGTGCGTACAAGCCAGGTTGGTCCTTGAGTGAGATTTCCTCTTGCCGCAGCTTCTCCTGGACAATAGGATTTTTCCAAAGCGTGATAATGTCGTCTACACATGCATTGATGATCCTACGATTCTGTATGTCCTCGGGCGAGGATAAAACACCGGGTTGGCGGCGGAATTTGAGTAGGCCTTTCCAACCTGCACCTGATCGTACAGCTATTTCAGGAGCTTTGGCAGGATTGTAATGAGCATAGGGCGTGTCGATATTGGTTGATTTGTGATCGTGGTTCACCGTGTTTGTTGATCCAGATATGCGTTGCGTCAGCGATGTTTCAACGGATTTGAGAGGAGCAAGACTGAAGATTAAGCGGCGCACGCTATCATCAAGGGGTAAAGTGGAGGTCGGAGAGGTGGAACCAGAAGATCGTGGAGAGAGCAAGTTCAGTATAAAGTTGACTGAGCGAACGAGATTAAGATGGATGACTGGACGCCATAATTCAGCCTAAAAAAGTTGTCAGGTTCGCAGGAGCTCTGGCAAACGATAGATGATGGTATACCTCAGCGTGAAATACACTTGGAGAAAAATGAAGCTAGAATAAGTCCCTCAGCAAGATGCTAACTGGCAAAGACCAGAACGCACCTGCATGTTCTTCAAGATCGTTGACTTCCCGGATTCGGCTTGACCTGTACGGACGTTAACAAAGAAACTAGAAATATGTTGAGACGGACCGAGAAGCAGAATTTTTGCACCGTGGATAGTTTTCTTCTTGTTTTCTCTTTCAACATTTAAAGCGAGGTCGATGGCGTCGCTGACCCGTTTGGCCTCTCTCTCCTGCTCAAGCCTGACATTCCTGTCGTCGTCGTTTTCGTCTGGTGAAATTGGTGGTGGCCACGCAGCCTCTGGATCAATTCTGGCGGCGCGCATTTAGAGAATGTAGGGATAGGCTGTAAGATGTAGAATATGGAGGTGGGTGTCTCAGAAAATGTTTTTTCTATAGATAAACACAGACATTTAAGTAGGTAAATAAGTACCTTAGCACCAATTGACGCATTGATCGGCTAAAGGTCACACGTTATGAAAGGCTGAAACAACTTGACGACCCTGCGCTCCGCTTCACGGAAGATACGCCACTTTGCTTTGATCCTTCAGTACAGTAAATGAAATAACATGTCACCCGCACCTGCACAAATCTCCCGGCTCTTCCCAGGTCTTCCATGTTCTTCTCCGTTGCTTCTGACAACGGTGACCAAATTAAGGCAGAAAACTGATCTCAATTGCTGTTGGAAAAGTAAACTGACAAGGTCCCATTAAGAATCGGAACCAGCAGAAAGATCCAAATGATTCAAAGGATATCAGTTTGCCCACTCCTGTTGAAGTTGAAGGAACAATCGGAATACGGTGTGAGTTTCTTTTTTTAATGTATACTTAACTCTTCCTTAATCTCCCGGGAACTTCGGGGACTCCGCAGACTATACCTTCAAGATTACCTCTCGTATCAGTCCCGTAATCTATATAACTAAACGATCGTAGCAGTGAGATTTGTCTTGTCCTCCAGTGTTTTCTAGTCCCCAGCGACACGAGGCGACTTGGATGAGCTCGGATGTCTACATAGATTCTTGGATCCCGGTGTGTCAGCATTTCGGTAAACTAACTTGTACTGACATGGATCGACATGTTGCTGTGTCAGTCATGGCATTCACACTGATACCGAATGTCGAGGGTGACTGCAGGTGACTACAGTACTGAAGCCAATAACCAACAAGACCAGAAACGACAATCTCATCGTTGTATCATCATATTCAAGATTCAAAACGGCTCCTGGCCTGGTACCGGACTTCAAGAAGGTAATGCTTTTTACTGCTTGCGTTCTGTCTGTCTCCACCCACCTCACCAAGGTACGCATAGCTGGCGGACTGATTGAGTCTCCAAGACGCACATCCTGGATATTGAGAATTCGATATTTCCAGGCTGCTCTGCTAACGCTTGACCCGATCAGTAAGGAGGGGCCCCCTATTAGTTCATCAGTTTCCATCCACAAATCTGGGACGATGGACATCTGCAATAAGTTGCCAGCAACAAGAACGGTTTCTTGTACATATACAGTACTTACCGCATAATTACGGCGACAGGTAAGGATTGAGTAGTAATACTATATAGTTCCAACACTAAAAAGTGTCTACTCAAGCAGATTCGTAATGTGGGGAGTGCAAACATAGGAGATGAAGGTGTAGGTCGATAGGGCTTGAATGTGAATATCAAGAGAGTAGGTGGTAATGATGGGAGGAATGGAAAGGTTACCATAGCAAGTAGTAACAGAAAAAAATTGTACAGCAAAGATGGGATGAATGCGAGCCCGGAAACTGTCATGCAAATGACAAGTACACATGTACATGGAGGAAGCAACAATTACAGTGAACAGCATAAATGATAAGTAAGTAAACCATGATGTATGGGGAGAGGAGGAAAACTAGCCAATATGATGCATGTAATAAACAAAGGACAAGTCATTGGAGAATAAGCACATTATCCAGAGGAAGCAGATTCGAGAATAACAGTACCAAACATTAATCTCACACTGGATCATACCCCATAACGAAGACGACTTCCTCTTCCTCTTCCTCTTCCTCTTCTTCCTCATCAATTTCATCTGCTTCTGATTCAGGGTCTCCGTTGTCACTTCGAACATGGCGCATGACCGCCTCTTCGACGAAGCTCCTCACCTTGGACGTGGAATCACCGGAAGAGGGTGTTAACGGAAATTCGTGTATAGAATCGACGCGGCTGGTCTGCGCATCGGGAAGAACAAATCGCTCCCATTCCCCTTCCTTCATACGAACCATGTCCCCTTGTACTTCGACGACGCTTGACATGTTCAAGACGTCGCGAACGAAGGATTCATCGTTCGTAATTTGACGGACGCGGTTGAAGGAGGCAATTAATGGAATGGGCACCCAACCATGAGAGTCCATCTGACAACAAATAAGTGGTTGTAACAACGAAAAAAAGATGCTGAGAACATGCCTGTTGCCTCAAAAAGAAGTCTTGTGCCAGATTCTGTGGGCTCAGATAGTACTCCAACTGTCCTAGCAAATAATATACCGTTGGGTCTAGCGCAACGGATAATCGAGATATAGGCGCCGGCATCGGGGCTCTGAACGAACTATCTGAATCTGATACAGGTGGCGATGCAGGTTGGAAAGAACTGTCGTACCCCCTCGGGAGAGGAATATACGTATGAAGCCCATGATCAGTAGGAGGAAGCGGCAGTGGCTGGAACTGCGGGGGAGGAGTGAGAACAAAAGGCGTTTGATGATGCTGAGACGAAGGATGCACATAAGTTCCAGGTCGAAATTCACTCGGTGAGGACGCATAGTTTTCCCTCCCTCGATCTGTATCGTACCCATACAAACCGTGGACTGGTCCTCGTCTGGATCCACGAAATCCACGACCGTAGCCTCGGCCGCCCCGCCGTGGAGAATAACCCCCTCGGTCGCCACCGTACCCTGCATATGGATTGTTGTATGAGTACGACCCTCGTCTACGACCGTGACCGGTCCCGTGATAAGAGTGATTGGGCCCACTGAAATACTGGTCTACGGCAAACGACTCTTTGACCCCCATGCCATTCGCCTTACGTTCTCGTCCGAAACCATACCCAAAATCTCGTACTACCCACTCGCTTCCATTATTGAGTCCATGCGGACTGAAAGCCCCAGGCTTAAATCCTCCGTCTTCAGGACTTCTCCCTCCTCTGGCATCACCTGGGCCATTCATAAGAAGCGTGGGTGATGTCGACGGTCCAGTTTCAGCACTAAAAGGACCTAAATGTGTTAAACTGGGATGCGGGGGTATTGGGTGTGGGAAATTAGTGTGTATCGGCGCTAAGGAAGCCAAAGTGGATAACGGTATCGGTGGAACTGGTGCTGGAGCTGAAACTGGTACAGCACCAACAGGTACATACGCAGGAGGTAATGAGGGCCGTGGAGGGGTGACCAGATGAAGATCTGAATTATTGGATTGTTGACTGTGGTTGTACGTTTGGGCGCATTCCTTTTCGTCTTCGTTGAGGTCTTGCTCCCCGTTACCGAATCGTCCAAAGCTCCATCTACCACTCGTTCCTCTTCCGTTCTTAGCTGAAGTAAACCTCTCCATCAAGTCGACAACTTCTGCGTCGGCGTTTAGCATTGTCACACCCGCACTTCGTTGTGGAATTGCACGCTTTTTGCCCCTTTGTGCACTTCTTTTCTTGAGGCTTGATGACCTCGTCTCCCTCGACCCCGCACCGACATAGAATGAAGATCGGGGCGTAAAAGACGCACTGCCTATATTCATATTCGTATCACATCCATCAAAGTTCCCAAACACGACTCTCGTTGGTATTGGTTGGATAACCTCTATGCTTACCGGTGCCGATATCGGTACATAGGCAGATGGGTTCGAAAGATGAGATTCCGCGAAATGAGTGGGATAGTGCGTCGGCCCATTAATTGGCGATGCAGGTCTATATTCGACCGGATAGATCATGGACGAATGAACCTGACGGCCGTAGTTCGGTGTCTGATGACCACTCCCAGTAGGAACCGGCCAGTACATTTGAGCGTTCGAGCGAGCGATACTCGGAAATCCATGAAAGGGATATGTAGAGGTATAGGATGTCGACAAACTCGATGTTAAATTTGACGAATGGGAAGTGAGCGGGGCCAGAGATTGAGGTAAATTCTGCTCCGTGGAGGGAGAATACATTGACAAAGATGAAACAGACGGTGATTTAATAGGGTCAGAAGGATAATGTCCATTGGAAAAATACACAGGTTGTACGCCAACAGGCAGTTCGTGAGGCGAGGCTTCTCCAGTTTGAAGATTCTGACTCGCAATGAATTTGGCCTGTTGTTGCTGTTGCTGAATTTGAACAGGAAAAACCGAAGGTAATGTCGACGACACAAATGGTGGGACAGTATAAGTGGAGGCAGACGGTGTGCGCTCAGCTTTCGAGTTTGATGGTGACGAAGACATCGTATGGGCTGTGCTCCTGGACTCTTCCGTTTCTTGAGGAGGAAGTCCGATCTCTCTCGGGAATGCAGGACTTCCGTGCGCACTCCCCGCACTACTGTGTATACTACTAGTGGGGTTGGATGTGGTGCCACTCCGCGAAATTGACTTCCTGTCGGATATTCCTGTACCTCGTGTCAACGACATTAGCTGGGACAGGTCACGAGATTGTGACTGATTTCGAGAACGAGAACGAGATACACTGTTCATAGCGCTTTTGATATTCGTTTGGGTTTTAGCTTGCCGGCGGGTAGTAGACGCTGCATCCGCAGCAGCTTGCAGTTCTTCAGCAGGTATCGGAACCCACCTTGATTTGGATTTAGCCCTAATCGATTTAGAAGAACTCAAGCTCGCGTTTTCCGTATTTTCGTTTTCTGGAACACATGGACAGAATAGTTAGTGTTCGAGACGAATAGAAAATTCATTCGAGTAGAAGGTGGTAGTTTTGCTGAACAAGAACGGATAAAGTGAGGAGCCTAAGGAAAATGAAATACTCACCTTGAACGACTGATACCTCTTCGTTACTCAATTTGCCTTTGCCTTTATCTTTGCTCGGAGAGGACAGACCGACGCCGACCTCTGGCCAAGCATTTGAGTTCCGCAAGTCCAATGACACTGGCCGAGACGGTGACGCAGGAGTTGGTCGAGCGGACCAGTTATTGGACGTTGGTCGCACCTTGGCAATAGATGGATCGTTATCTTTCTTGATGAAAGCGCTATTTGTTGTCGATGTTTTCGACGATGAAGAGATTAGCGTGAATGCAGATGATACAGAACCTCTATTCATTCTCTGTTCCCAAACGTTGACCGAAGGCTTCCGTGTTGTTATCCGTGACACCTCTTCTTCCCTTTCCCTTCGCTTCTTCTGCTCCTGCTGACCGCCGTTACACTCGCCATCTGACTCGACGATGACCGATGAATTTGAAGTTGTGGGCGCGGTTATATCAGCATCTACGTCGGTACTGCTCGAAGATATCACTGTACTACTGCCAGGGTTGCTGCTGGTGCTACTTCTGCTGCTGGCATTGGATGAAAAAGATGATGAGGTCGATGTTGATTCCGGTATCGACACTGAGATTGCGAGGACCGTATTCTCTATCGGAGATCGAATATTTTGTGCATTCTTTGCACGGTCGGCATAAGAAAGCGATATGGAGGCCATCGTTATAGTCGATGACTCTGCAGTGGTGGTTGAATTTATCTCGAAGCCGTTTGTAGAGCCTGGGAGGACCACGGAGCTGGCAAGATTTTGGATGGACGAAGACGAGATATACGAAGAAAGAGGAGAATTCTGGAGAAAATTACAAAGGTTGACGATGTCCTAGCGGTCCCGGGTCCACAGCAGATAGCCACTCAGAACAAACTTTGTATTAATACATTATACGAATGTGTGAGATCTGTGTGGTCTTTGGTCTTGTTTCTTTCACAAGCTTAAGCCTTTTGTCACTTGTCGACAAATTCTTGAGCTTCTGGTGCTCATACCTGCTCATACAAAGCTCTCAAAAATCACCCTTCTCAGTATCTCGCAATAGATCCCATATAATATACATCCTATCAGTTGAATATTTAGAATCGTTATGGAAAGCCCCACGATGGGGGAAAGGCAAAGCGGCAAAGGCGATCAGAATCCACGACGATTAACAAATTGCTCGAGATCGTGCATTGTAGCGACGCCAATGACGAATTTGCGTTGGAAATCAGTCACTGTAAAAATTCAGTCAACAAATAACCACGACTGCTCCGATGAAACCACATACCAAGCGCAAAGATATTTGTCTGTAGAAACTGCTCTAGCTCATTCAGCGACGTTAGCGGAGTGATCAGCGTATATGGTTCTGAGCTTGTTCGTTTGAACTTGATCATGTACTGCGAAACTTTGTCGCTCTATAGCGAATCAAACATTCCACATCGTGAGAAAAACCACAATGTATGTTTGGAAGGATGATAACCACTAGACATACAGGTTTTGCCTGGCCAGATTCCCAAAGTTGCTTCAGCTTCGACACCTCCACGTAACCTAATGGCCTCCGATCCTTGTTTAAAACCCTTCAACGTGATCGTCAGGTAATAAGTATATGAAGGACTGTTTGAAGAACACTCACGGTATATGTGAAAAATCTCGATCATACGCGAGCTCGATGACTCGCGACACTGGTTCCGTGAAGGGTAGAGCAAAAGCAGGCGAGAGTTGGAGGTCCTGATCGTGAGCATAGATGTCAAAGTATGCAAGATTCGGCAAAAGGACATAATGGTGCACGATTTATATCGGTACCAAGAAATCCACAAATGGAGATTACAAAAAAGAGGCCCAGATCAATTGCGTGCAGCATATTAGTGACAAAGAACTTACTTCAACAACAGCGCCACGATATTTGTCGGGCGAATTCGACGAATTTAACGGTAATAAAGGCGGTGATACAGACATCAATGAGGATCCAGGCGAAAGTGCACTGCTACTTGGCATTGTCGTAGCGGACATAGCGACAGATAACAAGGAGGTAAAAGAGATAGGGAGAAAAAAACAGAGTAAGACTCAGTAAGTCAGTAGTAAAGCTATACTTGGGCTCAGCTACTTTCGGGGCGTCCAACGTGAGCAGCACGTGGTGTAATTCATCGGCCGAGCCAAAGAGGCTTCAAGCTTCAAGTTTCAATATTCAATGGAATTTGGGATTGGATAGGAACTGGATATAAGCTCAGAGATCTATACAACGATGAGGTAGGGATATCATAGCAATAGCCTTCGCACTTATAACACAGCCCATCTCATCATCGTAGGGGAATCATAAATTCCAGACTGGTCGTTTCCAAAAAAGATTTCGCCGAGTAGAGGGTATAAATCCTATACACAGCAGAAGCCATGAGAAAAGTCGAAAGATAATTTGAATCGGAACTATCACCAAAAATGACAACAGGGCCCCAAGCCGCGAGTAATAGTGCCACATGTTGCGTCCCGAAGGGTGTAGGTCGTGTGCGTCGTGAAGTAACGTCAACCAAAGTAGAGATACAAGCAAGAACCAAAGTCAAAGTAAATGAGCTGACAAACCAGATGCTCAAGACCCACTGTTAAATTGAAAACAAGAGAGAAATCTTACAGTTGAAATATAACAATACGCCACAGCGCGGGTCGAATCTTACTTGCATCCTCGAGTGCTGAATTCCGGGCTAGTGGAGAGATTGTGAAGATGGGTCTTCTACCTGCAAGAGCGGATTGGGCTGGTCAGTTGAAAGAATGAATGGTGGAAACCGGGATATGAGCCCACCGCTAAACATTGTCGAAGGATCTTCTTGCAGGTGTTGGGGGGTATAGATACTGGGACTATTTTTCGCCCCGGTCCTGCGTTCATCAGCAACTTCTAGATCCCCTGCCTCCTTCCTAAATTCATACTGATTCTTCCCATGCGACCTCACATAGTCCAGTTCAGCATCGACGTAATTCAAATTAGTTTCGTTCCGAGTATCGCATTGTGTCCAATCTATCGAACTAACATCGTCGTCATGGTCATTCCAATTCCATCCCGTAGTAGGTGAGTATCGCGCTTGTGCCTGAGCAGGGTGAGAGCTTTGGAAATGATATTCTGGATTAAATCCAGCCAGATAACCGACAAAGTCATGTCCAGGAGACTCTCGTGGATTGGGTGTCCCGGAATTACTGGGAGGGGCAAACGTCGGGAAGGCAGAAGACACAGAAGATCCAGTGTCGTCCTGGTTTTCGAGGGTTGATGAATGACAGGACCCTAGCGGATCATGATCATCGTTGACCGGTGAAGGAGAGAATGGTAAATGGAATTGGCGGGCGGAAAGTACTGGACTGGATAATCCAGGATTTATAGGTGCTCGTCCAGGAGAGGCAGCGTAGGCGTCGGACGGTGACGGCGAAGATATTGCGCGAGGAGTAGGTATTGGCGTTGGTGATTTCGAAGGGCCAAGAAATTGCCTCATGTCCTTGCGACGAGTTCGTTTGTGTGGCAGTGAAGTGAGATTCAATGAATTGACACCGTGGTCGGGGGAATCGCAGTAATGCCCAACAGTACGTTGTTGGATGCGAGACATTCGGACAAGTGCCATGAGCCCAAGACAGGAAAATGGTATAGAAAAAACGAGGGGGACGCCAGCATACGAAAGGAAGCGCACCCTACAATCGTAATCAATTGTGATAGTTAAGTCGAGAGATATATATGAATGTGGTGTTGAAGACAACGCACCATTCAGGATCAGTCGCGTCACAAGCAAAATCGTCAACGGGCTGTACAGCATCCAACTTGAGGACCGCCGTTATCTGGGCAACAGATGCTAACAATGGAAATACAATGAGGGTAAGGGTATATATTGGATGCCAGATGAACGGTCTAGGTGGTAGAGAGCATGAGCACAAATGGTCAGAGCATGTCCTCGCAAGCTCAGGTCTTACTTTGAAGAAGCCAGACCACAAACTCCTGGTCTCAAGACGGCCAGACTGGTTATCATCGAAAATGTCGCAGAGACACCGGTTAACATGAAGGAAGCGAGTCCGCTAAGGAGCGTTTGAGCTAGGAAAACGAGAGAAAGATCTGTGAAGGGAAGATGGGATGCAAGATAATGCCCTATTACCAATGCAAAAAGAGCGAGGCATGAGGGAGGGATCCATCCTCCAAATTAAACCTGGTGATTTATCAGGCTCTGAAGGGTTCGCGAGTAGAATGTTACGCACCTAAGCAAAATATTCCCTGTAATATAGTGCACCCAATGCAATATAGTAATGCGAGCCAATGCGAGCGGACGGCGACAGCGAATGCGCTCAGTACAGCCCAACATGATAGTAATCCTACGGCATTGTTCGTAAACACTTGTACGCAGGCTCTATAACTTGTTACACACCAGACAGCGATAGTGAAAACCAGACTATCTTGAGGGCATATGGGAGCATGTTCCAACCTCCACAGCCAATAGTGCCAGTGAATACTCACTGCGGAGGGGCTGAGCACGAGCTTGACACGAGGAAGTTCAGCAGAAGGAAGTCGGGGAGTTGCTCCGAGAGAATGTATCGACTTTGTATCCAATTTTTAGAGGGATCACCATCAAAAATCATCTGTTGCAAGTTCCCAGGTTATCGGCCCTTGAAATAGCGTTGAGTGATTTGCATATGTATACATGACTTGACCAGGAAGAAAGGAAGAAGGGAAACCGGTCTGGTGGTCCATGCAATAAAGAAAGCGACCTAGATGCAAAGATGAAGAAGTAGGGGCTGTAGGGCAGGGAACATTGGAGATGAAGAAGTGAGAAAAGATAGAAGTTCAGGCCCAAGCTTAGGGATGATAGCCGTAGACCAATAAAAGCCATCAGTATACAGACGCGGAGGAACAGCTCAATATGGTCGAATGTCCGAGCAGTGTTGTTAGGTGTTAGTTGATGCCTTTCTACTTAAGCACTCTCGAATCGCATTTAAGAACTGCATTGGATCCGGAGATGATTGCCAGCAGGTCATTCGAGAATCGAGAAGTTGGAACCTCGCAATGGCGATTTTCGGAAATATCAGTGAGATCTCCGCAACTTCGGGCCCATAGCTACTTATGAGGACATCTTGGGCGATTCTTCTGTGAGGAAAAAACGAGCATTAAAAATTAGGCCTAGGGTAACTTCTGGTAATCCCCTCCCTCTAACGTTCGCTACTTGCTTAAAGCCGACAGCCTCATAGAGGGAATGCCGTTCAGCCTCAGAGCCGACTTGGAGAAACCGCCAAATCCCGAACTTCGAGAAGCTGAACTTGTCAAAGACGATGACATGGAAGACGTTTGGCAGCGTTTGGCGCTTATCCGTAGGCGCTGGTCCAGCCCAATTGACGATGACGTCTGAGAACACCTTTCTCTTCTACACCCATCACTGCTACATACTACACAACAACTTCTGTAAATTCATTTCAACTCATCATGGTTAAAGCTTCAGACGTTGTCCTCATCTTGGTGAGAGGAAGAACAATATCTTTGATCAATTACTGAGCATGCATTCCTCAGGTTGCTATTGTCTTTCCGCCAGCTGCGGCAGCCTTCATCACAGGCTGCAGTTGTGACCTGCTTATCAACATTTGTCTCACTCTGTACGTTTGTTAATACTCTCTAGCTCCCTAAAAATCTGAAGACTAGTTGTCCAGTCTTGGGTATCTTCCTGGGCACATTCACGCCTTTTGGCTCATTTACAAGAGAATGCAGGCAGAGGAGCGCTACGGACGAGGGGGCTATCACTGTGCGTTCATTTTACAAGTATTCTTGTATCACGCTCATTGAATACGCCTTAGACATCGGAAACGGAGCATACCAGCCTTATCCTCAAGCTGCCCCATCCCAACCGGCACCCGCTCCTTATTATGGGGCTACTAATTAAAGAAGCAGAAGCAGGCTACTCAGATTTTGAAGTCGCAAAGAAACTGGTCGCGATGCGCACATATCAAATCCTGGGTTCATCTTGGCGTAATGTATGGTTCAAATCTGCATATGATCTTATGTACTCCTTTCTGCGGATGTAGTCCTAGTGGTACGGTTTAGTCTACACCAGGTCTAAACACGATATATTGTTTTTAATATACAACTTTTCCTACATCTTCCTATTTTCGGTAGTCATTCATCGACTGTAAACAAACTTTATAACCACCAACCGCCTGCGCCTTTATCGTGCAGAGCTCACGAAACGCACGATCGAAGGGAAATTGAGCGGCAGGTCCTCCACGACGGATAGCATAAATATAAGCATAGCTAGCACGCAATCTTGCTACTGCGGTCGGTTCCATCAATGTCTTCAGGTTCCGTGGACCAGGAAACGAAATAAAACGCTGCGACAAGTCGCGAATCTTATCCTGTCGAACCGTAATAGGTTGCGAGGTGAAGGAACCTGAAGCGGGGTTGACATATGTCTCTACTCGTTGCTTGTACATCGCCTCGACATGATTGGAGATGTCGTTGAGATCGCCGACTATAGCTTTCTCGCTTCGTTCCCTAGCCTCATTGCAAAAATTCTGCCAAGGGAAGACGAGATCTGGGTCTGGACGGAGGTTCAAAGGAGCGTTGCTGAAACGATTGTCTACTTCAATCAACCAGTAGTCACGCTGCTTTGCTGCTTCGATGTGAAGACTATCCATGATGAACTTGGGAAGATCTTCCCCACGTTGTAGAGGGAGATCGTTGCTGCTTATCGATGCTTTCTTCTCTGTGATTTTGTATGAAGGTCCTAGGGGATGCGAGTATAACTTGCGATCAGAAAGGTATGTTTCTGACTTGATCCGATATCCTGTTTTTGCTGAATCCAATACAAGACAAAATCTATCAGTGATCTCGTCAGTGATATCCAGATGAAAGTGCTACGGCAATTTCGGGGGAAAATCCTTCGACTCACTTGTAGGCGAGATTAATTGACCTCCAATGGGCATAGCCATACTCATAAACGGCATTCTCATGGAACCGAGAATAATCGCCCACATAACATGGATCTCTAAGAGATGAAAGCAAGTGATCCTGTAGCCCACCTTCAACTTGATCACCCATTTTGTGCATGTCACTACAAAACTGGGCAACTACTTCCTTGTCCATTGCAAAACAGCTCTCTATACCCGGAGGGGCCTTGGAATACTTTTCGTCAGCATTAGTGAAAGGCTTGACGAATGATTCATCCCAGATAACAAGAAGTCTATCCCCGTCAAAATCACCACCTCCGCAGTAATCAATCAGTCGACGATGCCCTTGAATAGAGCAGACAACCACATTAACCATATCTGCAAGAGCTGGGTGCTGCACCGCAGTGACCTGGGGTGGAAGTTTAATCATGACAGAGCTAGGCTCTAAGTGTGCAGATAACATACCTTGCGGACATCGGTTGGTACTTTACACGGATTCCGTGTTATCTGTAAACATTTTATACTCACATTTTCGAAATCAAATGAGATTACACATACCAACACCTCCCCAAGAATAATATCAGTCTTAATGCCATCCTTGTTGACAAATTCCCTTCGAGAGTTCTTGAAATAAATCTGGTCAGGGCCCAGCACATCGAAAGGATCTAACAATCAAGTCATTTTCTTAGTATTAACGCTCACCACATCCACATGAGTCGATACAGTGTTGGGAACCACACGCACCTGGGACAGCAAATGCACTACAACTCTGCGTAAGAACATAATTGAATTTTGCAGCAGCAGTCTTGATTTTAGTCTTGACGCATTGCTTCAACTTGTCCCTCAAATACGGTGAGTTCAGAGGTGTAAATCCCGAATCCAATAGTTCCATGACGGTTTCAGCAATAGACGATGGGCATCCGGAGAAAGGATCCGCCCACCAGGGTTGTGAGCTGGTTTCATGTTTTATACCCTCCTCATCGTCCTCATCGTCCTCGTAACTTCCATAGCCTCTTACTCGGCTGTCGGTGGGCGACACCCTGGCTTTCCGTGCACCAATTACGCCCTCGGCAGCCTCGACAGCTTTCCACAGTTTAGGCATGGCGTCGGGACCTTCCCAGGCGGTGAGACCATCGACAACCTGTTGAAGACGCTGTTGAAGTAATCCAATAAATACCGATGCGGGAACACCGTTATGGTGCAAATTCTTGATAACTTCTTCTGAGAGTTTTGCGGGAGTCTTGGTGTGAGAAAATCTCAAGATATCCATCGTTAAGTGCGATGGGTCTAATAGAACAGAGGAATAGCAGATCTTGATCTGAGAGGACCGGAGTACGACTTGAAGATCTTCAACTTTATCATGATTGGCCAAAAGAACCATACCCTGCGACATTGGAATTAGATTATGCAGAAGAAATGACGAAACGCGTTCATACCTTTGCACCAGCCAAGCGAAACTGGATGGCCGTCGATACTTCTGATAATTGAAGTCTTTCTCGATAGGTTTCGTGAATCACCTTGTGCAAAGCAAGACTTGAAATCCCACATCCATCTGTCATATTCGAGCTGGGATCTGATGCGTCTAGAACTAAATAGAGTGAATATTAAGGAATATATCACAACAAGCTCGAGCAAAGACATACTTATATCTGATTCATACGTGATCTCCTCTTGCTTTAAGCGCGGTCCTGGGATGGAGCTCGAAAGACCAAGAGCTAAGCGTGAAGCCCACTTGCATAGTTTCTATAATAAGTGCTGTCAGTGACAACAAAATTATGAAGAAGTTGTGAGATGACCTGATGGCTATTATATTCTAATGGATTGAGCCACTTGATGAACTCGTACAGTGATAGCCCATCGTCAGTATGGGGCGAGGGATTCAAACTGATTTGTTCATCAAGAAGGATCTCGTTCGTTTTGAAGAGGAAAACAGTATTGTCCTTTGCGAAAAAGGCACGGAAGACATGGTTCCAGATGACGACGGGACGCTTGAAAAACAACACTAGGTCATTCTGCTTTGCGTAAAAACGTTTCGACGGGATTTTGACGCGAAGGATACAAGCCGAGCCAAATCGACGCTGAATTTTATTCGATGGACCCAAAGTAGCTTTCTCGAGCACGATTTTCTCACCAGTTTCTTCAAGCTTTCCTACAAAAATGATATTTCCAGCCCACCAGCCGGGGTATTCCTCGTTGTTTCCAATGCCTGCATAGAGCGGATCCTTGGCAAACGCTTCTTCTTCCTTATCTAATTCTTCCCATGGAGCCTAATCGAGTTTCACGGTTAAGCAAGATACACAACTAGAGTTCTTGAAGCTGTCTCACAGTGGAAGCCACTTCATGTGTCGAAAGATTGCGCAAGCTGCTGACCGAAAATATTTGAGAAAACAAGTATGAATGCGTAGGTATCTGGTCTTGTGGTAAATTCGATATTAAATTCTGGAACTTAGACATGGAATCCGGGTTGCTTGCTAGGGTACGGGCGAGTTCGAATTGGATCCCGTACGGGATCCGTTTTTGCTCCATTGTTTGCTGGAATATATCATTGTTGATCTTAGAGGAACAAATGCTCAGTAAGAGGAACAGCAATTATAGATGCAAGCACTTACGATAACAATTGGAGGGTTTGCATTCAATCTTGATAATTTGTTAGGTCTACCAATATCGGCAACACTGTCAGGTCTTCCCCGCTTCAGGTTTGTCATAATTTTTAGAAGCAGTAAAGAGTAACAGATCGCTTGCACTACAGGTTAAACGCAGTCGTTGAAGGGAGGGGTGAAGATCGCGTTGGCTGCATGTCATTTTTTCTATCTGCACCGAAAAGGAAATTTCCGTTATTTTCACTCTACCCTAGAATCAAACCCAGGCTAGTACCGATCAATTCTGAGGAATCACACCCACCGAAGATGTGAAAGAGCTTCTCACACTTCTGGAGTAGTTCCAGACTCCAGAGTTGTTCGGAATATCCTTAATCCCTTGATCAACTTCTAAATAGTCCTCATTACCTCCGGCTCATTACACTGTACCGCTCTTTTTGATTGAAGCTGCCTGAAACTTGCTGTGTAAGGTTGAAAAAGTCCTTGATTCTGGTTCACTGCCCAGTAGAGTTCTAAAGTCCTGTGCACAACTATCATCCAGTGTTCAAATTACTTCCACAGCAGCATCGGAAACCTGGAAAGAAGACGCAGTCAATGGTCTCCGCGGTACTAGTATTCAATGCTCACTGAGAAGGTTCAAGAGGCACACTTCTTTTGCAAATCAAACACCGCAATGATTTTCAGAAATTTTCGAAGAACATGAAACGACTCCTCCTCAATGGGACCGTGTCGATTCTTTCCTTTCCTTTCCTTTTCTGTGTAGATGCAGCTGTAAGTGTAAATATACATAGCAAAGTTGTACCAGTACAAAAAAGGTGTTTGAAATAGTATGTGAAATGTAACTATTTGTTTGGGAGACGGGGATACGACGAAAACAACTCCAAAGAAAGAGGGACACACCAAGAAGAAGTGCACATTCATAGGGGGAGGAAACTAATGCTCTCGAAGGAAATCACGACAATGCATCCCATACACTCAATCCTGTGAAGAACACTCCTAATGAGACCAATGACCCGATATACACCACTGTGTGCACACCAGCTTTAGGCAGCACCAAATGCGTATGTAAAAGCGAAAGTACGATTTGCAAGATGGTCACAACCGGTACGCCGATTGTGAGCACATGATTTGACTTTTTCAAGTTAGCCGGAAGAAGTTGAATAGATGACCAAGGCCATGCTGATGAAATGAAGGTTTCGAGAGAAGGAATAGAAGGAGAGTCGGAGGTAATGACGTATAGCGCTGAATACTTATCCGATGAGAGCACATCGGGACCGGTATTCATTGAATACCACGACATGGAAGAGATTGTAGATCGAAGGTATGCGGAAGAGAGAATGAGGGTAACGCCTAGTGAGAATAGAAGGGCATTGGCGCGCTGTAAGCAAGATATAAAGGCAGGTATCCGCTGGTAATCCACTGTTTAGTATGATGATTTTTTTTTGAGCAACAATGAAACGTACGATGAAAGGTATACCGTAGTATTTCCCGAGTTCGTCTCGCGCTCTTACAGCCATTAGCTGGTCGATGTCGTCTTCGACCTGTAACTCGAGCGAGGTTTCGAGGTCGATATCCGACGCCCTCGACTCTCGCTGTAGTAATAACGGCACACGCTCCAAGTTCGAGGAAGCATCTGCATCCGAAATTGCAGTGGCGGCAAGACCTCTTAGAGGAACACTCTGAGCAGGAGATGTATGTTCACTGGAGCCAACCACGAAAGGAGCTAGAGAAGGTTCAGCAGTGTAGGTAATTTGGTCTGTGGCTCCATAAATTCGCCCGAGTTTGGTAGCGCCGTCTTCGATTTCGATGATTCGTTCTTCCTCGTATATATCATTGACTAGAACATCACGATATAACGCAATATTCGCGTATCCTTGTTTGATAGCGACAATTCCCTCCACCGCAGCCCAACCTAAGGAAACCCACCAAACACGTCTGAAGGCTGGATCGCGCCAGGTGGGAGTGTCGTAAACGAGGTAATGAGGAATAACGAGAATAGGTATTGCGAGAAGGCGAAGGAAGAGAGAAAGGATTGCGTGTGCCACCGTTGATAGCATTGTTGAAAAGCCGCCATGAGATAGCCGGCAGCTGGTGCATATTAAGACGGAAAGACTGAATATGGGCGTTCTCAGCAGATACGATAAACACCAGAGACCCGCCGATACGAAGAGTTCTGGAAAGGGAAATGGCAGTACAGAAGGGTATTCTGGTGTTATTTGAAGCGGATACACCCAAATCGGGAGTAGTGCCAGAAGAGCAAAGAACGCCACAAAAGACAAGGGAACAAATGTATACAAAACCAATAGTCTTCTGTATGATCCTGAATCAGTAAACAATCACACTGCTTCAGTCTTCCGTATGGGGTCTCATGAGAAGCGAAATAATACCTCTGTACAATCCCTGACTCTCGAATTCTTCATCAATTTCATCAATATTTTCCTCTTCATCTCTTCCATCAAATTCAACAGAACCATCTTCCGGTACACGGTCAAGGTAGCCAGAGCCAGAACTGTCTGCTCTGAGTCGTTCTGGACTTGTATGAAGCCTGGTTATTGACGCAGGTCTGGTGTCGGCCTGCATGTAATGCCCAGTAAAAATGTCAGATTCGGTCGAAGTTTTTCTGGACCAAGGTCGAAAGGAGGCAGCTTTCGCAAGGCTGAAGCGAACAGACATATTTTCTCAGGAGCTGTGAACAATGGTGAACAGTGAAGTGAAGGCAATGGAGCTGATTTGCATGGAGGAAAAAGCCGGGCCTGGTGGCCTGGTGGCTATTGGAGAGACTGCGATTGACTGCGCGCTTTCCAGTGGAAATGGTGTTTGATGGCGTTATGTATGACTTTTTCGCGCGGCTTCCGCTTTACACTGTCTTTTAGTGGCCTTCAAAGGGAGAGTGATTCCCGGGAAATTCGTTGCAACCCTGTTTTGCGTGATAGGGAGACTAGGACTTCGGCATCCTCCCACAAATTTCATTCGCATCCTCGGAGCTCTAACTTGGCTGGGGAAGGCTGGCCGCTGACTAGAACCACCGTGACAATCTTATTTTGGGTGAGTCTGCCTACCGGACTCATCAGGTGCTGGCTTGAATAAAGCTGTGGTTCGTATCCTATACAGGCTATAGGAAAAAACACTCGATATCGTGCCCCCCTTCCACCAGCGGAGCCCGAGCGAAACACAGGTTATAAAGCTGAAACCCTGCCAAAATTAGCTCTCAGAGAACTCAGACTTGACTCAGGCTCAGACGGGTACAAAGTAAGCAATATTATTGTCTTCTTACTATATAGAACGATCCATTGACCTTCCGAGGATGGTCGGTCACAGCATTGTGGCGAGGCGATAGCTCGTACAGCGAAGTGTAGCTAGTGCTACCAACATGATGAACGCACGCGGTGAATCCCAGAAGCCGTCGTCTGTACCAGGTTTTCGGTCGAATTGATACATCAAGCATCATTCAGTAGCTATCGTGTATTCACTCAGCAACAGCACCAGGGGCTCAAGACAATTTAAAATTCGAGAACGCTCTTAGCTAGAAACCATCTCCGCCATTTCCTGTAAGTACGGAGTCTGAGAACGACGGAAGGAGGGTTTAGTGTTTAGACCTGAGCGTCATCAATCCAACTTATGTATATTTGCCAACTCTAGAAGTACACCACTATACACATCATCTAATAAGGTTACCAAGTAAATTATTATGCAAGTGAGAATGCCAAAACTATGCCCATGGAAAAAACAGGTATCACCGTGTTTGCAGGAGAACATGAAGAACATGAATATGCCGATAAAAATGAATGGGGTAATATTATATCAGGATACGATGAAGTTTTAGAGCGTCATGGATCTGACTCGTCCATCACCAGGGGCAGGCAATCTAGTCATGACAAGGCCAGAAGATCGAGCAAGACGTGAAGCTGCCGAAGGAGGAATCGTTCTACTGAATCGAGAAGCAAGGCGGAGATCGCGGCACAGCTCCTTCAAGCGTTGCTCTGCCTCCTTGCATTCTGCGACCTCGTCGGGACCCAGTGGACTAAGGGCATCGTTAGAAGTGACAGAAACGTCAATTCTTGCAAGTTTTTCGTAAAACCCCACGCCGCGTTCCACGCGTCGATTGAGGAATTCCTCAAGCGCTACACAGACATCCACCACGTCATCCTCGTAACATTGCATAGAAAGATTCTCAATCGGCGACCCAGCAAGGTTGGTGATGGTGTCAACAACGCTGTCAACAGGAAAAAAGGGGGATATATGTAGTTTCCGAAGACGTTGGAGAGGAGTGACTGAAGGTTTGGCGAAGACAATATCGGAAACGGTAGTTGTCAATGAAAATTCATCGACAGTCTTGCCAACAGCGCCCATAATACGCTGAATGCATATGCTATTGAAATCCTCGTTCTCGTGAAAACAACTGCCGAGGTCAACGACTTGTAATTTGCATTTGACAGGGACTGTAGCCCATCGGCGATCGCCCAGATGAGTGTCTCTAATGACAAGTTCTCGGAGAGTGGGCAATTGGAGGAGCGAAGGGAGATACAAATCCGCGCCCAAACGAGGATGATCAGGAATGTTATCATCTCCAGAAACCAAAGGGATATATGGAGGGACGCCATGGAGCTCGGGTGCATGCATAAGAGAGCGCGATACCCGATCTAAGGATAATCGTTTGAGATTTGGAACAGAAGCAGCAATAGCGACGACAAGACGTTCGCTCCTACGGATCGTTAACTAATTTGTTCCAAAAGCGAAAACACACAACATACAAAGGCTTGAGGTCTTCTGGACCACTGTTGTGAATGGAAAGACGTTCCAGCTTGCTAAGATGTCCAAAGCAGGAGATGATACTATGATGGAGTGATCCTCCTGTGCGCAGGACGAGTTCCTCAAGGCAAGGACTAGCTGCCAGGATTGAGATTACAACCTCTGTGATAGAGCGAGGATCTGAACTACGGGCATTGCTTTCCGTGCAGAGATCAAGATAATGTACATATCGGCAGTAGCTGCGAGGTACGTTGTCCACAAAGCTTTGCAAAGCTTGCAGGTTGTTCAACTTGACATTCTAGACGGGCTGTGAGATGGAAGCAGTGTTCAATAGATAATATACATACCTTGAATGAAGATGGCAAACACGCAGTATATGTATCGCGGTCCACTTGTGAAAGACTTTTGACATCGTCCGAATCAAGAACCTCGACGACAGCCAATTTCATCTCTGTAGGAAGTGAAGACCACATTTTGTTGACGGAGTGCGATGAACGGTAATGATAAAAAGAGTCGCTTGGAAAGGACGGGAGGGAACTGGGGAAATCGAAGAATTCATCCGAGTATTTGAAGAAGAGGATCAAATTTTATCCGTGCTGAGCGTCCGTTCGTAACGGCACGTGGGAAAAATGTGAATCTCATTGTTGAACTGATGAAAACTTGATTACTTCAACCTGATCTGTCACTGTCATAATCCAGTGCGACATTCAGAATGTGCACTGGCTTTTGGTCTTTGTAGACTGACTGTTACTACATCGGGCTCATTTCTGTGAAATTAGATGTTCTCTTGTGCTCTCAATTCGCTCTACAAAGTACCCCAGACCTCAACAAATCTACTTCACGGACTTGCCTTTCGGTGTAGGACGCTCAGCGCCGACGTTCAGCCGCTTCAGCCCTGTTCAACTCCACTTTTGCCATATTTACACGGTTATAACCCATAGGATGCTGTTGATATTAACAAGGTATCCACTTCATCACTTTGTCAGGCTGGCTTTCCGAGGATGGCGGAATGCCTGATTCTTTCGAGTTTGAGCTGCTGCGAATCCTCAGAGGTTCATTCCTTTACTCCTTTACTCGAAATGGCCGTACAAAATTGTGTCACGACTAGCACATTTACTTCTCATTCTCGTGTACTTCCAACAGGCGTCGATCTCAATTCTTCTCATAGGCTTTGGGCCCAAAGATTTCACACTCAGCTGCGTCCTTCTTTGCCACACATCTACTGGCATGGACTGAGCTTTCTGGCGCATCCTATGTAGTTAAGACGAGATCTGTGACTGTTTATAGTGCAGCGCGCAGAGAGGGCGAAAGACTGCCTGACACCTATCAAAAATGAACCCAAATCGAGATTCCGACGCCATACACGAGGCTCACGGACTATTTCCAATGCAATGTTTCAAAATAGTTCATGCATCCGCCCTTCAAACAAAATAGCTTTGCGACTTTCAAATTTCCGTGCGAACCGCATGTTATAAGCAATGAATTCTTCAAGCGAAACTCGGAAAACATTCAGGAGATGCAACTCCTATTAGAATGCAAAGCTCGGATTTTCTGTCGTCAAATCCTGTACAAGTTGAAGCTCAATCTAGTGTCAGGAAATGGCTAGCCTACAGCGAGACGACCGTGACCTCGGGCTTGTTCGGTCAGCCATTGGATTACTGTCCGCTGACCAGCCTGCACACGTATGGTAAGGCAGAGCAAGGCTTGTGAAACCCCCTTCTTCAACTGTACGCCACGCTTCTGAGGAGATGAGTTAGTACGCCAGCTTCCCTTAGTCTCCCCTGGACAGATCAGGCTCGGATTTAGTAAGTGCAACTCTTATTCTTGAACTCGCTTCCATTGTGCGATGCATACTTGCGAGGTCGATTTCACGTCACCGTCCAAAGCATTGAACCCAGTATTTTGCCTGGCGAATTTAGTACAAAAGCGCAAAACGTACTATCGACCACCCAGCAGTGTACCAGTCATGCGGATCAACCCTTTAGCTCGAGAATAATCATTGCACCCATCCGAATCGAAGAGTAGAATTTTACTTCTTGGTCTTGGACGGTGACACAGATGTAGTACACGGAGATGCCTTGAAAGGTATACCGGTTGCTCCATTCCTGCTGCATGGAATAGAAAACTAACCCTTTTCCCCAAAGGACGCTTGATTACGAGTCCCGAACCGCGCGCCGCGCGAACAAGTATTTTCAAGTTGTTCCCCAAGCCGCTTAATTAGAAATTCAGAAATACCCTCAGCACCGCTTCAACTAATTCATACACCCTCCCGGATGTCAATACATGTGTTTATCGGAAATTCATGCGCCCTCGTTTAGTGCAATGAGTAGTGGACTGTAGTTCAGTACAAGGCGACAGATAGGCGCAGTTTGGAACCGCCACAAGTGCTTTCGAGTGACCCCGGCTCCGGTACTACTCGGAAGTTCAAGGCAGTAGGTGCGAGTATCGATCGGAGCGGATGGCAAAAAAAAGGATCAAACATGGCTATCTGGATAATCTCCCAAGACCATAGAGGTGAGTATTAACTCGTACTTCCGGTTCGCACAATTTCATGATATAGAATCAGGTTTTATGAATTAAACACTACTAAACTGTTATCATACTGAGCTACTGACTCAACTTACTCACATGTTTGACCTCATCAAGCCGGAAGCTCGAAGGCGAGCGCAGATAGTGTCTGGGTTGCAGAGTCAAGTATATGTCGTTGTAGAGGCGGCAAGCATAAGTCGGGACATCCCAACGCCACGCCAGACCCTGTGCTGCAAGTTTATGAAAAACGAGACAAAATCCAGTCATTGTGACTGGCACAAATCCCAGCAACGACTATTTGAGCTTTCGTTTCAACTCAGGCTGTCACAATAATTCCAAAATGGTTGCGTCGTGGAGATCGATTTTCCGTGAACTTCGAGGACAAACATCCCAATCAAGCTTAATCGAAATCACGATGTGTTGTTGCGCAAGTGAAAGACAATATATTTAAAGGTTCTTTCCGAGCCTACAGGACACACACATCCAACGCAGATTGTCAAGTTGTTTTGGACCACAGAATAGTCCTGATGTTGTCACGGTTCATGTCCATTATTGATCTACGGAACACTAGGCTATGGCCTGGTGCGTCTTCGACGCAGCCAGTGGCACTGCCAGCCCGAGTCCGAACAGATAATCGTCTTCCTATGCCACAAAGTATTGGTAAGTACCAGCGTCAAGTTGCCGCTTGATTGCCGTTTGAGCGACAACAAATCCGGTAAGCACGCTCCGAGTCGGCATGATGCCGCGCCTTTTCGTAGAGCTTTGCCGCTTGTTTGCCGTTTTAGCGACCTACCAAAACTACTAAAAAGTAAAGCGGCAAGCTTAAGGACTAGTAAGTACTAAGGAGTCCTAAGGCCTAGGTGATCACTTTCGAGCGATTGCACTCGCTGTCGAAAGGTCCATATACGGAGTCGCTTTACAAGAACAAACATATGATTCAAGATGTGATTGCGGGGAGTAGGACGTTAAGATCTAAAGACTCTATCAAGGCTCTTGCTACGCACTGGAATGCAAACATCCGAGACAAGTAACTGACTGCATCGTACGTGCAGCCGATGTAGGCCGATGCATATGATCTTGCATGATACAGATCTTCATTCTTGAGGCATTGGACTCGGAGCAGGTTGGAGCTTTATGAATTGTCGATTGATCCTTTTGCTTGTGAGTTTGACCTCCCTTCCTTGCATTTCATTTATTTACTTAGGCACTCCGAAGACCGGAATTTCTACGAGTCCTCGGCTGGCACTTTCGAGTAATTTCCTTCAACGTGCTCTCTCAATTAGGCGAGCTCAAGTCAAACTCAGAGTTTCAGAGCTATCGTTGCTCTCGGCAGTAAATTTGAAACTCCCTGGGGTTTTCTTCCTTGGATTCTCATATTTTCTTGCCGACCGCCATGTCTATTCTGGAATAGAATCACCAACCAGCCCTCAACTGGACATTGCCGCATTTGTTGTAGTCGATTCGAGCTCTTAAAAATGACTCCCTTCGGACCTGACATCTACCTACTTTGTAGACGTCAATAATATCTGTCACTGTTACTCCCTCCCTGCCAACCATTCTCTGGCAATTTTTTCGTCAGCCTCTGAAATTATCGTCTCCTCTCATCGCCTTACACCGCGCCCTTTGTCGTACTAAAATACGCAAAGAAGGTTTACCACCACTGAGATCTGACTATGCTTTAATCACACGCTGACAGGCGTTCTGTATTTATCCTGACTGTAACGGTCATCATTATACTGCACGTCGACGTTGTCTTACCGACAACAAGCAATGTAGTAGAGGTGGGTTTCACGAGCCAATGATACAGAATTGAACACATTGGGATGCACCATAGGTAAGATGTTGAGGGGAGTAGAAGGCACCTTCGGTACATGGTGGGTGTACTGACGCCAGTTACGGTACCGGGCGCACGTCATGATAATGGAATCAATCTTTAATCAAAGAGGTGTCGACGATGTCGATATAGTATTCACAAGACTAATATTGAATCAACTGCTCTGTCTCATGCAGTCATGGTTCTCGCTTTATCCTCAAAGCGCTTGGGTAGTCATCAGCATAAGTTACATGTGAAGCGGCAGATATCTTGTTAAAAATGATGTTCTGTGAGGATTTTAACTGCTTTAAATAGATGATCGTTAATCAGGCTCCACTGCGTGGAATGCGCCTTGCTCGAGTCTTGGCTAGCTTGGCTGATCAGTCAATTATTACTATTTATTCAGGTGAAATCTTAATCATAGTGTGATACACAGCTAACCAAGTATGTAGTGCTACACCTGCTACCCTTAACCTCATGAGCTACTTAGGTAGGGTAAGGCTCAAGTGAGTACATAACAACATGCTCGAGTCACTACGAACTCCGTTCCTCGCTCATGTCGCCAAATTGCATTGGCTGAATGGGACTGGGAGGCGATTATTTATTTCGATTTGGCAAGAAGCATAGAACCAAACATGGCCAAAATGTGCCTGCTCAAAACAGTGTGAATCACCGGTGCAGTCTGGTGCAGTAGACCTTGCAAGCAAGGATTCGTGGCAAACAACAAGCATAACCTGCAGCAGCTTTCAAACATTCATGTGTCGTATCAATGTGATCCGTTGCACAAGTACTCTGGTCATCCTACGGGCGCTTACTAGGTCTCAAATAGATTGTCCTTACTATTTACAGGCGCTAAATTTGGCAGAAAAGAAATACTCTGTGAATGTCAAATAGAATAGAACAGTGGGGGGCAGAAAGGAACACAGGCACTAAAAATCTCACCATTCGAAGCGCTTTGGTGAAAAGCAGTGCGAAAATAGAAATGGTCGGTTCTGGCCAGCCGTCCCACGGAAATAAAGGCTTATGAGGGAGAAAGTTGACATGAACGTGGTGTCGGATAGTTTGTTGATGATATCAATACAACTTTGACCTGCTGTCTTTTGACTTTGTACAAATGGAAATACACTATTGATTTGTCCATGAGTTTTATCTTGAACGTCGTTATGGACTGATTGCTCGATTCTCTTCCTTTTTACCCCGTATTGCACCCTCCGCAATGCCCTCCAGAGTTTACGGACCGACGGATCCTGACTCCTGGGACCCTTTGACTAACGCTATTTCTCCTCCCTCAGACGAATCCGCACAAGAAAGGGAGATCCGGATAAAGCATGAATTGGAAGCAAAGCAAAAGTCGGATGCCATAGATGAAGACTTGAATCGTCAGCGGGCTGCAGAGAAGAAGGGACCCAAACCTGTTCGCGTGTTGCTGCTCGGTATGTTTCCCTTTCCTCTGTTCAAAACTTGGATCCTGACCCTTCTTAGGCCAAAGTGAATCAGGTTAGTGTCTTGAGAACTCAGCCCAGGATTTGACCAACATCTGGTGAAGGAAAATCTACTTTCCTGAAGTTCTTCAAGTTAATGCACGATCCTAAGGTAGGCCGAGATACTTCTGCCTGTCATTACCGCTTCATTTCCTTCACACATACAGGCATTCTCGGCCGAACGAGCATCATGGCGAGCAGTCATTCAACTTAACGTCGTCAGGTCTATACATGTCATACTCGATGCAATGACCCATCCCTCCCAACCTCGCCACGACCCTCGGAAGCAAATAACTTCGTCTACTTCTAGTTCCCCTCTCAGCGGAGAAATCCCGCTCCCTGAAGATACTTCCGATGTTGAACCGGAACTTATTCAAATTCGATACCGTCTCTCATCACTTTTACAAGTCGAAGATTTCCTCACTCGACAACTTACACCGAAGGACTACAGCGAGGTGGGCACGACGCAGCTAGCGCCGATGAACCACATCAAGCACGTAGCAACGGAGTTAGCAATAAACTCCAGCGTTCCTTGGAAGCAGAGGTTTGATAGGCTAGTAGGAAAAGGAGACACCGAGCGTATGATCATTGATTGGGATGATCCGAACGATCCAGGAAAAATCCTGCACGCGGTAAGAGAACCACATCTTTCTTCTCTGGCCTCTGTGCCAATCATGTTTCTGTCAATTAGTGCGGGGAAGACATGATTCGGCTTTGGCAGCACCCAAATGTACAACAGATGCTTGAAAAGCAAAACCTCCGACTGGAGGAAATGGCTGGTTTGTAAGTTCGGGGTAACTCTCCGCATCAACATTTCTTGATGATACTCAATTTTTTGCCTCTTCAAGCTTCTTGGACTCTTTATCCGAAATAACTGCCGAGCGATACCTACCATCAGATGGTAAGCTATGCATTACACAGAACGCCAATCTCTTACATCCTCTTGCATCGTGCAATCGCCGACCATAGAACATATTCTCCGAGCGCGATTAAAAACACTGGTAAGTAATCGTTTGATGTGTTAAGGTTGTTAAGGTTAGCTCATCTGAACTACTGTCCAGGGGGTATCTGAGCATCAAGTGAAAGTGAGCGCAGGTATATATGCTTTCGTCCAATCTCATATGAGAAAACCTCTGACTATTGTTTCAGGTAGCGACATTGGCAGTGACTGGCGAATTTTCGATGTCGGAGGGCATCGGTCTTTAGTGAGTCTTGTCACCAACACCTTCATCGAAGGCTGCCTGACTTAATCTGCAATAGCGAGGCGAGCTCTCTGTGCTTCGTTCTTCCAATTTACTAATACTTGATATGACCTCGAAAAACAGCGGCTTGGGCCCCCTTTTTTGAGAATAATCTTGATGCTATCATATTTCTGGCCCCGATTTCTGCTTTTGACCAGGTGCTGGCGGAAGCACCCAAGGTCAACCGGTTGGTAAGTTGTCGTCAAAGTTCCTCTCCATGTCGTACATGTTACTGATCTTTTGTTATGATACACAGGAAGATTCAGTGTCATTATGGGCGAGTATTGTGGCCAACAAAATCTTACAGCGCACCGACTTGATCTTGTTCTTGAACAAATGCGACCTAATGGCTGCCAAGTTGGCTTCCGGGATCAAGTTGAAAGATTATGTGGTATCATACGGTAACCGACCAAATGATTTTGACAGTACGACAAATTGTAGGCGCAAGCTCTACCTGTTCTTCAGTCAATGCGATGTTCTAATGTCATTCTGTTCTCAGATTTGAGAAAGAAGTTTGGTGAGTCTTGTCATCTACTCCAACTCAATTATGTGAACTAAAATCGGAGATGGTTTCTCTCCGTCCGGATTTTGCCTGACACAAATTCTTCACGTATAGCTGGGATATTGAAAGAGAATTCGCCGCTGCCCAGAACATTCTACTGTCATTATACCTCGGTCACGGTCAGTCCAGTCTTCACACAAGCTGATTGTAATTCAATTCTTATGCTGGTCTGAAATTTCCAGGATACACTGTCAACACAGAAAGTTATTGCAAGCAGTAAGTCTTAGCTGGCAAGCTCTAATTCTACGTTCTTGCTAGGTGTTTGAATTTTGCGCTGACAACTTGCGTATATCATGAACAGTCAAGGACATGCTGATGCGCGACTCGCTGAGACACTCGACTCTTCTTTTGTGAACGCAATGACCCGGAAGTGGGACTTGCGCAGGACTTGCGAAGTCATTTCACCTCCTCGGTGATGTGTCAACTATTCATTCGCCCTCTCTTCTCCATCCTTCTACTCATCTATCTATCCTTAATCTGCATATCGTATGATATTCACTTTCCGAAGTTGCTGTTATCTGCTCTATCTAACCTTCTTGCTTTGACCCTTAATTGTATTAAGTTTTTTGTTGTTTTCTAATTGCATGAGTATTGGTACAGTGATTTATGTTGTAATCAAGTAAAAATGCAGTGTCAGTCTACTGAGCGACTAGGAGCAAGTGCATCGGCTACGTGTTAGAGCTGCTCCTGAGAAGCTGATATTCGTATTTCAATTACTTATCCCTCTTTGATTCAAGAACGGTCTGCAAAATGGAAACAAGAAAGCAATAAACATCTTAGAGAATCCGAATCATCCCTTCCATCGTGGCCGGTGACCTTCAATATCGAAAGAACATAAATACTTACATAGGGTTAAAGGTCTAAAGAAGGGATTGATTGGAACCACAAAATCCTCAATACCTCCAAATACATTTTTTCCTTCGTCCAGAGGCCGGAAAATTTGTGAGACAAGGGAAACTGAATTACTCGGACGACCGGGTGCCATTCTTGAAATAGAGTTTGTATCAGGATGAGGATTTTTTCACCGCTGATAGTGGGCGAGAACGTACCATATATGTTGCTAAATCTATCTTGCATGCAGGATACAGAACCCTTGTGGTTACTCGTACATAGGTTCGGAGTTAGAAGCGCTGATAATTGAGCCCGTCATCTTTACCTTCACAAAATGGAAGTAAGGAAAAATGTTGTATGTAGATGTTAAGGACATGACATTGACAAGACGTGTCCAAATGTTGCATAGATAACAATAATACTTGTTGTAAGGCGGTGGGTATGCAACACTGATGGCGTAGTGCAGCTTCGTCAACTTTGAATGTCCCCGGAATGTCCCAGAACCGGTACGTTCCTTTCCATGAGGTCATCATTGGCTACTGAGTACATTGAACTGTCTGAATCAAAACCACAATCGATAACATTTTATAATGACACACGAGAACAGAAATCCGTACGATTTTACAGAAATTGATGCTCGTTATTGGTTCGTTATGTCTGGGAAGCCCGTATGAGGTTGATGCGTTTCAGGACGGGCAAATCTATGTAAAAGTAAGGGCTTGGGACAGCAAGGGGAGAAGACAAGGCAAGGAAGTTTCCATAGGATTTCGTATATCGTCACAACCACGTTCGCAGGTCATACTCCTGAGTGCCATTGCTTTTTCCATGTTCCTCCTACCATAGTGTATAGAGGTGCCCCAGTTTTCGCAGTGAAGTCTGGAATGAAAACGTGATTTTATTAGCGCCCGCGGCCACTCTCACGACCTCAAGGGCCTCATGATCACATGCACATTTTCAATTTGTCAAATGTCAATCCATGCCTTTACCAACCCCATCTCTGCGAAATGCCTTCCGTACGGTCGTTAGTACAACTCCAAGCAATTTCCCATATACCACAAACATAGCTAGCTCTCCTTTTGCCAGTATCCAGCGTGGAAAGACACGCACCATCATGCCGACATTCTCATCACTTGAATCTGAACGTGTGTATCGAAAAGAGCATCTAGCTTTGATTTTCCGAATTCTACATCGATTTGGATTTGCAGAAGGTGTTGCAGGCCATTGCTCTGTCCGTGACCCAGTTCAGCCAGATACGTTCTGGGTAAATCCGCAGGGAAAGTCCTTTGCCCGTATGCGTCAATCTGATTTGATTCAGTGCCATGTTGAGAATGGAGAGATCGTGAGCGGAGAATTACCTGTGGATGCGTCTGCAACGAGTATTCACTCAGAGATGTATAAAGCTGCTGGTCGGGGTAAGGGTCAGGAGCGTGGAAAGGAAGGCGGAATAGAGAGTTTGGTCCATGTGCATTCGCCATACACCAAGTAAGTTCACATTTCTTTGTCCGATTGACGGATTTATTACCAATAAAACTGATAGAGCATTCTCGGCCCTCAACCGAACCCTCGACATGATATCTCAGGATGCATGCGCCTTCTATAATCAGCAGGCCCTCGTTCCTTTTGCCGGAGGGGTATTCGACAACCAAGAAGGCGCGCGCATCGCGTCCTTCATCGGCCCTCACCATAAAGTTGCTATATTACAAAATCATGGTCTACTGAGTGTAGGCAGACTGTCAATAGATGAAGCCGCTTGGTGGCAAATCAGTTTCGAAAGTACGCCATCATCATACAATACACTCCAAACCAAAATTTATTCAGTCTGTCAGTGTGTGCGAAAGCTCAAATACTTGCGGACTCTGCTTTACGACCAGGCGAAAAATTCGTTTTTGCAAAGGAAAAGAATATTCTAGAAACAAGGGAGGAGATCGGCTCACCAGAAATGGGATGGTTTTGCCTGGCCGCATACGTAGAAGAAGAGGAATGGCATTCAAAGGGGGATCACACCTTGTGAAGAAATATCGGTATGCAAGGTACCAATGGCATCTGACTACCGTCTTGAATACAATGAAGTTTCATGATTGAACTGGGCTTGAATAGGCATAGCGGATACTCTGGGATCCTCATTCAAACTTTTAAAGGTTTGCAACTCAAATTGCTTAAAGTTCAAACTTTCCGATGATCTTTTCTTTCGGACAACCGGTGTTCAGTTACTTTTCCTTCTTATTTTGCATTTTGGCCTAATTAGCTTCCAGTTGCCATACCCTCTTGATACCGCTCGACGACGACAACAAATAATCAACACAAACCCGGGAACAAGCTGCTCTGAAAATAACTTTTCGAACGTTGTTGCCGAAGGATCGTCGTTCACAGGTCACAAGCTGATTATTACGGCGGTCGCGTCATAGTGTACGTATCGTGTACTGTTTGAGAGAAACGAACGAGGTCAAGAAATACCAAAACGAGGTAGAAGTTGGTGGAAAGTGTGGTCCATGACTCGTAAGTCGCCGTTTGTGAGGATGAACGTCTATGAACGTTTGGTTCTCTAGAGAATGGAGTCGAATATTAATAGCGCATGCGGGGTAATGATTGATATAGTAGGTGATAATGGAGATTACAAGCCCCAGACAAGCCCCACGTTGATTGCTTGTGAAATAGTTATAAGGACGCAGGATATCTCGTTATCTTTTTCTTTCAATATTTCCCTCCCCTCCAAGTGAAGTTACATATATCAGCAAATTGTTTAAACAAGTATGTCCTCTACTGGAATAACGATATTTTACGAGCCTAGTGGATGCAACTGCGACGGCACTGCGTATACCGAAGCTGATATCAACGCTGCTGGAGCTAAGGCGCTGCAACTGGCAAGCGAGAAGAAAACTCTGGGTAGACGATAGCATGGCTGAACCAACATCAGGAATGCTAACTTGTTTTTATAGGCGAAGACAAATATCCTCACGTCTACAACGACTATGAAAGATTCAACTTCGTTCATGCAATGAAGCCTTATCTTGAATTTCCTATCGAGCGTAATGCCAAAACGTACAACGGCGGCAGCCCTGGCGCAGACAGGCTTGTGATTGGAAGTATTGCCGAGGATTTCAGTAGCGCTGTGTACTGCGCAGTCATCACTCATGATGGGGAAAAGAAGAATGGGTTTGCGGAATGTGCTGATGATACGCTGAACCCGAGGGGTAAGGGGAAATATGAACCAGGTGCAGGTGAGTGCGGGCAGTCATTCTGCATGGAATATTTTTGTAATGGTCAAATACGTGCAGGAGAGGTCGAAAAGCATCACAAGAAGCATGGTCATCACAGTCATCGCTACGGGGATAGAAAGTTGAGGGAATATATTGAGATTTGAACGAACCAGAACATTCAGAGTGTCCTTGTATATCTTCTTCATTGTACCGTCGATAAGTACTGGAATCACTGAGAGCCAATCAGCAATTATGACTTACATACGCGCCCCGTTTTCGATCAATCATGTGATGAGAAATTTCCGGTTGGCTAGTTTGCCGCCGTTCACCGTCCCGCTCTTTCTCTCTATGCTAATTTTCCCCTCCTCAATCTCTGCGGCGGTACTCGCTTCATTTTGAAGTCGCTTATATCTTCCCATGACACCCCAACGCCTTTGAAGAACTTCTCTGCGGCTTCTAAATCCTCGGTTTGGTCAGTCGTTTTCGAACCTTGGATATTAAAATCCCCGGATACACCAATTGTCACCTCTCCATCAAGTCCAGGTCGAATTTAACGTGTTTTAGGAAAGGATACGACGGAGGAACGGAAGGAATTTATCAACCAAAGTCGTACGTGAAAGCCACCATCAACAATGAATGCCGCCAGTCAGCACGGGCAAACTTATGCAAAGACAAATCTACACATGAATCGAGTAAGTACGTTCATACTTAATATATTGTATTCGATAAAATAAAATCCCTCCTTCTTTATCTTCGATTTTCGTCTCTCGCTCTGATGTGACATCTGACGTTGATTCAACTTCTCTGTCCAGGCCACTGATATTTATAATCCCCTCCCATCACCCGCTTCCTCCGATTTTACCCCACCACTCACCCAATCTACCTCTGGATCCAACAATTCGCGCTCAAATTTTGGTTCAATATGTCAGTCGCCGCCTCAGCCTTCTACTCCTCCTTCGCGATATACCCACGCACACCCGAATAACCAAACTGCAGCAACTCATCGCCCGAGGATACGTTACCCTGTTGACCTCGCCCGTGCAGGAGATGGTCGAACGCCATTGCATCGTCGTGGCACGTCCCAAAAGTACGAACCTTTTGAGGATTTGTTGAGGGAGGCAGGGTACAAGGAAACTCGAATTTTCACCCCCGAGACGGAGCGCACAGTGTCCGGCGCAGACGATGGAGACGGTAGCTCAGGGGGTAAAAACAAAATCGCCGGCGTGGTCGAATTTCTATCCGGATTTATTCCAGGATCTAGGACATCTAGTTTGAGAGATGATTCAAACGAGGCGAGGAAGAAGCATTATTCGCCGCCAACTTCACCTTCACCTATGTTTACTCGAAGACAGAATCAGCGAGCAGACCCAGAGCTGGGAAGGGAGCATCAAAAGCGACCTATAGATAACGACGCTACGCCCAGAGCTACACGCACTCGCACTAGTAGATCGGTGCAATCGTTGCAGAACACTACTCCCTCACCTGCCATTCGTTACACACACAATAATCACTCTTACACTTCCATAGGACAGTCGAGCTCATCGAAACCGATGCCTCCTTCCCGGGCAACGGCATATCTTAGACACATTGCGTCTGTCCCGGATATGCCAGGTGCAGATCTTCAACGATCGCACTCGAATCCTACTCGAAGACGGAGATCAAATCGAAGAAACGGTACCAATGACTCACGACATACCGATGATGGTGAGGACGACGACTTCGATTCGGTTTACGAGGGTCGCACGAGAGGAAACGGAGAAGGGGAAGAGGATCCGAATGTACCACCGTTACCGAAGGGCTGGTTGGAAACCGTGGCTAGAGCAGTGCTTTTTGGCCCTGGCGCTTCTTTAGCTTCGCGCGCCACTTTTGGACCCTCAGAAACAGGTTCTCGAGCTGTTAGTCAACCCTATACAAATAGCCAGCCATCGTCGTCGTATGTAAGAGACGTATCTCCTGCGTTAAGGCAACTACGACAAACAAGGAGCGTCATTTCTCGAACCGGATCCCTTGCAGATGCAACGACTACACATATTCGTCATCCTCACCAGCATCACAACCTCATTCGTACTCAGAGCGCTCGCAGTGCCCTTTCGTCACGAAGCGGGCTATCGGATCGCACGAATAGAACTCACGGTTACTGGGCGACAATGATGCCTTCTCCACTTAGCAATATCAAGTCTGCAAGTGCTGATGTTTACGGTGCGAACAGGCCTAGACCTACACTCATGACCCGTCTTCATAGCTCCTCACGCTCGAATGCAAGTGAAGGAGAAATTCGAAGAGCGAGAGTGGTGTGTCGGAGCGCACCCGCGAGTCGAGCAACAAGTCCGAATCCGAATTATCTCAACCCATCTTCTACTACACGTCAAGTACAAAGAAAGCAGAGCACTCAAGGTCGGAACAAGGGAAACAGGTCGCCAAAAAAATGGCGCTCAGGCAAAGTTGCGGATGAGCCGCCTAGTTTGACGCGTACGATGGTCGAACTAGAGGGCGACGGTGCAGGCCATATGGATTCATGGTTATACTCTTTACCTCATACTCACGAACATCAACAAGGCCCAAATTATAGCTCTAATCTGAGATCGGAACCTTCCTCAGAAAGCAGATATCTCAGCGGATGGGGGTGGGACTCTGCTCAGTCATCGGCTTTACCAACCTCACAGCCAGACTATGACAGCGATGGAATTGGCCATTTCCAAAATCCACCTTTCTCGTTATCCATCTCTGTTACTAATATTAGTGATGAAGCAGACCAGCCAGTCTCAGAAGGAGAGGAATCTTCGGAAAATGAAGTCGACTTGGCGAAGATGCTTCGACCTAAACCTCAACGTCAAGAATCCAGTAATTCGACAAAGTCGGTGTCCTCTCTCCGCTCGATTCGAAGTCTTCGAAAATTTCTGGTTCCTGGAGTCGAAAACCATCATATTCCGCCGTTACCTTCGAGCAATGGTGGTGGCTCTGCCATTGACATAACTCCTCCCACTTCCGCTACTGGAAGATGGTTTCTGGACAGCGAGGGCTCGTATGCAGATGGCAATGACCGATATGGGACGAAAAGCACCAGGGGGAAGAGGGGAAGCTTGCCCAGTGGGTGGACCGGACATGACATGGAACATGCGGCTTGATTTCCATTCTGATTTCCATGAATTTCCTCATGCCTCCCATCTTCATTTGACCATTCCATTAGAACATCTACTTGTGCATATTTTCACTACATTAGCATCGCTTGGTTCTAACAATAATTATAGTACAGATATTGAAATCCCGGGAAATACATCAGTAATACCAAATCCCAAGAACGGAATGATGTCGTCGCCTGGAGAGATTCCCCCAAACGAATGTTTCTGTTGGAAGCTATTCCTGATTTCCTGCCCCACTGTTGCTTGTTGATTAGATTTTGACAATACGTAGTGAAGCCGTACAAGCTTGTTGATAGGATTATTATCTGCTGTAGCACGGATGAGAAACTCGAGTCAGTCTATGTAGATTGGCTGTTGACTTACTACACATCTTATACTTTTCGTTTCTTCTTCTTCATGGCGAACCTATTCACTTCGTCAAGGTCCTCCTCTCCATCTCTATCACCACTTGACAACGGCTTTCGCCTCTTGCGAGCATCGCCCTTGGTTCTCTTATCTTCCCTGAGCTGATTCGCAGCAACTCGCCCCGCCTCATCCACTCGTTCTCGAAGAAGATGAGCTTCCTCAGGATCGTGAGGGTACAAGTCCAACTTCTTATCGAGAACTTTCTCCAAGCGCTGGACAAACTCAATATCGTACTGCGAAGCCATTAATATCGACTTCCCAGAACGACCTGCACGAGCAGTACGTCCTACACGATGGATGTAATCCTTGGAATGAGTTGGGCAGTCATAGTTAATTACAACATCGACTGAAGGAATGTCAAGACCGCTAAAGACAAATATCATTAGACAATCAGAGCAGAGTTCAGGTCTCGAGTGATATTTTAGTCTGCTCACCGACTGGCTATGTCGGTCGCTATGAGGATATTAGAACCTTCGCTTTTGAATTGATTGAGCGCACCTATAAGAAACCTATATGAGCGACGAGCGCAGCGCCCCAAAGAAGAACATACCCAACCGTTGACTTTGGGACATATCGCCATGCAGAGGTACGGAACGGAAGCCAAGAATGCGTGATATTACCGCAAGTCTGAGCACCAATAATTTAGTCACTATGGTAAGACACACCAGTTTGCTTCACCTTTGACAGTGTTCCTTGGTTCGAACAAAAATGATGATGGAATTTTGAGCCATAGAGTTGAGCAAAGACACCAATGTCGCCTCCTTCTTGACCAATGGGCAAAGAAGGTAGTATTGCAGGAGGGAGTCAACTGTTTCATATCTAGTTCAGGTTCAGCATCACCTGCAAGATAATGGCATCCATACTGACTTTGTAGAGACTTGCACTTTAACAGGATTTCGAAGGTTCGCTCGTTGTAATTTTGCCACCTTGTCTGTGAGCGTGGCGGAAAATAGATAGGTGGTACGGTCCGTTGGAATGACCTTTAATATTTCGTCTACCGAGACACCAAAATCAGAATCCAAAAGTCGGTCAGCTTCATCAAGAATCTTGCATAGGAGAATAATTTAGTCTTGTTCTTGTAATGAAAAAGTATAATAACATACCAGAAATTTTATGTTTCTTAGATTGAATCCTTTCGTGACCTTCAAATGGTCAAGTAACCGACCTGGAGTAGCAACTACAATATGTGGCTTTCTGGCCAGCATGACCGCTTGTTTTACCCTGTCCTCGTCTCCCCCCACTATCACAGCAGTCCGAGCTCCCATCGCTGACCCAAGTGCGTCGATTTGAGATGCAATCTGATATGCCAGCTCCCTCGTGGGAGCCAGCACACAGGCAAACATGCCTTGAGGATTGTCCCATAGATGGTTTAAAACTGGGAGTACAAAGGCAGCTGTTTTTCCTGAACCAGTCGGGGCAATCCCAATAATATCTCGGCCTTCAATTCCTGGAGGAATGCATTCGATTTGGATCGGCGTTGGTTTCGTGAAATTCAATTGTTCTAATGTTTTCAATAAAGGTTCTGATAGCCCAAGTTCTGAGAACGTTGAAACTTGGTGCTGTTGGTTTATCATGGCGCAGCGCTAAAGGTACTTTCCGTCACAGGCGTGAGACAAATCGACTTCGCGCCTAAATGGAGGTATCGTCGTCGGTAGCGCAAAAGCAGCTAAGGATAGGATAGGATAGTTAAATTATACTGGCTAGGTCCGATTCCCGAACAACCAGTTTACCGTACTGTACAATCACTACTTAAGATTACAGTAACGGAACACACATTTCTAATGCGGGGGGGCGATTATGCCACTCTCACACTTGATGAGGAAAAAGCAAGAAAAAAACCTCGTGAAACGTGCACGGTCTTCCCCGTCTCGACAATGCATGTGAGCAGCTCCTGCATTAAGCTGGAACAAACATTTCAGTGTTATATACCACTTCTAAAACATCATATGTTAGCTTTGCAAACAATTCAGTGATCCTTGTCTCAGCCAATAATATGCGAAATAGCATCCATGCATTGGAATAGGATTTTGCATACTGTGGAAGTTCTGAGATGACTTTTTGCATGAAAGAATCCCTCAGTTTGATCAATTCAGTGCTTCCTTTACATTCAAATAACACATGGGCAGGATCCTCAACAGAGCATTTACAGATGCGGCAAATTCGGTGCTCTCTGATGATTCGAGGTCTGTTCCGTTCATTCCATCGCAGACGTTCTACTGCAAGTTGGTGATTGCCTGTCACCATGTGGATCAAAGCTTTCCGATGTTTGCCTGTCGGGACCGTCAAATAATGTCTAAAAGCGAGAGCTTTGAAAACCATCTTTTTATTTTTTCGGTCATACTCTTTCCGATCTTTCAGAGTATCAGCTGTTCTGGGACATGTCATTAATGCATTTTGTAGAGTCCTCTCCATGGAGTCCTGAATGTGTTCTATTAAACCATTTAGGTGTGCTGCAGTGATATCCTCAAACTCTGGAATATTCCATGTGACTGGAATTGGTAGGCTCTCAAGTACTCTGCATGCCTCCAAAATGATGGATGTATGTCCTTTTTGTGCTAAAGAGTAAGCTTCTCGCATTGCTTTCCATGCCAGATGGTGATGTGGTAAACTGATTAAGTACTGCATGTTCTTGAAGAAAAGGATAATCCGTCTGTATCGAATTGGCATCACTCCTGTTTCAGTGAACAGAACCTCCAAAGATGATCGCTTTTGGATAGACATCTGCAAAACCTGGGTAATGTTCGCCAGCTCTTGGGAGCATTTCCCAGCATTTCCCAGCATTCCCAGCCCCTAAAGCAGTGAAAGAAAGGGTACTGACTGGAGAGCACTGGAGAGCACTGGGAAGTGCTGGGAAAAGCTTCCAAAATTTTGAGCTCTTTTAGCGTAATTCACCCAACTATTCCACAGCTGGGAACAAAATACTTTCAAATGCGCAATCATTGCTTTATCAGATCCATATTGGGTAATATTTACAAATATTGGGATGATTACGTATTTACTGTCCCTGGTTATATCTGCACCCGCTATCCCGATCCCGCACCCATTATTGCGCACCCGCTATCCCGCTATCCCGCTATCCCGATCCCGCACCTGCTATTCTGCTATCCCGATCCTGCTATCCTGCTCCTGCTATCCCACTGTCCCACTATCCCACTACCCTGCCATCCCCACCATACCCGCTATTCATCTCACTAGGCCCGTCGCCAGACCATGCCTGCCTGCCACTGTACACATCCACATAACTACTAGGCTGATAACAAGATATCGACAAATATTGGTGAAAGTCTTGCAAAAGGAGCACATATAAACAAATTTCTATAGGGAATCCGGTTTATTAGTCTGTGAAGGGGCGATTATTAGTTGTTGGTTACCTTCCAAGGTTATGAAAGGTCGATATGATCTGTTTGAGTCTTCCCTCTCTCCAAATTCGCCTCCAAACTGAAGCATTTTGTTAGCATCAAATTATCAACATCTTCGAAACCAACCTGAAACTAAAAGCCCAAGATCTCATATTCACGTTAAACTTAGAAGCATGATAAGGCTCCCTGAGCATGTTTATAATCATATCACTGTATAGCTTGTGGTACTCGAGGTTTGAGGCTGTAGTAAAATCGATATTCTTGGCTTTTGGACCATCTTCGTACTTGGAGATACAATATCGTATCTGTAATATCAATAGTGAATTCAAAGTTGAGGCGACTTTAGGCAGATTCAACTCAACAAGCATAGAAGCTAAAACAATTGCTCCATGAGGAACCTCCGCCTTGAAATCATCTGGAAAGGTTTTTGCTAATGCTTTGTTACTTGTATAAAACAAAACCTTCACGACTTCTTTGAGACAGGGATGTGCAAAATTATTAACCCGTCCCTAGTAATTTTAAAATCAGGTATCACTTGAGACAAATATTGAGAAATTTTACGTTGGCATCTCGTCCATCTTGCAAGAAAAAACTTTTCTCCAAAAGCTTGTTCACATAAGCTACAGTTAAATCGTTAAGTTGAGAGGCATTGAAACCAGTAGTTGGCTCTTGTTCTTTTGGCAACGGTAAACCATAGTGGCTAACCACCATAGGTTCCGCAAGTCTCTTCAGAGTATTTCTGAAACTACTCTGGCTTTTGTACAGCTAGGCGGTAGTCAATAAACTTGAGATGAAGATCAACGAGAAGACTTGCAAAAGTTATTATATCTTTGCGGTGCTCTTTGATGTAACCTGAAATACAAAGGATCAAAATTATAGAAAACCGACAAAAAAGTTTACAATAACTCACCTGCTTCCACATGAAGGCCCTTTTCTCCTCTTTCCTCTATTGATCGGTCTAGACAATTCGCAAGTAGTGTTTCATGATTCTCCATCGTCAAAAAAGGTCCTTGAAGAACCATAGTTCTATGCATAAATAATTGTGAGCCCGCAATTACTTTTTTCACTTGTGGCGTATAGAAAGAGAGCTTTGTTGGATCTTTTGTAGAGTTAGACCTGCGTCCTAGACAAGATAGCCCATTCAGCATAGAGGTCAAAAACCTGGATAAACATACCTTTAGAAGCCTTTGAAGTATTTGAAGTATCCTGGTCTATTATGTCCAGCCAAAATTATTTCCAGATTAAAAATAATTGATATAATAGAAACAAACCTTTCGATGATGAAGGAATAGCCAAAATAGGTGAAACAGGATGAGCTGGCAGATGAGATACTAGACGAGAAGGAGATACTGGGCGAGAAACTGGACGAGAAACTGGACGAGAAGCTTGTCGGGACACTGGACGAGAAACTGGACGAGACACTGGACGAGACACTGGACGAGACACTGGACGAGACACTGGACGAGACACTGGACGAGACACTGGACGAGACACTGGACGAGACACTGGACGAGACACTGGGCGAGAAACTATACGCGATATTGGTTGCGAAATAGATCCTAATACTGTGTAAGTTACTTGTCGTCAACCTGGTCAAGAAGAGAGTGCAAACTGTTATGAGCGTTGAATTCAGATTGGGGTACTGTAGAAGCATAGCCTATAGTAGGAAACATCAGAATACAAACTCAAGAAGAGCAAAACTACCTGCGTTTATATTCCCGAGATGTTAGAGCGACATCTTCTCCGTTATTATCGGCATCCTCATCCTCAGCATCTGCATTCTCATCATCCTCATCATCTGCATAACGGTCATGTTCAAACTCAGCCAGTTCTTCGTTAATAAAGTCCTCTTCTGTAGTAAGAACATGGCTTTTTGAGTGAATCTTAAGAATTGCAGGATTCGGAGGCTTCGGAAGATTTCGCTTTCTCTTCTTGAGGACTTCGGTTTCTCCCTCCACCTAGAGTTTATATTAGATAACTGGTTTAGACAGGCTAAAGCAAAAACGTACAACAGGTTCTGGCACCTTTTGGGTATCTGAGTGGGGACTGTAAGCTTTCGTACTCAAAAATCAAAAAGAAACACATTCCTTTAGTCGCTTTTGAACCTGTTCCCTCTGAATGGAAACTCATTTGAGATTGTTCTTGACTTGGTATGTTGTCCACCGAAGAACTAGCATAGCCGACTTCTTTGTGGACCCCAACCAGAGCTTCCATATTCACACCATCTGCATGAGAAAAGGTGGAACTATCCCCTCGATATTCGTATCCACCTCCATATCCACTTCTGAATCCACCTCCGTATCCACCTCCGTATCCACCTCCATAGTCACCTCTGTATCCACCTCCATATCCACCTCCATATTCACCTCCGTATCCACCTCCATATCCACCAGTATATCCCCCTCTATATCCTCCCCCATCTACTCCCCGATAACCTTCTCCATAGCCTTGTACACCAGAAAGACTTCTTCTGAAGCTCATATTATGTCCAGCAATATATCCACCGTCATCAACCTTATTGCTTCTCCCTCCCTGACCATAGCTGTTTTCGTAGCCTCTATTATAATCTCCAGAATACGCTCCATAGTTTCTGCCATGGTCCCCTCCATAACCGTCAAGATTTGCGTTACCACTACCAAAACCTACTACGGAGCCTGGTTGTGAGCCATAGTAATGGCTTCCACCGCTAGAAGCTGTAGATCCTTGTCCCATGTTGCCGTTATAGTCAAAATCTCCTACATTATTTCCAGCGCGTATATCTTCGGGAAGTCTAAGGATCTGACTGTGATTGATACTTGTCGCTCTTTCATTCAACTGTGAGTCAACATCGAAAGAGTCACCTCCTTGTCCTAAGTAAACAAAATGACCGGTGCTTGATCCTTGAGTAATTTGCTTACCCGCGACAAAGGAAGTATGAGCTTGACTTTGATTCTATATTGAAACCGGTATAAGCTATGGTTTTCTTTCTGAAATTGGTATATTTCTACCGTATGGTGTTGTTCTCGAGCAATAACTTCTGCAATAGGTACTTTGGATGGTAGCGGAACTTGACGACTAGACAAAGGAGCAGGCGGAGGATAACCAGATGTTGGAGAAACCAAAGGCAGCATATTTGGAACAGAGGAAGAGGAAGAAGAGGCTGACGGTATTTCGTTAATTTTTTTTTGGCCCTTAGTTTGAGTGCTAGCCTTCTTGTTTCTTCCTCGTTTCTAGAGGAAGAAATATTAGCTTTTAAAGAGAAATTCATTATAGTTATCTAAACCAACTGGTTTTTCCGGTGGAGGTGCCATAGGATTGGTTACAGCGTCCTCGGGAAAAATAGTATTGGCCCCTTGAAGAGATAATCGTTGAGAAAGCAACATCTTATCAGCTGTTTCCAGCATTTGATTTGCATGCCCCCCCTTCCCTTTGTTTGTGCGGCTGCTTGACCTCTGGATATAGTAAGAATTTAAAAAAACAATTGGACGAAATCGTTTTCACCTCTATTTGAAAATGTTCAAAAATGAATGATAAATCAATAGAAAAACATACGAGGCAAAGGGGGGCCTGCGTTACTGTCAGGTCTCCTACTCATAAGCAAATAATTGAGCAACAAAGAAATGCAAAGACCAGTAAGAAGGTGGGTCACAAAGCGATGGTAGGTCCACAAAGGTAACGTGCTTTTTGGGACCCACTGTTTCTTTCCTAAGGCCGGATCTTCTCGAAATGCCGCCTTTTATGCCCAGAGAAATGTTCGACACAACTGCCTCTGACTTTCAGATCCACAAGTACAAAATAACTCTCCTATTGTAGAATAAGAACAAAATTTCTTTCAAAATACTATAGTTGATCCCGCCTCATTTTCTTCAATCCAATACGAGACCTCCTGTAGCGCCTCCAAAGCGATAAACTCTGACTCCTAAAAACCTTGTTAGAATGGGAAGCAAACAAAGGGCAGAAATAGACAACCTTCGTCAAAGTAGCAAATTTCGGTATTTTGATCTTTGAGACCATCAGTAGTAGGTGGGTGGGGTTCTGCCTCGTCTTCCCAGGGCTCATATATATCATCCTCATCATCATAGGTATCGTTGTAATCTAGCTCCATAGAGGGGGGAGTGTTAGGAGTCGCAGGGCAAGCTCCAACAGAGTTATCTAACAAAAGTAACATCTGATAATGTGCATGCAGATAGACGAATGACTCTCACCACATCCTTGGATCTTACTCAAGATTCCTTCCATTCGCACAGCATTTTGTCTGGCCTCAGAGCTTTCCATCTGAATTTTGCTTAGTCGACAAAAATGCAATTCCATTATAAGTTTAGTAATTGCGATTTTCTGATCTAGTGCTGCTTGCTCAGCTGAACAAAGAGCTTGTTGAGCGTTGGCTATTCTGAGAAGATAATTAGCTTCTTTTTCTGTCTTCAGAATGACCATAAGCCACAAATTTTGCCAGCAAAGGAAACTCTTACTAATGATTCGTAGGTTTCTCCTTCGCCATTGACCCAGGGATGATATGAAGATAGAGAAGATGAATCTGGAGGAATTTCTACTTGAGAATTGTTAATAATTAACAAGATTGACGAGATACTGTTGCACCTTTGTTGCTCATTTCTCGAACGTGTATGGAAGATGATAGAAGATACTGAAAAGGTTTAAGACAATAGGTACAAATAAAACAATTTGTCATTAGGTAAGATAACCAGTAATTATCTATTTAAAGTAGATATTGTCGAACCAACCAAACCCATCTTTTTGATAGCTTACTCCAGTTTTATCTGCATGAATAACTATGGAACCCCTTGTACCACTATAAGGTAAATTGAAATGGGTATACCTATCAGAATGAAACACCACGACATCTCCGTTACAAGTTTCCAACAAGAGCTTGGGTTCGTATAAACCTAGCTCACCTCCCTGAGGATTACCCACAGTGATACAGATGCAAGCTGATTTGTCGTTTTTGTCGCGGTGAGCTAAGGTACTCACATTAATGTTGAACACAATGCTCGTAAAAGGAGAAGCGGGGGAAGTGTCTTGTAAGGGAAGAAGATCAACGGTGGCAGAAATCTCATGAAAAGTATCGGGATGAATCTGTAAAACCTTTAAACTTACGTTAGAAATACAGAGTAACTCATGCAAAGAAGTTTTGCTCACCTTTTCTGAAACCCAACGTAACGTTTCCTCCAGACTCTGTTTCAAATCTTTGAAAGGCCCGGAAAATTTCTGAATGTCTTCAGAAGGATGAACCAGAAGCTGACTGTGATTCATCTTTCCTCCATTGGCGTTGACAAGATATAAAGGATGAATATCCTTAGGGGCCTCATATCCCTAGGATAACGTCAGAAAAATATAAGCAGATAATAGCAAAAAACTGACATGAGTTAAATAGCGTGTTTGATTTGTGAAATGAAGAGAGGAAAAAGCAGCAGTTTGAACAGATGAAGAAGGATCTTGAGGTGTGAACTGTGCAGTGGTATCGGACAAGCAGGCCTGAATTATCCTTTCCAAGCCTTCTTTCAGGTGTTGAGGCATAGTGGTGTCCAACATATAAAGTAAATCTTTGTTGTCATCGAATATCTGTACAACTTTGCTATTTTTGAATTAGTAAAAAGCGACGCCAAAGTTGAGACATCTTACCCTTCAATGATGTTTCGATTGAGCTTCAAGTACCTAGAGTCGGAAAGCCGTCCCAAGCTATCAAAACGTCCGTTCATCTGAAAATCTGTAGTATCAGAATCCTAAACTTAAGTTAAAATCATAAACCTACCTCGCTAGCGTAACTCTCCAAAGAATCAGGAGTAACACAATCTTGAGCTAGAGATCTTTCATTTTCCGTCCATTTGCTTCTACCTCGATAGTCAGGAGGAAAAGGTTCCTTAGTTTTGGCAGGTTTGTACGGCGTAAACAGAACTTGATGGATTCCTTCTGAATCTTGAGACTGGAAGCCCATACGATTAAAAAGAATTGAAATAGGTGGAACAGTTGAAGGCGGACTGAGGGTCTCTTCTTCAGAGGACAGTTCAGAAACTGCAGATGCATGCTGAGCAGCTCCTGTCTGTTCTGGAGAGAAGAGAAGAAAGCGTCTCTCCAAGGGAGATGTACTTAACAAAGTACGTTCGGATTTCATAGATACATCAAATTGCTTCCAGGCTTCCCAATCTCTAGGAAGAGATCTAAAGGTGCTAGAAGAATGTTATACGTAGATGTCTATAAGTCAGAGAAACCAATTACTCACTGAAAAAAGAAAGATCCAAAATAATTATCGTTTACCCGTAAATCTCCGCAATCAAAGGAACCAGAAAGGCCCAGATCTCTCAAAAGAGACCTATGATACAAAGTCGGTATTGAAATGGGAATATCTTTGCAAAGGTTAGCTAGAACTGGTATGAGGTTACACCTAACAATTTCTCCCGTAATTCCTGAGTTAAAAATGGGTGAAATGTTTGTGTACTTTCAAAACACAAACTTACCTGATGAATCGGGCGCTCTAATTTTATTGCACAGAGCTTGTATGACAGTTACTGAGGCTTTCTTCCTGAAATATTCATCTTCTCCTTTGAAGGCAATCACCAGCAATAGATAAAGTGACCCTGTATAAAGCTCAGCTAAAGTGGTTGAAACGTAACTTATAGCTTACCTGCATTAGCCAAGAATGCCCATCTACTACCAGCTGACATATAATCTCGACTTTTATGTTCAGGAATACTATGAGTTTGAAGAGACTTGTATACTTCAGAAGGCTTCGGTCGACGACTGTTATCTTTGAATTTCATCAAATTCAAACGACTATAACAGGTGAGGCCTAACCGTCTCAGAACATGGTAGGACCTCACATACCTATTAACTTTGGCAGAGAAGTAAAGCTCATGCAGCATACGGACAAATCTTGCTGTTCCGTCGACGTTGGCAGCTAAATCACATCGCCTGGCTATACTGACTAGCGAAGAAACAGCCAAGTCCTTGACGTTGTCTATCGTCCCCTCTATCATCCCCTTTAGATTCGACACCCAGCTCAGATAATCCTCGTGACCAATAGAGGTTCTGGTGCCAAATGAAAGTCTTGCCAGTTGCTTTGTAAGGTCCACCGAAACATCTTTAGAAGGTTGCGCTGCATGGTCCCCGACAGCAAAACGACCAGTGGTAGAGTCATCATATGAATACTGATCGATTCGACGCCTCTTCCTTGTACGTACACTTTTTCTAGGGCAATGAATAAAGGTAGGATCATCGGGTCCTCCGCTAGTTATTTCTGTTGAATTGACCTTGGTTTTCTGAGATCTACGGCGTTTTCTCTTGGGCTGTGGCTCTGAATGAGGCTCTGAACGTGGACAGGAAGGTGAATCTGAATGCGAGCGCGATTGTGAATCCGAATGCGAGCGAGATTGTGAATCTGAATGTGATTGTGAAGGCTTGGGTGAACATGGATGTGGACACGTGGGCGAATGTGGATTATGCCAGGGTGAACGTGAATGCGAACCCGAACGTGAACGCAAAACCGAATGCGAAAGCGAACCTGAACGTGAATCCGAGTGTGAACGCGAACGTGAATGCGAGTGTGAACGCGAACGCGAACGTGAACGCGAACGTGAACGCGAACGTGAACCCAAAGAACGTGAAACCGAATGCGAATGCGAACCCGAACATGAACCCAAACGTGAACGTGAACGCGAACGCGAACGCGAACGTGAACCCAAACGTGAACACAAACGCGAATGCGAACGTGAACGTGAATGCGAATGCGAACGTAAACGCGAATGCGAACGTGAACGTGAATGCGAATGCGAACGTAAACGCGAATGCGAACGTGAACGCAAATGTGAACGCGAGCGCGAATGCGAATGTTGAAGCAAACCCGAACCCAAACCTGAATGAGAACCCAAACTTTGACCCAAACCTTGACCCGAATGCGAACGTGGATTCGAGGGTGGATGGAACTGGGAAGAATGAGAGGCTGAAGATGGGAAGCTAGCATCAACACTAGCTTCTCTGTACCTAGGAGTAGACTGTGTTGCAGAGAGATTCTGCCTTAAAAGGCCCCTTTGACCTGTTTGACCTGCTTGACAACAACTAGGACATAAAGCCTGTCTAGAGTGAACCTATAATTGGTCAGATCAAAAGAAAGCAAAGGAAGTCCTAGATTATTACCTGGCTGACTCTTGGAGAAGTAGAAGAGGATGAAGTAACTTGAACTTGAGGATCACTGGCAGCAGAAGGAAGGACTGCAACAAGTTCTTGAAGGGCAAGAGGCAAGGTTTCTTCTCTGCTGATAAGGTAATTCTGCAAAGCCAAAGCCTGGGCTGCAGATAATCTGAAGGTAGACATTGCCAGACTTGAAGCGTAACGGCCGCGCTTGGATTGAAAACAGAGGAGAAAGAGTCTTATTAAGCGCCTTCCGGATTTGGAGCGACACTTGCAGCCAGCAAGTGTCGCTCCAAATCCGGAAGGCGCTTAATAAGAGGCGCTTATTTTGAAATACCTTGGACTTGGCTTTATTACCTCCACCACCTCTACCACCGCCTTCACTGCCTCCACCACCACCTCTACTGCCTCTACCACTACCTCCACTGCCTTTACCACCATCTCCACTGCCTCCACTGCCTCTACCACCCGCCTCCACCGCCTCCACCACCCGCCTCCACCGCCTCCACCCACCTCATCCACGCACCGTAGGAAGTAATCAGAACAACCGTGGAAGAACTCTTGTTCAAAAGAGAGAGTTCTTTTATGTCCTGAGAGATGTCAACGGGATTGTGGTACGAAGCGCACAACACAATATCAGGTGTATGGGGACTTCTGCTACCTCTAGTGTCTCACCTGCCTCTGGATCGTGCGGTGGATTGTGCAGTGGACTCGCGAGGTGGAGTCCACCACCTCCACCTCCTTCTAGACCATATGGTGGACCCGCGAGGTGAAGTCCATATGAGTCCGTGAGTCCACAGCCTCTACCTCCTCCTCCTCCACTGCTTCCCCTGCCTCTGGATCGCACGGTGGACTCGAGGTGGACTCGAGGTGGAGTCCACCGCTTCACCTGCCTCTGGATCGCGCGGTGGACTCGAGGTGGAGTCCAACCGCTTTACCCACCTCTAAACCGTACGGTGGACTCGCAAGTCCACCGCCTCTACCTCCTCCACCTCCACCTCCTCCCCTGCTTCCCCTGCCTCTGGATCGCACGGTGGACTCAAGGTGGAGTCCACCGCTTCACCTGCCTCTGGATCGCGCGGTGGACTCGAGGTGGAGTCCAACTGCTTTACCCACCTCTAAACCATACGGTGGACTTGCAAGTCCACCGCCTCTACCTCCTCCACCTCCACCTCCTCCCCCTCTCCACCTGCCTCTGGATTGCACGGTGGACTCGAGGTGGAGTCCAACCGCTTCACCTGCCTCTGGATCGCGCGGTGGACTCGAGGTGGAGTCCAACTGCTTTACCCACCTCTAAACCATACGGTGGACTCGCAAGTCCACCGCCTCTACCTCCTCCACCTCCACCTCCTCCTCCTCCTCCACTGCTTCCCCTGCCTCTGGATCGCACGGTGGACTCGAGGTGGACTCGAGGTGGAGTCCAACCGCTTCACCTGCCTCTGGATCGCGCGGTGGACTCGAGGTGGAGTCCAACCGCTTCACCTGCCTCTGGATCGCGCGGTGGACTCGAGGTGGAGTCCACCGCTTTACCCACCTCTAAACCGTATGGTGGACTCGCAAGTCCACCTCCTCCCCTGCTTCCCCTGCCTCTGGATCGCGCGCTCAAGGTGGAGTCCACCGCTTCACCTGCCTCTGGATCGCGTTTTTCTAGACCATACGGTGGACTCGAGGTGGAGTCCTAGTATCCGGCGCTTTCTCTGTCCTCAAGTTACACCGACGTCGACTCGCCCAAGTTGGCTTTCCCTTCTCCTCTTCATTATGTCCTAAATCGTAATGCAAGCGGTTGGTGGGATGGCGAACTGGAAGGTAAACGGGGCTGGTTTCCGAGTAACTACGTCAATGCAGACGTGAATCCTTTGGTAGAGGCAGATGAGGCAGAGACCGATATCGTTGTACGTTATTCTTTATATTACCGCAACGCCAGTCTGAAAAATATGCTAGCATCCATACCCCAAGCACAATCGCTCTTACTTGGCTTCCCCATCTCAACATGTTCGAATACCTTCAGCTAATTCTGACATCGAGTCTCATGTCCCTCCTGTGATGGTACCCTTACTTCATGGCCTCTCCCTTTTACAAAGTGCGGCGCGCTCAAATCGGATATCCCACTTCCAACCATCTACTGCTCGCATTATTTCATGCGTTCGGTCAGTTTTGTCCGCCACGGACACACTTCTTCGAGATGCCCCTATATTATGGCAATTTCCCCCCCTTGCTGACGAATGGCGCCTCATTTTGTCAACACTTGCATCTCTTGTGGCCCAGGCCAAACAAGCTTCTGATGAAAAGTTGAAGGAAGAGAATTTGGAAACAGAGGTGGAGGCAATGCTGAGATTGGCGCAGCAGGTTTTCACACTTGTTCAACGCTTTCTTGCCATTGTATCCCAGTGCGGCATAGCGCTGCCAACAAGGCATGATGCTTCATCACCTGCAGTCAACGTCAGAGTCCTACGAGACGTGAATATCAATTCTGCGGATGATTCGAATGACACAATAATGGCACAGAGTATACCGTTGATGCCATCAGGATGAACCCCTACGAAGCCTCGCGTGAAAGGTCGACCGGGCACACCAGGGGGAGCTGCTAAGGCAAAAAGTATGGGTGATCTAGGCAGTCGCGCAAAAGCAACAGCTGAGGCTGTACCCGCCGTTCCTCCACTTCCTTCGACTCGCTCAACTCCAGCTCAACATCAGCTCAATGGTAACCGGCATAAGGTTGGCGAGTCATCCGTCAGTAGCACAGCATCAACTTCCACTTCTTCTTCCGTGGCATCAATGGAGGCCCTCCCTCAGCCGCCTTTTCCTCGTGGTCCATGCACAATGGCTCAGGTCCTGCAAGCCCTGCGAACTACGCATGATCACTATTTATCTGCCATAGCAGTATTTGTTGGACACGACACGCCCATTCGCATTTGCGGTTTTCGCATGCATCAAGCATGGGTCAATTTCATCAAGCTTTGGCTAGATCTATTGGCGACCAACTCCCGATGATTCTGCGTTACCAATGCTGGAAGCTTTTACACGTAACGGGTTGATGACCATGTTCCCTGGTCCAGCGAACATATCATTGAGCATATCATTGATATGATCTACGGTCGCAAAGAGCAAAAAGACAGTGGGTTTAGCCCAAAAGGTGATCGCTCGAGGGATCCTGGAATGTCTCTCAATCCTCTGTCCGCTCCGCCCCCAACCCACCTCTGGACTGTATGGTGGACTCGCGAGGTGGAGTCCACTGCCTCCTCCTCCTCCACCGCTTCCCCTGCCTCTGGATTGCGCGGTGGACTTGAGGTAGAGTCCCCTGCTTCACCCACCTCTAGACCGTATGGTGGACTCGCAAGGTGGAGTCCTCCACCCTCCTCTACTGCCTCTAGATCATGCAGTGGATTTACAAGAGAGGGTTTGCGCTGGACTTGCCAGAGAGAGGAATTGTCCAAAACTGAGTGAACTGGCTTAGAATCAATATCTATGGCTGCAGTTACTAGTTTTGTAATGCTCCTAGTATTCATATTTTATTACAGAATGTAAACCTTTTACTTAAACTTGTTGACGCTTTCTTCCCAACTTCCAAGAAACAAGGTAATCCCACCTAGTAAGAGAGGCCAAAGATATTCCCACAGTTTGTTTATGTCAATGTTGACGTCTGAATCCTCTGAACACTAGTCCTCATGTCTTTTACTTGTCGCTACTGTGGGCATCTATGTAAAACTGAAGCTGGACGACATAGCCATGTCAAGCAAACACTCTGTAACTATAAGCCTGGTTTGGTACCTCTATCAACTTTAGCAGCCACATTCACCTCGGAAAATCCTTCCATCCCTTCAACCCCTCCATCGCCATCTCCTAGTTATGACTCACAAGGAAATTCCTCAATGGAGAGTTTCATGGATGTCGATAGTGGCGAAGCTACCTTGGGGCCATGTACAATATACTTTCCTGGTGCAGGTAAAGTTGTCAGCTGTGGGGCCACATATCTGGACGACTTCAATGATGATCGATTCTCTGAGGAGAGAAAGGAAAATCTCTACTATCCGTTCTCATCTAGACCTGAGTGGGAGATGGCAAGCTTTTTGCTCAATTCATCCCTTTCTATGCAAGAAATCGATAATTATCTTCAGCTCGAGCTTGTAGGTCTTACATTTGTATCCATATGATCTCTTAGCTGAACAATATAGACAAAACAGAATAATCTATCATTCAAGACAGCACAAAGACTGCATGAAATTACCGACCTTCTTCCTCCTGTTCCAAAGTGGCGAGCGAGAGTTATGAAAACCCCTCCACTCTATCCTTCCAGAACTCCTGTGGTCCTCTATTATAGAAACGCTGTTGAAGTTCTTCAGGACTTGATGAAGAGTCCTTTAATATGTGACTCCCTCAATTTCGCTCCCCTGCAAATATTTGAGGATTCCAGAAAATTAGTCCGTGTTTATGATTCCTGGCTATCAGGAAATAGAGCTTGGCAAATGCAGGTAAGTAGACCACAAATAAATATTGAGCTATCTATCTCAAATCAAAATCTAGAGCCAGCTTCCAGAAGGAGCGACTCTGTTAGGCACCATCCTATCGTCTGACAAAACAACGGTCTCTGTCATTACTGGAAATCGTGTAGCTCATCCCTTGTTGATATCGTTGGCAAATATAGATAGCGATCTATTGTCGAAAGCTTCTCTATATTTGTTTAATCTTCTCGCACTTCTCCCTGTTCCAAAATATATCGAAAGAAAAACCTCCGTGCGTGGCGTACTTGAAAACCGGCTATATCATGAATGCTTGGATATCGTCCTGGAACCACTCAAAACTGCTGCTAGTATCGGCTGCTTGATGAGCGATCCTGTAGGGCAAGTCAGGGTTTGCTACACTCCCTTGGCTAGTGCAATAGTTGACACACCAGAAGCCTCTTTGATCGCCTGTACAGGTGGCAAAACTTCTCCTTTCACCCGAGCGATTTATAAAGATTTTGGAGACGGAAAACTTCACCCTCCTCGTCTAGCTACAGCAACTCTAGAGGCTATAGATAGTATTCAAGCTCGGAACATTTTTCCTCAGGATCTTCCCGCATATCAAAGAGCTTCAGTGATTGCACGGACCAATGGTGTTGTTTCCCCTTTTTGGAGAGACTGGCCTCTTGCAGAGCCATGCGAATTTCTCACTCCTGAACCTCTACACCACTGGCACAAAATGTTTTGGGACCATGACGCAAAATGGGCTATACAAGCTGTCGGAGCTAGTCATATTGATTTTAGATTCTCGATACATCAGCCAATTGTTGGTTATCGCAGCTTCAAAGAGGGTATCTCAAGTTTGAAGCAGGTGACTGGTAGAGCGCAGAGAGATGTTCAAAGATACCTCATTCCCCTCATCTCTGGTGCTGTTATACCAAAATTCGTCGCTGCTCTCAGGGCGCTAATGGATTTTCGCTATGCTGGACAGGCACCAAGATTCAACCAAGCTTCGACTCTTAGAGTTCAAACTGCACTCAATGAGTTTCACGAAAATAAGGACATTATTCAGGACCTGAAAGCTCGTGTTAATCCCAAAGGAGTTCCTATCGTCCACTGGGAAATCCCAAAATTGGAATTCATGCAAAGTGTTGCGCCCAGCATTTCTGCCTCTGGACCCATAATGCAGTGGACAGCAGACACTACTGAGCATGCTCATATTACTCTCGTGAAGGATCCTGCTAGATCTGGAAATAATCATGACTTCGAAGTCCAGATATGCAGACACTTAGATCGCCAAAGTAGAGTCAGGAGGTTTGATCTGGTGACAGCCATGGTAGACGCTGGAGTTGACTTCCGTCTCGATGATATTGAGGGTGATGAGGGTAGAGGTGATATAGGACATGATAGAGAAGAAAGAGATGAAAGAGACGAAGAAGACAAAGAGGTTGACGCCAAGATATCATCCTCAGAAGAACTGATGACCCGCCTTCACCCAGTATCCCAAAAGCTGTTTGGCTCATTCCGTCCCAAACAGAACTTCTTTTTGAAGGCGCGTCTGTTGAAGCAGGATGCCTCAGCTCTTCTACCTCTTCGTATCTTTACAGATAATATCTCTGGAGAAATCTCAGCATTTAAGGTTAATCGTGATCCTGACCTCAAAACGCTAACAATAGAGCAAGTCAGTAACCTCTATTCTCTTCCCGACTTCTCTGGGGCTTGTCTCGATTTCCTGGAACGGATTCAAGCAAAAACACAGACTTTTGTTATAGGGGGCAGACGATCCTTGAATCAGTCGATTTCATTACCCTTTACAAGAGTGAAAGTTTGGTCTAGGATCCGTATCCAAACAAAGACTTACTTCAACACTGATTTACTTGCGGATTCCCATACTATATTTGCGGCCCCTCCTAGCCCTGGCTGGGAATTTGGACGACAAAATGCTGCACTTGTTAATATCAATTCAAGCTTTGAATGGCCAAGGAGTTCTTTGGAAGGTGGGCTTAATACCTAGTTTGTTGTATCCGTTGTGTCTATTGGGATCTAACTGCACTTGTTTCCCTTCTAGGACACTGTGTTGTTTTGGTGAAAATAATCTTTACCGTCGCTCAACCTAGAAAGCCCTCTCCACCCGTGGATGGTACTCATAGGTTTTTGGCTTACTGTGAACGGTTAGATGTAGTAAATCAGCCTCCTCCACCTCTTGAGTATCGAAGTCTTCCTGGATATAACGCTTGGCCCTCACACTTTCCTGATTATTCCTCAGGATGCTTTATCCTTAAAAGAGCTAGAAGAGCCGATGGCACTCCTTTTGGTGATATTATACCTGTCTCTCAATTCCGCTCTTTGGTGGATATTTGCCCTCGTTATAGAAGTACTCCTCATGCTTCTTTAACAAGAAGTTCAAGCCAATACCATAGCGACGAATTTTTCTTGAATAAATATTTCAACAAAGAACTCTTTTTTACTTTAGATAAAGTCGATCCTTGTCTTACCAGTACAGTAAAATAGTAAAACTAACTGAAGAAGAGTACTACTAGGCGATTATGGAGGTCCAAGCATTACATGTTTATGTTTATGTTTATGTTTATATCAACGTTATTCCTGTTATTTCCATGATTCCTTTCTCTTCCGTCAATTTTAATTTTAGTCAGTTTGAAAGCATCCAAAGCAGCTGAGAGCATCAACAGCACTGAGAGCACTCAACAGATACTTCATGATGAGATTTTTGCTGGGAAGCATTGGGAAATGCTGGGAAGTGCTGGGAAATTTTTACCCGAAAATCCAGGTTTTGCAGATGGAGAGAGCCCTTCGTAGAAAATAGTGTTGTACTTCTTCTAATTGCTCTCTGTGGGACACTACCACATCCATGATAAACTCAGACCCACTCTTTAAATATGGGTCTACTCTTGCCCAGTACATAGTAATCATATCCTTAATTGGCATGTCATTTCCCACAAAAGTTTTAGCATGAAGCACAGCACCAGCAGCATTCTTGGCCTTGTCTGCAAGCTTCTGATAATTGTCCTTGTATATACCTCCCTGACCAGTCTGATGATGAACTCCAATATATTTCAGTTTCTTTTTCTTTTGCAAAGGTTTGTCATGCAGCATAAAAACTGTGTCTGCATTAGCTTCCTGTCCAAACACTGTGATCATACATTTAGGTACAGAGACTTCGAAGCCTGTGAGGGATGCATATTGTTCAAATTGTCTAAGTTTTGATTGGATACTAGAAGGTGTTGTACTAGCCATTCCTGTGTCATCTGCTTGTAGCATATGGTTCACATGCTTATCATGAAGGACAACATCTGTTGGGTGCTCTGTCACTTTAAAATCTGCAACAACCAAATTGAACAAGTTTGGTGAAACCGGACTACCTGTGATGACCCCCATATCACCTCCAAAAGGTTCCGAGTGAGATCCGCAAACTCTAACCACATAAGCCATTTTTGCATAGAGCATACGTAACCAGTCTATCATTGGACCTTTTACATCCATCGAGAATAGTTTTATCCACATTACAGATCGATCTGTAGAGGGAAATGCATTTGTCCAGTCCATGTATGCAAAATATAGTGGGGTTCCCAGAGATTTAGCCTTATCTAGCTAAGTAAAAGTGGCAGAGGTGTAAGTTCATATAAATGCCCGAATTCTTAAATTCTACGGAGTAAGTACTTTTTATCAGTACACCATACGTATATAGATCTAATTCTTCACATTATATACACATTAGATAGAATCCGATTTGAGTGATTGTTTCGACCAATTACAACTTGCTTTGTGTCTGCAAAGACTCTGTTGTAAGACTGTTCTTCGCCTGCTCGGTCCATGCCCTCGCCCATTCAACGACGCCGTTCACTAGAGCCTCAACGTCTTTCCTTGTATTCCCAGAATGTAAACACACCCTAACGCGTTCCTTTCCGCGTGGAACAGTGGGCCAAGTGATAGGACGCGCGTTCATACCTAAGGTAAGGAGGTGCGCGGAGAGAGGACGAGGGTAAGGAGTGAGAAGTGGTATGATCGGCGCTGGAGGATGTAGAGAGTCGGACGACGATGATACTGAGGAGGGTAATGCAAAAGGGTTCAGAGTAGATGAGGATGTACGGGCGGAAGGAACGAGATGAGGCGGGAGGCAAACAAACTCTGGTGATATTTTAGCCTGTTCAAGCTCGCTTTGCAAAAGGCTAGCAAGATAGGAGGAGAGAGCTAGAAGATGCGTTGACAGCTACATCACGAGAAAGATTGGGAAATTACAAGGGTCGAATTTCCATTAGCCAGAGTTCAACTTTGTAGATGTCAATAACATACCTGCTCTGTTTCCCCCTCAACCATCAGATCAAATGCAGCCTCGACAAGGACAACATTTGGATGTGCGAGAGCAGTGGTATAAATGAGCGGACGAGCATAGTTAATGAGGTAGGATGTGAGAAGAGGGGTGGTTAATAGGATCGCTACAAAGAAAATCAATGACTTTCAGGCTAGAATGCAATACAAATACTGACCACCACTACCGGCTAAAGCCTTGCCAAAAGTGTGTAATCTTGCTAGCACTCTACACTCTTCCTTACTATCCATGTCACTCTCTGATACACCCACACGGCTACCTAAACCACCGTCGAGTCCCAATTGGCTGGCTCTTCCGCACCCTGGACGACGAGGGGGACCATAAATTCCCGTAGCATGTGCCTCGTCTACAATGAGGTATCCATTTCGCTTTGGAAAAAACTTGGCAAGGAGTCTATTGATTTCCCGTAATGGAGCAAGAGTGCCGTCCATGCTATAGAGTGATTCCACCGCGACAAAAAGGGATGAAGTTCCGCTTCGTAGCCGTTCTGCTACTGAAGCTGAAGTATTCGATGGATTCGTGTCGTTCAACAAGGATTCAAGTACAGCACAGAAGGATTCGATGCTGTTGTGCTGAAAGCTTTTGACACAGTCCTGGGTTATGCGAGATGCCTTGACACCATCCCATACACTTGCGTGAATGTACTCGTCCAATATAATCAGATCTCCGGGCTGAGGAATGCACGTAAAGAACGAAACATTGGCATCAAATCCTGAGTTGAACAGAATTCCAACCTGCGGTGTGTCGTACTCGTTTCGGCTCGGCCTTGAGAGTACACTTTCTAGCCTGCGTTCAAGGCGGTGGTGAGCATCGGGATTGACCAGCAATCTCGAACCAGCGGAACCAAGAATTTGCCCTCTTTCCTTTACTGTGATCTTTTGTAAGAAGCGCTCGCGCAGAAGAGGGGAGGTAGATAGCGAAAGATAATCATTCGATGTGAAATCGATCAGCGACTGTTTCCCCAGCACGCTGGGCTCAGGTAACCTTCTCCGAATTGACCTAGCTTCTCGGGATGCCAATGCGGCGTGTAATTTACTTCCCAAAGATCCCAGCTGGTAAGACTCTCCCAATGGGAGCATCGATCTGCCTTTATCACTAGTGCTCGTCCCCAGATTGCTCTCCGTCTTCATCAAGGGCATCACGTAGTCTCGTACTGTCCTTGTCGATTGTTTTGAAACCGTGTTTAATACACGGCCAGCATTCATCCACAGTGATCAAGCGGGGCAAGGGGATGAGAGTCGGGACCAGGTTATGACTTGGGGAGAATAAAACGCGTCCGGAAATTCTTGGGGTTGGGGATGAGCATAGAAATTTTATTCGCGCTGTAGAATACTTTCGGGGTTGTCGGATTTATACCCGCATCGGCGTTAGAGAGGTTACTACACAAGATTCTTGTTTCAGTACATGCGACGTAGTTTTACATATTTGTAGTTGTAGGAAGTTGTGGTAATAAGCGGAGAAAAAAAGTACATGCAAGCAGATGGATGTGAGAAGAGACGAAAAGCAAAATTGGTTGAATACAGTGACATACAGTGCATGAGTTCATATAGGTAGAAAGATACTGAGATATGTATGTAAAACAAAAAGGATGAATAGTTGGAAAGCAGTTAGTCAAAGAAACTCGGAGTATTCGATTTGGTCAAAAGACTATTCAAATTTCTCACCACACTCCCGGCACCTTCTTTCACCTTCACCTTGTCTTCCTCAATAACCTTGGGCAACAACTTTGTCTCAAAGCGATCCGGATGCCACCTCCGAATCTGCTCCTTAATGCGATCCTTCTGCGGTTTATCCTTCTCAGGATGATACGGCGAAGACAGATACGCATAGACAGCGGCGTAAGTAATATCCTCCGGTGACGAAGGTTTGTTGAGCATAGGCCAGGGGAACACGTCCCACCGCAGCTCAGTATATTCAGGGAGTTTCTCCCAGAGCCGAGCATGGTGTTCAAATGTCTTTATGAGTTCATCTGGTCCTTTGACCTGGCTCGATTTCGCCATTCGTTCCCGCTCCTTTCGTTCCTGCTCCTGACGAAATCGTGCCTGCTGAGCCTGGAATTGTTCCTCGTGGCGCCGTTGCCACTGTTCCTCAGTTATAGGCGTAGCGGACGAAGATGTTGATCCAGCGGCTCCGGTAGAGCCGCTGCGGGGTTTCGGAGTTGGAATGCTAGAAGCAGAGGATGGTGGTGGGTTTGAGGTATGACTGGCACTCGCCGAGGCACTGGAAGATGTTGACCGGGTTTTCGACCATGCTGGGTTAGTAGACCAGCCAGAGGCAGAGGCAGACGTTGTGCTGTTGCTGCGCTGGGCAGTATTTGTCCCGCCGTTAGCATTAGCACTAGAAAGAGGTGTGTTTGGCTGTGATTGATAACCAGGGGAGGTTGACCCAGTCCAATTTTCCCAAGCAGCGGCACTGTCTTGACGTTTCCTATTCCGTATCTCTTCCTCACGTCTTCGAAACTCCTCCTGTTGAGCCATTTTCTCGGATTCGCGCTTCCGTGCCTCTTCCTGACGTCTCCTCTCGTGTTCCTTGCGTTTAGCTTCATCCTCAATCCGCATTCTTTCATTTTCCTGTCGCGTTCGATTGGCAGTGGCATGTTCCTCCTTAAGAGCAGCAGCTTTAGCCACTTCCGCTTTACGTCTCTCGTGTTCCTTCCAAGCGATGTCGCTCTCGATACGTTCCTGCTCTTCTTTTCTAATCCTTTGCTGAAGCAAGATCTGCTCTGCGTCAGCCTTCGCCCGACGTTCTTGTCCCTCTCTCTCCTGCTCTTCACGAACAAGTCTCTCCCGTTCCTCGCGAGCAAGTCTCGCCTGTTCCTCACGAGCAAGTCTTTCCTGCTCCTCACGGGCAAGTCTCTCCTGCTCCTCGCGAGCAAGTCTCTCCTGCTCCTCACGGGCAAGTCTCTCCTGTTCCTCATGAGCAAGTCTCTCCTGCTCCTCACGGGCAAGTCTCTCCTGTTCCTCACGAGCAAGTCTCTCCTGCTCCTCACGCATCTCTGCTTCCTGTGCAGCCTTCTCTTGCTCTCGACGCAGGGCTTCCTCTTGAGCGGCCTGTTCCCGACGCTGAAGTTCCTCTTCTGCGAGCCGGAGTTGTCGCTCCCGCTGCTTAATCTCGGCTTCCCTCTTTTGAGCTTCTTCTTCACGGAGCCGAGCTATCTTTTCACGCTTCTTCGCCTCCGCCTCTTTGCGACGGGCTTCTTTTTCGAGGCGCTCGAATTCCCTTTGCTTCTCTACCATTAACTTGCGTTGAAGTTCCTCCTCTTTCTTCCTGATCTCATCCTCCCGCCGCCGGAGCTCATCCTCATCTCTTCTAAGCCTTTCTCTTCTCTCCTCCTCTATCCGAGCCTCTTCTTTTGCTTGTGCAAGCCGAGCCTCCTCTTCCTCGATTTTCCGTATTCTTATATCTTCCTCCTCCTTCCTCTTAGCTTCGTCCTCCGCGCGCTTCCTCTGTTCCTCCTCCCGCCTCTTCTCCTCTGCCTTGTTTCTTTCTTCTTCCTCTCGTTTCCGCTTCTCTTCCTCTTTACGTCGAGCGGATTCCTTGCGTTTCATCTCAGCCTCTTTCTTTCTTTGTGCTTCTTGCTCCTTTCGTCTTCTAGCCGCTTCCTCTTCTTCGTCCGCTAATTTCTGCTTTCTGGCTTCCTCTGCAGCTCTAGCAGCCTCCCTTTGCATGGATTCCTCTCTTATCTTGGCCTCCTCTACCCTACTGAATTCAGCTTGCCTCGCGAGTTCTTTCTTTCTCGCCTCCTCTGTTTCAACAGCCTTGGCGGCTTCCGCTGCCCTCATTTTTCGTTCCCTGGCCAACATCTGTTGATATTCCAGGCTATCTACATCCGGCTCATTTACTGTGCTTCGCTGTAGTTTCGCGCTTGGTTTGGGGGTTGGATATGGGATAGGATGACGAGGACTTGAAAAGCTAGTACTCGAAGAGAGGGTCGATGTTGGCTGACGATGAGAGTCCTCACTCTCCGAATCTGTCATTGTTTCTGATCCTTCCTCCGAACCTTCGGGATCATCAACAAGGTCATTCGTATAAGTGGGTACAGGCTGATTCCGGTCGGGCATCTTTCCCTCACGCAAGTTGTTGTTGGACATCGACGAATGAAGGCTTTGTGGTTGACTTGGATGATGTTGGGACCACAAACGCCAGCCCTCTTGTGAGGCTGATGAAGAGCGCATACTATGATGCCGGGTGTCAGGAAGAGCGGACATCGGCGCGGCCATAGGACCGTTTCCGGACCATGCCCTTTGCTGGTGTGACGACCCGTTTCCGTATGAGGTAGCATCAACGTCGTCAGATGTGCGTGTGGTGTACATCGATGGACTTTGGTAGGGGGGATATTGTGAGGAAAAATGTGAAGCAGAATAAGGAGAAGCAGAATATGGCGCTTGTTGTTGCGGAAATGGCCGGGATGAAGGTGAAGAGTACGGATGTGAAGGAGGTGGAGATGAATATGACGGGGTGCCCTGATACGGAGAGTACTGTACATTGGGCGAGGAAACGGGTCCGACAGAAGACGGTGCGGGTATATACCGAGGGTCGTTGGATGGACGCCTGGATCGTATCCGCGAATCGGTATCTTGGTCAGTAAGAGGCGAGGTGGAGCCAATATATGAAGCGGACCCTGGATAAGCGGGATTGTAGCCTTCTGCAGCCTGGGCGTAGGCTAACGTGGCCGATACAGGAGGAGTCTGAGAGTACGTACGGCCGTTGCTATATGAATAGTAGTTAGCTGATTATTATTTCCGACAATCTGACCGACGGCTATACCTCTCTCCATTAGAATACAGTTCTGTAGGCTCTGTAGGACGAGATAAGGATAAATGACTCTGTGTCGATCGAGTGCGTATGGGAACTTTGTCAAAGTTTCGCGGCCCTGCTTCATGTACAAATGAAGTTTTCCGGTAAAGCTGTGCGGGATTTTCCTGGACAAAGGAAGCTTTCCGATAAATTGGCTTGGTCTCCAGAGGTGGAGGTGGAGGACGAGTTTTAGAAGGTGAAGAGGAAACAATGTTGCTCGTAGTTGGTGATGTTCCGGGTGGATCGTTCACGTATACGGCGCTGCTTGAGGACGAAGGACCCTTCATATTATCCAGCGTACGTCGCCGACCTAATTGCCGCTCCTTCGCAGCATCCAAATCACGCCATGCTTGATCAACTTCTTGTGTACGTACCCGCTCTTGTTCAACCTTAGTGGATATATCAGAGTTACTGTTCACGACCGGTCTGATCTCTGGAATTGTGTCAACGATAGTTGGCCGTCGAGATCCTGTAGAAGTAGATCCTGTAGACCTTACACTTGCTGTACTGTTACGCCGCTGAGACCGATCTGAAGCAAGTTCGGGGGGATGCCAGACCTCGGGTGATATTTTTGGGGGAGTACTGGAACTTGAAGAATAAGGACGAGGAATTCTGTTGAGATTTACAGAAGCCGCTTCCAAGGAAGAGCGTTTGACTCCAGAGTCGTCGTCATTGCGGAACTTGGGCGGTGGCATGATAGGTTGAGATCTGATATGTCTCTTGCGTGCAGCGTCAGTGTCACTTTCTTCATCGGTATCTTCCTCGGACGGTGGCTCTGGATCTGGCTCTAACAGTGTGGCTCTTTGATTCCGTTCAGAACGTTGTGGGGGAGGAGTAGGATTCATGTTCAGACTGACAGAGGAAGTGGAGCTTCTGCGATTCAGCGAATCCTGGTGATTACAATCGGTATAAACATGGTTTGATTGTGGAGGTGCGACACTACGACTCACTATAGTATTCTCCTGCACACTACTGACAATAGGACCGTCATTAGAGCCAAGTGCGTTAGAGCTCTTGCCGCTTTGTATCTGATCCAGAATAGCTTGTTGTTCCTTCTTCATAGTCTCCGCGAGATCTGGGGGAAGCTCATGGCCTGTAGCCCAGCGACGCTGATGCCTTTCCCGTTCCAGTTCCTCCTTAAACGCCTCTGTGGCCAGCTTCCGTATATTATCCATAGCAACCGAGAATTCTCTGCGCAAACGTTCGCTATCGTCTGGGTTCTTTTCCAAATTTTCTTTCAACTGGGTCTCGGCATCTTTGACCATAGAGGTCAGGTTGCGCTCAATTTCAGCCTTAAGATTCTCCTTCCATTGTTCATCTGGCTCGAGATCAGGATCACGTCGTATTGCCCTCGATGCTGCAGATGCAGAAGACAGTGGACTCGACATTGAGCAGCCGAACACACTAAAGAGAAAGGTCAAACGTTCGGACTGGCAAGAAGAAGGAAACAGCGGTAAAGGTAGAATGAGATGGTAGAGTCGAGGGACCTAGGGATTGCGACAGTGGGTGTTCTGTGCTCAATTTACGCCTCGTGTTCGGTATATGCACACTGTTCAGAAAATCTAGAGTATTCCATCAGATTGTATATTCGAATTGAACAAGAGACAATAGCTCACAAGGAGGCAGCTCGACCTATCATCAGAGCAACAAGCCAACTTCTCCGACTGTGATCGCTACAAATCGTAACTGCATCAAGCTGCAGTACTGAGAGCAACTAATAGTAATAGTAAATATTATCAGACGCGTATCTTTATCCCGTGATCAGTATACTAATAAGCGCTCGCTCGTGTATTACCGACCCTGTTCTCCGACTCCAATGGCCACTTTCTTTCTGGAATCGTTGTTGGACATGCCATCTAGTCAAAATCAACAAGTACAACCCAAAGAACAATCATCTGAAGATATCCTAAATGATGCTTTGCTCTTTCTGGGAGGAAAACCAGTCGTCGAAAGTGAAATCATATCGTATGGAGATCTCAAACTCACTGTGGCGCCCAAGGTTTGTCGTTTGGTCTTGTCATGTTCTTGTTATTCTTGCCTGATACAAGCGATTTCCCCTTGTATGTGTAAATTAATGCTTGAATAGTTGATATCACGTTCCTATTAGGAAGGAAAAGCGAACACTCTCCTCGCGGATCATCTTTTTTCGCCTTCTCTGCTTCTTGCGGAACAAATCGAACAAGGAGCAATATTTTTACAAGGAAGGACTTGTACGTGTCCCTGTACAACAATTACATATGTATTGAACGCTCCTACCCAGTGATCGAACTTGGTGCAGGTTGTTCCCTTCCTTCCCTCGCAGCCTGTACCATCTCCAGTCCATCAAATGTGCCATCGCTTGTAGTGACCTCAGACTATCCTGATCCAATCATATTGGGGAGCCTCAAAAGCAATGTTGAACGTAATCAGGCCTTGGTTTCACCGACGTGCAAGTTGCATTGTAGAGGCTATGAATGGGGTCAAGACGTTGCAGAGTTGCTGTAAGTTCTTAGCCCATATGCATGAAAATGTCACAACTTTCACATTCTATTTCCATCAGGGATTTGCTACCAAACCCATCTATCACGGGCTTCGACATTGTCATTCTTTCAGACTTACTCCATTTTGACGCATCGCACGATGCCCTCGTAAAGTCTTTGTCACTTCTTCTTGCCAAGACGGTAGATGCAAGGGTTTATGTTGCAGTACGTGTCTTGTTACCTTGTAACCACAATCACAATCATCATTGAGGACCTCATCCATTACAGGCCGGAAAATATACTCTTCCTAAAGTTGTCAGCTCTTTTTTGAAAAAGGCTACCGATGCAGGGCTGGTACTCATAGAGTATACAGATCACATAGGCGGCTCAAGGTGGCTTGGAACGTTACCCGTATCTGGGCTTGATGCCGAAGCATTGGGCATTCGGAAAAATAATTGTCGGTTCTGGGTTGGCCAGTGGGCTGGTACAAAAGTGGTCGTTCGTTAAAGCGAGGAGCATCCGTCAGCCTTAGCTTGTGAGCTCGTGAGCTGTATGTATTGAAAAATTCGAGTCTACTGATCATGAAGTTTCCAAAGTCGAGGTATAATCGCTTATGGAATAAGTCTTCCCTGCTGTTAGTCGTACAGAAGCTCTTCCATCCCGACCCATTCCAATCTGACAACGCCGTTTCGGTTGAAGCAGTCAAACCTTGCCCAGTGAGTCACGCCAGGTACCGGTGTATCTGTATAGTGCTCCCTCCTTGCAGGAGACCTCTCACTCGCAATGCTAAGGATACATACACTGGAGGCATTCCCCAGCACCTGAGAAGTTAGTCAATAATATGGCAAATTACATACAGTGGATACAAGCTACTTGACTGGGATATATGAAGATATATTGGTTCATTATTTCTATTCGTTGCTATTCGTGGAGCGTCATGACCAGGGGAATAGAGAACTGGATGGATCTATTGGGATGATACTGTTTGAAAGCATGTCCTTGTATCGCGGTAAGCAGGACTCTTTTCTGTTATCTACAGGAGCGTCAACGATTTAGATGTTGAGTTATAAGCAATACGTGTACTTGCCAATACTATTCCACCGATGACATGAACAAGAATTACCCAGAGACTCATCGCTCGAAGGGCAATGTTGGTAAACTGCGTGGCGATATCCAATGTCTTGGAAGAAGTGCAATTTATGCTTTGGAAGAAACAAGGCGGCAGCAATTGAATGTATGGGAGCATCTCCCCATCTCTGTTTGGGAGAGTAAGTCCATTTTAACGCCAAAAATTTGACCCAAACCTCGTAATAAAACCCTCCTTTGGCGTCAAGGAAGTTGAAAAACTTTCGATACGCCTCGCTTCGCCAGAAGTCCATGTCTGCGATCTCGAAGTTACTCCAAACTATGTATGCGACGGAAAAGTAAGAAGGCATAAGTGGTTACTCGAAAGGGCATTCAAAAAGCAAGATCATACAGTGACACATGTTGTAAGTTTGTCCGCCATCGTTACTGAGAAGTTCCATCGCATTATCGTTGGCGATGTATTGAGGATATTTGACCATGAACTCTATAGACAGTATTTTGTTCAGAGCAACGTCATGCTGAATCACTAAAGATTAGTGTTGCCTTTTACGCTATCCCATAGAGTGGTAACCGTCTCTGGAGTCTCGTATAATGCTATTGTGAAGCCTGCTCCCATTGTGAGCGCGGGAGCAAGCAGAGAGACCGGACACTCACCATACGTTTGGTTATTTTGATTGAGATATTGAAAGGGATCGTAGTTCATGTCACAGAAGTAGTCGACATTTGGCCTGATGATGATGCGATTAGTATTCCGATCATGAGCGGGCGAAGAAACGGATGCCTACTCTACCCTCCAGTAATATTTGAATTGCTGTAGCAGTGGATGTTGAAAGAAATACTATAGGTGTCAATGTTATTGAATGACAAGGTCAACGACGAGCCTGTAAACTAACCCCAGAGTTGAAGCGGCACATATTTCTATAGGATGAGCTATCTGCCAAATGTTTAAGATTGTTTTTGTTGCCAGGATAGTGTCAGGGTATAGATGCGCACCACCGTATATGATGTTCTGTCCTTTCAACCGTTTTCGCGATTCCTCCGCCTTATCCTCGTCAATCCAAGCAGGCTGCACCCAATGTTCTTTTGGAATCAATCCAAAATAGACCGGCGCGTTTGTTTCTAGCAGTACGCGACTACAACAGTTCAGCGATGAATAATGGGCTTCGAAGCATTGGACAAGGAGCGCACCCTTTGAATTCATTTGTGAACTCCTCGTCATTTAAGAACACCCATGGATACAGATAGTTGTGGTTAAATCGCTTTTCCAAATTGCTCATGCTCGTTAATACATCTCTCAAGTCAGAATTTCGAGCCAAAAACACCAATGTCGCGTTTTGCCTCTGAAATGAGGGTTCAAATTCTGCAGAGATAGGAATCGTGGTAGACAGTTGTCGAAACCCGCCACGCAGAAGAATCATTGTGTATAATGTACCTAACTGGAATCATAGAGCATGAGCTGACAGGGGCGAGCGAATTCAAAGGTTCCGAACCATGAAAAAGACAGTGAACACCATATAACGTCTGGCTTCGAAAGACACAGACATAGTGATGAAGTGATGGAAAGGGAAATGGACGCAATCGAAAGTGAAAGCACCAACTTTATCAACATGTCATGACGTGAGCGTTGATCTTGAAGGTTTGTACGTTGATCCATGCGCAGCATTGGCGAGGCAACTGGAAAAGTGAAGACATCAGAGATGCATTATACCAGGGTACTAGTGTATACACTTCGTACCAAATTCCACTATTTTAAACTCCACAGACTACTAGGTACGATCCGATATCCGCGAGCGCAGTCGAGTAAGTTAACATTTGCTCCGAAGAGACGGAAAACCAGCAGCATCTTCATTCCTTCCGCCTTTCTTCCCGATGTTGACCGATTGATATTTTGAGTTGCGTTTATATCTAGTCGGTGTCTTTCTACAGAGTACTGACGGAAAATAAAACTTCAGAATCACAGAACATATGTTGGCTTTCCGACAGCGAAGCGCAATATTCAATTGATAGAAGAAACGCTCTCCCACGGTTCAAAGCTTGAAGCTTGATCGCTTTTGATCGCCAGCATATACCAAGATTCAAGAAATAAAGTTTTGTTTTTCATCTGTCACCATGCCTATGAAAGGTGGGAGATAGTCATACGAAGCAAAATACTGTCTGAGGACGATGAGCACGCGGGAGCGAGTCAAGTTTCATCAGTGGCAGACGCGTCGAGCCCTTTGCCGCGTTATCCTGAACAAGCCTATAGTCTGAATCCTGGATATTGCTGGTACTTATGTTAGCATATACATTCAGAGCGGGCTCCGTCAACGTTGTGTGAGCTAGTACCGAGACAGACCGAGACAGGACACACATCCATCTTGTGCTCTCTTGGGCTGAGGATTGTATAACGGGCAGCGATAATTTCTTACCGCATTTTCGAATCTAGATGTTGATGGTACTTAGCCTTCTTTATCATGAACATTCTCGACGCTTATATCACGTCTCAGGCGGTCTATAACTTATCGTTGATGATGGGCGTCTTTACAGCCATGTATACCATCTTCGACATTCTATCATATCACCAAGGTTACCGCTTCCACCATACCTTCGATACTGGTAGAGTATATATATTGTCAATAATATTGTATAAAAAGTATCGACATTTCTCTGTGTGTTTTTTTTTTTTGCGAATCTCGGATCCCAGTTTGGCTACTTGTCCATGGAGTTTGTGAACGGGCAACGTGCACGGCTCAACCAGGACTCAACGCAATATGATTCGTAGGTCAAGGCGGTCAGCTTGATTCGAGGAGGGAAACAGGTGGTGCACAGAGAATTGATCGTGACAGGGACTCGGGATAGCTGTCGATTGATAAGTGGAAGCAACTTGGCCACTGTGCTTTATTCGAAGGACAGCAAGACGTACCAGTTCTAGGCCGGGGGCAGAATATGATAATCTCATCCCTGTATATCTATGTATTTAATCTCTGGTATGAGACTCGGAGGTTTCGAGGCATGGGTCCCTAATATTGTGAATAGAATCTCAGGAAACCAAGATGAGTCTCAGGAAAGAAATATGTACTTACACACCGAGATACCATTGTACATACGGAATTGTGTTCTCTCCGATTTTCCTCACGCCCCAAGTACACAGCCGGTGTTTTCATGCATTTGTTCAAAGGAAGGGCACTGGGGCGTGCTGATTTTTCATGTAAACGCCTTGCGAACATTAATTTCATGAGTCAGAGGAGAGAGTAATATATTATGTTACATACCTCCATGATAAAATTCTGTCGTGCGTTGAGCAGATATCTATAGTTCGAGGTAAAAACGCTGAACTAAGTATGTAATACGACGGACGGAAATTGTATTCCTTTCATTATGTGTAACATTCACGAGTCACCCGGGTCTTTCTCGAGCTCAAGGCCCTTTTGGAAAGAACAGGGAAAGAGTATGTACCAAAATGCAAGTTGGTTCGAGCCGCGATATTGATGCATTGAACGTATTTCGACAGCGTCAACGCAGCTCCTTCCCTTCAGGTTGCCAAACGTAAAAGCTTTCAGGATCCACGTTATATCTATGCAAAGCACTGTAAAACCCTACTTGCTGCATCCGGGAGGTAAAGGCCTGTAAAGGCATCATTGACTGTGCATTACTTGAAGAGTCGAAGGACAAAGACATCTGACGGACGTACTTACGCAATGTTCTCGGGACGGTGTGGGATGCAAGGATCTAAATGCGGTTTCATTATGACATTGAGATGCACCTGGAAACCCTGTGGAAACCTGAACGCTGAGATACATATTGTCAACTGTCCCACGGAGTAAGAGACAAACTGGGGTTTGTTCTGGTTTGTCCCACTTTCATTGAGTTTATGATGAGCGGCACTAACTCTTCAGATTCAAATGTCATACTTAAAGGCGCAAGGCAGCAGATGTCATCGTATAGATGTGTTGAGTTAGAGGCTGTAAGAAGAGGCTTGAAGGAGATACACTCACAGGGTTATGAGCATCCCGGCAGCATCACCTGGTGAATGACGGTTTCATATCGTACGCTGTATGTTGCCCTATGCCCTCCTACCGCCGCACGATGATTGGCTGGATTGAAACAGGATTGAATTATGTAGTTGGCATTGGTTAGCATCCGTTGGCATACGAGCGGATAATCTGCCACAATCATAAAACCCTCCATGGGTTCTTTGCAACACGCAACGAACCTGAAGGGATTGTTTGTAACGAAGGTTAGCGCGCCATTTGAGCTGCAGCCTGAATGTTCCGTTGGGCCCGGAGAAATCACAGCATCGACGAATGAGTGCACATCAAAAAGAAGGCAGAAATATGGTCTTGGTCCCGAGCTCGAGCTTCAGGTTGAGCGTTGACCTTTTTTGCAGATGGACCAGGATGGACCGTCTCATCGAGGACGTGATTATTGTTATCTTATCTTGGACCCCTTTGTGTACAATTTTTTGAATTTGATCAAACTAAGCGCTTGAAGGTCTTCTTTCTCCTCATCGAACAGTGATTGATCAAGATTCAAGATGCCCTGCTCTTTGCTTTTTTCCTCCAAAAATCTCTCCTTCATTGTCAGTCTGTCAGGCTTCCCATTGTACGGTGAAGATCGGAACTCGGCAATAGCATTGCCTCAACTGGAGTCACCGCGTAACGTCACCACATAACGGAAGACAAAAAAAAAGACAAAAAACAATATAATGTCTCCCTTGCTATAAAATGGACATCGTACAAAAAAAATTGTGGTTGTTGGCCCGGCCACATTTTGCAACGGTCCAGTAATTTGTGTTGGGCCATCGTTCAACGACCACTTCTACGACTATTATCCAATCATTACCGCGGCCAATTCTCATGCTCACCATGCCTTTCGCTTTGTTAGACCGTTTTCGAAGCAGATTCCAACGTCATAAGAGCTGGAGGCTATCCAACAAGGTAAAGTATTCGCTTTCAACTCCATCTTACTCCCGAAGTTCATTTTATGTCGTTCCGCGCCATGATGAAGGCTCATAACCATTTGCAACGAAGTTCGGAAGACTCAAACGACTCGGATTTCACCGAAGTGACTGCAAAAACCTCATTCGATACGGTGCTCTCCATTTCATCTATATCCACTTCTGTCTCTGCCCACTCTATTCCCATTCCTTCCACCGTGGAAACGGTCATTCTTCAAACGAATGACCAACCGTCCCCGAAGGAAGCTGCGGAGATACATGCCATCCTCGATACTAAAAGACAAAAGCTGTTCGAGTTGGAACGCAGGAAGGAAGTTCTTGATCGACAGAGAGAGTTTTTGGACCGACAGAGACGTCTTCTAGATGAAGAGCTCGGAGTGATGTCTGAAGAGATTGATCAATATAGCGGAGTCGTCGGGTGTGGCATGAGGAACATGCCCTCAGACCTGGTAAGCCCACTGCTATCAAGCTTCCAATCGTCTGACATTCTGTCCATCTTCTAGCTATTGGAGATCTTCCATCTTTATGTAGCAGATTCTGAATGTACTTCGTCTCTCGGAAGCGCAACTACCCTTACGCATGTCTGTCGCATGTGGCGCCAGATCGCATTATCCTCTCCAGCACTTTGGGTCACGCTCACTGTTCCTCACCTTACTCCACAAATCGCTTCGAATGTTTTCCAGCGCCTTGGTCAGGTGAAGACAGCGATAGGAATTCCGTTGGAGTTCAATATCAACCTGCGGAGGTCTACGGATGTGCACGATGGAGAGTTTCAACAACTATCCTCGGATCTAGTGAATGCCTCTATCGCTCATGTGCATCGCTGGAAATCTTTCTCTCTTTGTTGCGAAGACGAGCTGTTCACTGCTGGGATACACGAAGAGTTATTCAACGAGGTTTCGGAAGCCCCACGACTTGAGGCGCTCAAATTCGCTTTTAGCGTTCAGAATGCGGAATGGTCCCCGTCGTCATGGTTACTTTCGCTATTGCACGCAGCCCCGGTATTGCGATACTTGCAACTTAAACTTCCTTCGTTATCAGTTCGGGCCCTGTCTCCATTGTCTCTATCCCACCTCGAGTCCTTGACCCTCGACCTCCCTACGGTCACTCCTGCTGCACTTCTTTTCCTTTTAGGAGATGTCGCACCCAATTTAAAAGTGTGCCACGTCAATGTGGCTGGACTTGTCAATTTCGATACGGACGAGGATGATAACCACTTGGCGTACGTCACTTCCATGGTTATACATTCCTGTCTTGAGGTTTTCGAGATTCGTTTATCCCGCGGCGCGTCACCGGAAGCCATGTCTCAACTCTTCGATAATCTGACACTTCCAGTAGCGCGCGAAATGCTTTTGGAGATCGGGAATTTTCAAGAGCCCAGTTCAGATTCTATCACCTTTCCCGATGACCTCGAACTCTCCTGGCCGCACGAGTCTTTCCTTGGGCTTCTTGAGCGTGCCTCACCGTCAGTTACGTCGCTCTGTCTTGGGTTTGACCCTGCTTCACCCGAATCTGCTGACAATGCATGGGGTGGCATGGGATCCATTGGAGCTGATTTAGAAGAAGAACACGTTCGAGCTTATCTGGACTTGAATAACGTGGGACGTAGTTTGGCCACACTGCATGTTAGGAGGGACAGACCTGTTTGGCCTGAGTTGTTGGAGTATCTTACCTTGTCTGCATCACACGAATCGTCTCACACTTGCTCGTTGGACTTGAGCAACTCGGTCAGTGATGCCTTGGGTTCTCAGCCATTGAGAAACTTGGAGAATATCGCTCTTGATATCGATCCAATATTTCAAGTCCTACAAATGCGGGATTTCGTTAAGTCGCGGTGGTACGATAATCTTTCGTCTGATTCCCCGCGCCCCATCACTCGCCTGCGAAACTTCAGCATTACACTTTGCTTCCCAGACATACCTAATCTGGAGTTGGAAAGTGCTTCGGCGAGGAAAGTGTTTCAGCGAATTGCCCAGGGCGAGGAACCGGAAGACAAGCTCGAAGTGGTGTTCCACAAGAGGAGGTACACGATGATGCCGATGGATGTGCCTCTGGTTACACTGGGAAGTGAACTTATTATTTGATTCGCCTAAGGATGAAACTTTCGACCTTCATTATCATCCTCTGTCACATTTTTCTCATTCCCTTGTTTGTCCTTTCGTTTTCATCTTTTTCCCTTCGCTTTGTTCTGCATTGTCTCCACCCGATGTATTGATCAAGTCGTGCATACTTGGAGTCTCATTTTGAGACTCTGCCTCGTTTATGTCCGCATCATGACTGTCACGTTGGACCATAACCATAGGACATAACTTAATCGCAATTCTTCCTCCACGTACCAGTGTTACTGATTCGCTACTCAAACCATAGTATTAATCGTCGACTTTTGTATCTATAGGATCAGTTCTTCCTTTGTTCGTTCGTTTCACGATATTTTAGATAAAGTTTAGTACTCCCGCAGTGTACGAACTACCACAACTCATTCGCCTCCAATTCTGCTACGTCCAGTAATACTGTACATTACGGTTGATCATGTACTTTCCCTCAGTACATAAAGACGTCAATGTGGTATTGTATCAATCGTTTGCCCCTGCGAGAACAACAATTTTGGATTTACTCCAAGTAGTCGAAGATCTATATACTTAGACTAACACAGTAGGCATAATGATGAAACCCAACTACTCTGATTCCACAGCTTTCTTTGGCGCATCCTGTCTCTGCCGTTCTTGTTGTTCCCGCAGTCTCGAGAACCTACTCTGATCAACGACGTAGGATAAGTTGGACATGTTTTGGTCGCATCTATCATCATTCAATCAGGAATCAATGTGAAGTGAGTAAAGAAGAAATGGATTGAGACTGATTACTCACAACCTGGACAATGTCTCTTCGCACTCTCCCAACGCTGCTTTTACTACCCTTAATACGCTAGGCATATCTCCTCCCATATTCGAAGAACTATAACCACCCACCGCTCCTCCACCAGCCCTCAACACCCTTCCGTGGATCATTAACACCGCATGTACCCATAACAACCCAAACTCCACATGCGGGGTCCTCTTCAAAAAAACACCCCCGACAAACCTCAATAAGGGACCGAGATACATCACGGGCAGCTGTCTCACAAGAAGCTTGATATCACCCCTGGGGATACCCTCGAATACCGTCTGAAGAAGAGGAGCCTCGTTTAGACGGAAAGCCATGACGAGCGCGGGTAAGTAGGATTTCGAATGGAGGGTCGATAAGACTGACGAGGGGGTGAGGTCAAGGGAGAGGTCAAAAGGATCGAAGTCAGCGGTGTTGAGTGAGTCAAGAGAGTAAATGAGGAGTCCCTCGGTTGAGGCAGCAGCCCATGAACGTCCTGTAGGAGAAAATCGAACACATTTGGTACGTGCTGCACGTTTATATTTGCGTACACTCATATCACCTCCTTGTGCACCAGGTAACGTGCTGTCCACCCTCCGTCTATCAGCATCTTCCTCTTCATCTTCGATCATCAGTGAGTCGATATTTACCCCAGCCTCATTCACCCGTCTTGAATCCAAAAACTCTTCCGTCCCATCCAAGCTCAAGTTTTCCGATATCGTAAACTTACGTAGCAGAACGCCCTCCCCCTCTCGAACATCGTACAAAACAACGTACTTGCTGTTCCCTCCAGCCAGAACACACCTTCCGTCAGCGGTATAGGCCAGACTATTGAAGCTCTTCCCCGCTGTGCTATTTGCCGCAGAGGTTCGCGAGCTAGTTAACCGGCCACCAGAAATATCGTTTCTACCGTTAATCACGTTGGTTTGTTTGCTTTGGGCAACATCGAAAAACGTTATCTGGCCATCAAGCGTGCTGACAGCCAATTCCTTCCCATCGGGCCTCCAAGTAAGAGCAAGAACATCCGCATTCAGAGTAAACGCTTCAGAGGCACGCGAGCGCCCAAAGACACTCCAAACCCTGACACTCCGATCCCAAGATCCACTTGCCAATTGGTTCGTTCCTTCAGGGCAAAACTCCAGAGTGCTCACAGGCGCTTCGTGTCCGGTGAGAATATCTAGGAGCTTTCCTGTTTGAACGCTCCATAGGAACACTTCATAGGTGTCCATACTCCCTGCAGCGACAACCTCTCCGCTCGGGTCGACAGCGATGCAATTAAATTGTACGGGGGAGGGGGACGTGAATGTACGGAAGTTGCGGTACCTCACTAGATCATACGCGCGGACTGTACCATCTAAGCTTGCGCTGAACACTACGTTTGTGCCGTATCGTGCAAATGCAACGCCGGTTATTGGAGCGGAATGTTCGTTGAAGGTCACGAAGCAGAACGAGGATTGCATCGACCATAGCTTGAGTTTTCCATCATCACCCCCCGTAGCGACTGTCTGGCCGTCAGGGGAGTAAGTCAATGTGTTGAGGTCGAGGAAATGTCCTTGTTGTTTAAGAATATAAGACTCGCTTTGCCATTCCCATACTAATAATTGGCCTAGATGAGCTGCACCGAATGCCAGCCATTCACCAGAAGGTGAGACGGCTAAGGAGGATATACTTTCTTGGGATATCGAAAGAGTGTGCAGGTTAGTAAAGGCTGGGAGCTCCCATAAACCAAAGATACCAGTGCTGAAGCCGACGATCAGGAGGGATGATGATGCATGGTAGGTTGTTGTGATAACCTTTGCTGGGCGAGAAGACGTGGATACGTTGCTGCCGGGGACATTGAAATATTCCCGTCTATGCACGCCCCAGCGAGTGTGTATGATTTTGTGTGAAAGTGGGGATGAGGAAGAAGAAGAGAGTCCGTTAGACGTAGATGCAATAGGCTGATCATCGTCATCTTCATTATTATCCAATGAGTCTGAGTTCGGTGCTTCCACTTTCCCCTTCCATGTGAAAACAGCGCCGTCGCGGCTGACAGTGTATATCTGTGCATTATGAGTTCAACATACCTAAGTGATGAGAAAAGACTACGCACCGTGTTCCCATCTTTGGAGAAATATGCACCGAGGACGACATCCCGATGGCCTGCAAAAGTCTTCGGTCTATAGTCCTTTACCGGATACAGGGTGAACAGACGCGCGGTCATATCTCGTGAAGTCGTTATGAAACATCTGCGAGATGTCGAGAAATACTGCAATCAAGGAAATCTGTCAGGTCAACGAATAGGGTGCTTACTGGGAATCTTCGGCCCATTGAATGCTAAGTACATCGTCCATATGCCCAGTATAGGTCCTATGTAGCACAAATGGAGCGAATTCGCGGACGAGATGGTTGGGGGTCTTCCAGACCTGAATATGAGAGCCATGCGTTACTGCAATGAATCTACATATTGATATTATGGAAGCAAGAATACTGCCAGGACAACAAAGACTTACTTTCCGTCTGGCGAAAAAGATATATCTTTGACTGGTTTCTTGAAATCGAAATGATGCAGAACAACTCCACGTTTGTAATTGACTAGTAGAGCTCGGCCATCTGGGAATATTTCGACAATTGAGAATAAGAGAATTGACAGAAACAAGAATTATCACGCACCTCCATCAACACTTATCAAGACATTTCCATCTGGACTTAGTGCAATTCTGGCAATGTTTTTGCGATTTTCGAAAGAAAAAGTGAAGGACTTGTTACTGTCCGCATGGTCATTAGTTTAATAGTGCATGGTAGTCATTGAGGACACACACTTAAGGAGATCGAACGATGACACTCTGTTACCCACTGGACTCAGCAGCGAATTTTCATCAGCGGTAAATAGGACGTTGCCTTGACAGTATACTGTTCCACAAATGTTAGAGAACTAGCGGAGCTTATTTAGATGATTGAAGGAAGATGGAGGTAGAGGATAAACACCTTATAATTCGCTTTCATTGAGGAGAGATGGAAGAATTTTTCTGCTCGTGGCGGGCCGTCTCTACCGAGTGAAAATTAAGGCGCTTAAAAATGATTCCGGGGAAGTGACCCTCGAGCTCCAACTTCGACTCGCCAGCTGCTGTTCACCGTATTGATTATTAGCTCTGCAATACTGTTGAGTGGCATCGCATTCTTTCTTGCCACTCTGCTAACGTGGAAGACATTGCTCTATAGGACCTGCAGCATCGCGGTATACAAGAAATTCGTCACGTCGTGAGATTCAAAAAGGAAATGGTTTGTTTATCGAAGCAGGCGCCCACATCGCCATATTCATCAGTGTGACCGCTGGAAACTGACATACAGCGTTTTATAGTCCCTTTCCTTCTGGGCCTTGATCCTTACGATCTCTCTTCGACAACCTACATCGGGTACAAGCAAGCAATTGTTCAGCCAAGAGACGTTGTACTGATACTTGGTTTTGTTCTCCTTGTTCTTACGGTGTTGTTTTCTCCATGGTGAGATTCATTCAACACTTATATATGCCAAACAACTCACGAAACACATCTCCTTCCCAGATGATGTCCTCAAGTGCATATCCTCAGCCTTATACTGGTGCGCCACCGATACCCCAAGGATACAATGTAAATCCTTCGCAATGGAACACAGGTTACTGGCAGCGTAATCCTCAATACAATCCCAATGGTGCACCTGCACAATTTCCCCAAGCTGCCTGGGTCCCTGGTGTAGGATGGGGTCAACCTCAGCAGCAGCAGCAGAACTATAATCCATACAAACGTCCAGTCCAGCCTCCTAGCGCTGCATATCTCTCTCAAAAACTGTCTGATAACCCGCTCGGGCTCTCGAACATGATCACTAGGTGTGGCGCAATTTCTAAATTTGTTTATATCCTTTCCCAAACGTTGCTCATTCCTTTTCATATACTTCTCGCATATTTAGAGAAGAGTTGTACGGACCAGGAGTCGACGGTGCACCACCAGAAACGCCGTGGATATGGAATCCGAGGTCCCTGGACGATAGTGGTTCTGGTCCTGATCCTAATTCCAACCGCCAATCTAACAACGCGAGACAGTCTTCGGAACCCCCGCCGTCAGCTGTTCACCATCGTTCTCAATCTCAATCGCTTTCTCGCCATGCTTCCGAACCTCCACCAGACAATTATCAGAATCATCAGGAACCCGCGCCCGCCCCTCTCGCGAGGCCGAAGAAGTACGCAGTGTCTGCTTCGGCACAGGCTGCCAGCACAAGCGCTCAAGGATATCAACCTCAACCCCCTGCGACTAGCTCTGCGTCTGCGTATGCCTCCAGCCGCGCCGCAGCCGCAGCCGCAGCAGCGTCAAACGCGAACAATACCACTTCGAATGCTCCCCCTGCTGCATCTACGCCCACTCGACAGTTTCGCCCGACGTTCTCCACCCGGATCGTTCGAACTCCCGATCATTATCGACATGAGAATAGCACCCCAACAAACTCCAACTTGACACGCAGTGCTACAATGCCATCTAGTACAAGTGGCACTGGTCAGAGTCAAACAACACCAACTCGAAGTAGGTCTCAATCCACCGCTCACGCTCGTGATATATCTGCAGAAACCTCTGCAGGAGCCTCAACGGGAGCGGGGACCGTGACAGATGCTTCAGTATTCGTTGACGAGCCTGGGACTTTACTTAGTCCGTTGGTAATGAACACACCCATGCCTCCGACCTCGAAGCCTCTGGGAAGGCATCATACAGCTCCTGCATTGTCCACAATTCAGGAGCAAGCGTCACCGTCTGAGCGACATCATCACCATCATAGACGCAGGTCGTCCTCTAGACATCCAGATAACAACAATAATACCCCATCGAAAATGCGATCGGGTTCAAGTTCAAAAACTCCAACTCCTGGCAGCGGTGCTCACGGCGAAAGTAGTACCAACCACACTAGCTACCTTGCTTCGAGAAATATTGCTACTACCGGTACATCCTCGGCTTCCGCAGCAGCAGCAGCAGCATTAGCAGCCTCGCAATCGCAGTCTCATGTTACTCCTCCAAATCAGACCAACACTACATCCTTCTTTGGCAACCGAACTCCGAACCCCCTCCCTACGCCCCCAAGAATATTCGATAATCCATCGTTTTCTAGGGCAAATATATACTCTCCGCCCAATGCTTCTGGGACTACACCTGGAGTCGGCTCATCATCGACAACAGTAGCATACACTGCACCATATAACAATACTACCACACCAGTGTCTGCAAACAAACTTGGAAGTTCTACTACAAGTTACGGTGTCATACCTGCATCAGCGTCAACGGGTATCAGTAGTGCTTCCGCTCAAGCTTCACGTTCGCGTTCCCAAACCCGGGACCGAGCTGATATTCGAGATCTCACAAGAGATCGGGAACCCTCCCAATCTCGGGGAGCCACACCGCAAGAACGGTCCTACTCTCGAACTCATTCTCGGGAGCCCTCCCGCTCCCGTGCACCCTCTCGTGAACCTTCCCAAGAACCTCCCGCTCGTCGCTTTCCCGATCGATCTCAAGACATTGACAACCCGTACCCATTTATTGCCCCAGATGGAACACCTCCCGTCCCGCCAGGGCCTGAAGTTGAAGCTCGTATTATCGCGGATCTCGCAAAAAGATATAAAATAACCGGCGAGCCTAGACGGAGTACACAAAGGAGTGGGATGTATAATGGGTCTGGATCTGGAGGCATTTCCAGGGCGTCTGCAGTGTCTAGTGCCCCTGCGACGACCACGAAATTCGAACATTTCCCGCTGCCGACTCCGCCGGAAAGCTTCTTGGAGCAGAGAAGGCAGGAAGCGAAGAAGGAAGAGGAAAGGTTGAAGCGAGAGAAAGAAGCCAGGGATCGGGAACAACAACAGCAGCAGCAGCAAAATTCATATCATCAGTCTGCTTCATCATACCAAACCCCGAAGACATCTCCATATAGTGATAATGTCAACCCTTCCCCTCAGCGTTCTCCCTCATACGCTCCGCAACACTCTTCCGCATCCCGACAATCGTCCCCGTATGCCTCGCCAAACAATCCAACTCAGCAACGCACCAGTCCGTACCCATCGCCAAACAATAATGTGGCTTCAACTCAGCGCTCTCCATACCCATCACCGAACAACGCACCTCAACGTTCTCCATATCCCTCTCCATACTCTAATTCTTCATCCACTCAACCATCACCGAGACCGTCACCCTCTAAGCATGCTCAATATGCATACCAAGGGGGTCCCAGCGGAACCAACACTGGCGGTCGCCGTATCCGCAAAGGCTACTGGAATTCCCGCGGCGACCATCTGACTGATTCCGGCTTCGTTGTCTACGCCCCGGCTGACAGGGCGAATCCTCCTGAACTAGCCTCGTATCCTGAGCGATGGGTTGGATTCCAGAATGAGTATGGAAATATTGCGAAATTTGAAGTAGGGAGCAAAGAGTTGCCAGAGAGTATTGGGAGGGATGCTAAGATGCCTTATGATTCTGTGAGTGTTCTTTTCTACTGAACGGGCCACGTAGGAAAAGACTGATCGTGTCCTTTTGTGTAGTTTGTAAAGTACATTTAGTGGCTCGTAGACTGCTAACGACTAGAAAGAAACGGCGGAAACTTTTGACTTTTTTGGTATACCCTTCACCTTCTATTGCCATCTACGTTCATTTCACTCCCATCTCTTGAATATGTACTCACGTTACATGAATTTGTACTTCTTAATGTCGCGCTCTGTGGTATGAGTTCCAGGAAAAGTAACACAGTAGTGATGGCATCTCTACGTCTACGTACATTCGAAAAATATGCAGGCTCTTCTAGGCTGGCACTCAACAAAGAAATTGAGTGGTAAGTGGAAGTATTTACACATAAAAGTGTAGTGTATCCGATGTTTGGACGACTTGACTTCAAGGTACACAGGAATTGAGGCTACGGTTGGATTCATTACTCTTCGAATCTCTTCCACAAGTCACAGTTGTGTGAAGGCTCACATTTCTCAATATACCAACCATACATCTTTGATTGCATTCTCAATCGATTTGTCCCATTGACCATCGACCTGTTCCAATAATTTGACCGAATCTACTTCGTCTCTGCCCAGCTTAAGCCCATTATACAAATGAGGAAACATTCCTTCCCCGCCTCGAGGGCCACAAACTTCTGCTTTAGGATCTTCCCACCTGATAAGTTTTTCATCTTCAAGCCTATCATAAGGCAATCTTAGGACGTAGACAGGATTGTCCTCTGCGAAAAACCATTTGAGAGTGTTGTGCAGCTGGACGGAGGTAGAGAGATGGATGAAGCCCGAGTCCCGGTCGAGCGAGCTCACGGGCAGTTTTTCGGGAAGTTCTAAGGCGTCGAGAGGAACAGGCGATGAGGATGATACCAATTTGTATACATAACTTGGTTTCGACATGATTGTTGCTCAATGTTGCTCAAAGATGCAGGAATTCAAATAGACCAGAAGGTATCTTCCCACCCTGTGTCATCCTGTTCGTTTGAGAAAGGGATATCTCAATTTTCCAAAGTTTCTATAGCAACAGACTCTCGAAGACTTCAAAATGAACCAAGGGTCCACCACCCACGAACGAATCATTGATCTTCTACCGGAATACAACAATTCATACACTACTTTGACGTCTTCACTTTCCACCCTTCGCCTTCTTCCAGTCTTCGAAAGCCTTCATGAATTTTATCCGCAAAATGGAACCCTCTTATTCCAGAACAAAAAAATGATATGCACATGAATTCAGTGTACTTTTCAGAAGATGGCGCCACATACTTTTGTACTCGTCGCTGGCATATAGCTCTTTACCAGTCGGCGACATAGCGATCCCTTCAAACACTTTCGAATCCTTAAGAACTTCGCCAAAACCCTCAAAATCACCCCCCTTGTACTCAAATTGAACGCTGGAGTCTTCGGTTCTCTGCGCTCCTTCAGTAAACGTCCATGTTAAGAAGTTGGGCGAAGATTCGCCAATCGCTCTTCTGATGAAGTGTTTGATACGAGTCCGAACAGTGAAAGTATTAGCTCCATTCTTGATAACCACCTTAAATGTGACCGTGCTCTCCTCTGCATCAGATCCTGTTCTGAATTCAAGGACAGGTGGTTCGGTTGAGGGTGTGGGTGGAGCTCGGGATAACAAGGCATTTGGCTATTTTGATACGTTATATACGGAATCTGAGAAAACATAGTTCAGAAACTGACATCGAACCGAGGTGCTGCATAGACAGCAGTGACAGCACACAGTGAGAGGCAGGACCAAATGATGCTGAGGCGCATTGTGAGTAGGTCGCGGAAAAGTTTTGTGAAGGATGGGAAAGCAAGATAGGGATGCGAGTAAGTGGCCACAGATAGAGAGATAACGAGGAGTGGGACGGTAAATTCTTCGAGCCTTTTGACCAGCAAAAGGATGAGGGATGCTCGATGAAAATTGGGAGGAAACTAACCAGCGTTTGGAGGATCAGGGACACCAGCCTGCTTTTTTATCCTCAGCTGAGGATAACAATCTGGGCCCTGGCCGACGGGAAATGTTAACCTATGTTAAACCTAGCACAACCTATTTATCCAGCAAACCCCTTTCCCCTGCCCTCCCTTGCTTAAAATAAGCAGGTGTCAAACACGCAATGCGCAATGGACTTTGCTGCGAAGTCTTGGGGAACAAATCCTTTGGGCTTTCACCTCCTCACATCACCTCACATAACACCACCGCCGACGGCTCATCACGCCTTGAAAGTATAGAGAAAATACCGCAGAAGATTGTTGAAGGTATTAAAGTCCTCGAAACGAAATATGAAATAATGTTAGGTGTTGGCGAAAGCGGGATGGAGAAGGCTGGAAAAAGAGCGTAGTAAGCAGACCCGAGCTACGGCATAGGAGCTCTGCAATCGGGATTTTTCCAAAATTCACACGCTCAGATCCTTCCAGGATCCGACAGGCCCCCAGAATCTCCTGCAGAACCCCACCCGGCCTGACGCCCTAATTGACGCTATGATTTTGCCATGATTGACGCTATTTCGGACCAGGATCGTCACGTGAAATCGAAAAATTTTCCAAGATTTTCTTCAAAATTCAAATGTTGGTGTTCTTTAGTGCTGGTGCGCTGACTCCTGCCGACTCAAATGACGCTATTTTAGGACCAGAAAATCGTCAAAATCGGGCCCAAAATGACGCTATTTCGGGTGAGGTTCTGCAGGAGATTCTGGGGGCCTGATCCGACGCAACATCAACACCTCTGACACCATCCACCGTGGCCTTCAATGAGTTCACAGCTAAATTTTAAACTGTAAGGATATTACTTATAAGGATTGTATTTTCTTGGCTGTTGTGTCTCTACGCTTTATTCTTCATTGTGCATTGAATACCAACTTGAAGTATCGGTTCGGTTCTGACGAGGTCTTTATCACTCCAACAAATGAGATACTATTTCACTGGAACACAAAAATCCATACACCACCTCCACATCTCCATCTTCACATAATACCTCTCTTTTTTTTCCACTTTTTGAAAGCCTCCTGAAATTCACACCATAACTCGGATTTTTCTTTATCTAGATAAATTTGAGCACACAAATTTAATGTATTTAATAGAAGATATTCTACATACCTTTGTACTCGTTACTCATATATAGTCCTCCAGCACTTTTTGTTGTAGCAACGATCCCCCGAGTTGCTCCGGGGTGCGCAAGGAGCTCTCCGAAACCCTTGTAACCTTCCCCTTCAAACTCAAATCGAGTTCTGGATGGAGCGTCAGAGGTTGCAAACGACTGGTCCCCTCCTCCCGTGACTTTCCATTCCACAGAGGGATCCCAAGATGTTGTCGCAAAGGGATTCCAATATGATTCCAATTCAAGTGAAGTTCTGATCATGTGTTCAATAGGCGTGTTCAATTGAAAAATACGGTTTCACGGCTTTCTGGAATTTGTAATAAATTACTAAATATAGAAATTATTCTTCAAGACATTGTGCTCGAAGCCTTGAATGACCTTGACTCTCGTTCACTCTTGCCTTTACTCTTTTATATCTAAGAAAGAATTAGTGCAACATATCTCTGTTCTCTCGCTGGTCAGAGCGAATCAGTCGAGCAATGTGTTCATCAGAAAGACTTTTTGAATATGAATAATGGTGGCTTCGTGCGTGTTTGAATTGTTAATGCAATGAGTGCTGTTGACATTACTTGAACAGGATGCTCTCTTTCAGGCAATCGAGCATGTAGAGACTCAAGCTCAGGATTCTGATGGCAATGTTGCCGCACAAGCCTCTCTCCAAGGACGTTTTCAGATTTCTTCCCGCCAAACCACTCCTCCTCCTCCCATCACTCGCAATAAACGTCCAGCCTCTGAATCACCTCAAAAGCCACTTCCAAAACGCGGTGGAGGCCGTGGACGTGGGGCTGCCACCCATTCCAAAACTTCGACTACTGTAGGCACCAAAACACTGAAAGCAAAAGCAGTGATCCCGACTGATCCACCAAATGACGACGTGTTCACCAGCATACAATGGACTACTGCTGAACAAACCTCCTTGTTCACACATCTATTCAGTTCAGACAGTGATGATATCCATATGAAATGGTTGAAGAATAAGGATCGTGTGTATAAGAAGGTACTGTCACTGGTTTTTTGTATTGTCGTTCCTAAAGCCCACCTGTGAACAGTATCTTGAGGCCAATCCTTTGGTTGCTGAAAGGTTTACGATCAGCTCAGTTGCCAACAAGGTGACTGCAAGCATTTCGATGTACTCATACATTAGGGAGTATGAGGAATTCACAGGTGGTGGCGGGGATGCTGACCTTCAGTCCATGGTTCCTGAGTCAGATGAATGGCACAAGCAACGGCTTATTCTGGCTAAGCGAGGCAGGAAATCTATTGGTTCGCTCACTGTTAAAAAGTATCGTGACTGGAAGGATAATGGTTGGTATGATAGATTTGAAGAGCGGTGAGTATAAATATGCTCAACAATACTTTCATCATCTGATCAGCATGTTTTTATCCCTCGAAGGTTTGGTAAAAGCTCAAAGGTGGATCGCCCTACTGTTCGCAACTCTGTCGCACCAATATCACCAATCATTGATGATGATGATGATATTGACAACATCCACTGGCCACCTACACCTGGTCGTGAATCTCCTGCCGAAAGTATTCATTCAGATAGTGAGATTGAGAGGTCGGTTGCACTGACAACACCCACACCGAAGGCTGGAACATCCTGTTCAACTCTGGCTTCACAGGTTGTATCTGAGCCACGCTACCAGGCCCTAGCAACAACAAAATCATCAGCAAAGAAAAAAAGCTCCCTTGCCTCAGTGGACACCTTCGGAGCAATCAATACTTTTTTTGAATCGAAGGCAAAGTTGACCCAAGAGCAGTTGAGGAGATCCAAGACCGAGAGTGCAACCAGCGTGCAGAGCCAGCAGTTGCAGGAACTCCGAACCATTCTGAATTCTAATATTGACGAACTCACTCGTGAGATTGTCAATGAGAAGATTCGTAAAATTATTAGTAACTATTAGAATATAGGGTAAAAGTTATATGGGGAATAAATCATTGAATATCAGATCTCATTTACGTCGTCCCTCCTCCTTGATCCACTGATCAGTCTCGTACTGAGGAATATTGGCCTCTTGAGTAACATCCACCAGCCCAAAATGAATATCTCCAGCTGCAACTTCCACTGGTATAGTGTTATTGGAGGGGTCAAAGTCGGGAATATGCTCAGGAATGTCACCATAATCAATGCACATATTGTGAAGGATCAGCAGGGCTTCAATCACCTTGTACATTTCCTGTAGGTTTTTATGCTATCCCATCTCTTTCAGGGATAGAAAGCAGCCTTTGAGTTTGCCAAATGCATGTTCATGTTCAACTTTGATGCGCTCACTTGAGAGACGAACATTGAACTCCCGCATGCGTTGCTGTTTTGTTCGATCTACTGATGAAATTTCGGGTTCATCAAATGGTCGGATGGTCCATGGAGAAGATATGTAGCCTCGAAATCTAGAATAAGTATATAGATGACTTGTGGTACAATGTGATTATACCTTTATCGACTAAGATATATTCGCCGTCCTTGAAGTAATGATGACGATGGCGCCACAAGTGCGAGTACTTGAATATTTTGCTGTCCGTAACACATCCAGGCCAGCCCAAATCGAAAGATGTAAAACGACATTCATCGTCAACTGTAGCTTGAACATTTGTCTAGAAGGATAAACATTAATGAACAATTCAAGTGAGATCAGAGTCATTCCATACACTATGCTCCTTCTTACGGCTCAGAAACTCGTCAGGATTTTCCTCTGGAGCAGTGCTCATCCTTATTTGACATCCATCTCCACTTCCAACGCATTTTGGAAAGCCTGATCTTGCTTCGATCCATTGAGAAACTAATTTCTTCCGTTCATTGCCTAACCAGCCCACATTCTGACCATGAAGCTCACGTAACACCCTAGTAATTCGACGACAGTACAAGTGTACAGTACCCAGCCCAAGACCGAGTTTAGATGCCACATCAAATACATCTGAGCCACGTTGTCCATAGCGTATGAGAAAGGCTGCAAGTTGGTATTTGACATGCCGCTGTCTTTTTTTTGGTGAAAGAAAGATAGTATTGGGTGCAAGCATGAAAACTAGGCAGTCAAACATATCCCGACTCATCCTGATTGAGGATCATTGAACAAAACATAATGTAGTTATATGTATCAACGCACCGGTAATTACTGCGGAACCATCGATCGGGCTGCTGCAAGCTGGTTGGAAACCAGTCCTTGGACTTCGGGAACTGATTATATGGCCCTCGAGTACCATCGCCTTTGATCTCTAATGCTTCGTGAATCATGACTGCCGCAACAACCTCGAGCACTTCCGAATCTTCACATGGATCATCCAATGGTAGGTCGGCATCCTCAATGTTGTCCAGAGTGTCAGATGCAGCTAATATAGCACAAGCCATACTTAAGAGTACAGCCTGAGCCTGGGTCTTTGACATTATTGCATTGGCTGTAGAAGATAACGAACAAAACAGAAGGCAAAAAGAGCAACGGATAATTTCTATATTTAGTAATTTATTACAAATTCCAGAAAGCCGTGAAACCGTATTTTTTAATTGAACACGCCTAATGTTATAAGAAGTATCTCTGTGTCATGATATGACCACAATACATAGCACCCACACTACTTACGTACCGTTAGTCTCTCTTAATTGTTGACGTCTTCGTCATTTAGGTACAATTCTTATATTTCTTCGTACCTACTCAGAATACAATCTTCGTCGTTTAGGACTACTTCCGCGCCTTGCGCTGTGTTCGCGTCTGAGCCTGACACTACGTCAACTTGAAATGGACCAGAACCAGAACCAAAACCCTTGGGATCCGAATGCTGGATCAACAGCACCGTCGTCAGTTTCTTCCATTCCTCCTTCACCCTCACCAACATCATTGGATGATGTACTCAGAGCAGTACTGAGTGGACAGTCGGAAATGCGCAGAGAGCTGCAGAGTTTTCAGTCCACGGTGATCACAGAGTTTGTGAAATATGAAGGTCGGGTTCAGCAGGTAGAAGCACAGTTCTTAGAACTTCACCAGACAACCAAAGCACACTCGGAGGAGCTAAGCCATGTTCGCGGTGAATTGTCAAGTATCTCGGAACACTTGGTTACACCAACCAACCACGAGACGGCTATCCAGGCCCTACAAGCGGAGTTAACAGCCCTTCGAACCCAAATTTCATCAAACTCGACTGCATTAACAGTCTCCGGATGCCCTGCCCACAATCCTCGCATGCCAGCAGACTCGTCATATGATGGAAAGACCCAGGATGGTGCCGCGGAATTCATTCGGCGTATCAAAGTCCACTCGCAACAGGTCTTGTTCTCCAGCAACCGCGCCAAGATTCTCTTTGCTATGGGATATCTCACAGGCGAAGCATCGAAATGGGCAGACCTGTTTGTCGAAGACGCCGAGGATGCCGGCTCGAACTGGGATGAATGAAGAGCACTGTTCCTTCACCAGTTTGGGGATATCAACCCAGAGAATACCGCATCCTCGGAATTACGTGCACTGCGACAGAATTCCTCATCCCTCAGCCAACACATCTCTAACTTCCGCTCCATCTTCAACTGACTCTCGCCTGCAGACAAACAGACCAAACTAGTTCATGACATCCTCAAGGACTCGCTACGAGATGACATACAGAAGCACTTAGTGGGTTGGAGGGGGACTACAGCCAAGGAATTGGTGGATCGCCTAAACGAGATTGAACCGGACTTGAAGTGCTTACAACAACGCAAGTACATCCATTCCACTCAGTCTACCACTAATCCTTCTCCAATACCCACGCCAATTGCTACCTACACTCCTCCTCCACGTCGTGACCCTAACGCAATGGATGTGGACGCCCTTCAACGACTTCGCGAGGAGAAAGCCAAGCTGAGATGTAAGATCTGTGGTGGCATTGGGCATCTGGATGCTCACTGTAGTACTCGACATGTGGCTCGTGTGGAAACTTTGGTTAAAGAAGGGTTACTTCCTGCAGAAGATGCGAGACCGGGTTTTGTGTAAGGTCGACAGGGATGACCACACCCCACTCGACTAATTCATTCCATGTACTTTCGAAACTTGCTAATACATCCCTTGTTGATGATTCGGACTGTCCGGCACCTGTTAAGGGCCGTACCCCCTTGTCTGATTTCTCTCCGTTTGAGATTCCAATTTCATTAATGGTACATGGTACTGTGGTCTCTGCTACTGCTCAAGTGGTAAAGACATACACGATGGTGGATACTGGTGCAAGTGTACCACTAATTAATTCTCGGTTTATCCAGGAACACAAAATTCCGCTTACACAGAAGCGACGTCCAGTTCTTTTGCATACTGTGGATAACTCACAAGTGAAGTCAGGAATGGTCACTCATGATACGACAATGCAAATGGTTGTGGGAGATCACCGTGAGGATGTTCGTTCTGATGTAGCAGATATTGGAGACGACAACATCATTCTGGGTATATCTTGGCTGCGGAAACACCAGCCACAGATCGACTGGGCCCGCACTACAATCACATTCAACTCTGACTGGTGCAGGACATGCTGTCGTCGTCGCCGGAAGCATAAACCGATCCCGACTGCCAAGAAAGTAGTTCAGACCATCTCCGGTAGGGGCAAACCGACAAATACAACTGCTGGAGGACAAGCAATGCGAACCCGCACAGAGAGAAATCAAAACTTGAAGAGGTCAAAGACACAGAAAACTAGGCTGCGACGACATGAGAAAGCGGACGCAATCCGAGTAGCACGAGCAGCAATTCAAGATGCCTTACAGTGGACAGAGGGTGAGGGAATGGCAGGAACTAGCGATGGTCAGGTTTGTAGACCAGTCCTTACAGGAACGACAAGGGAAAGTGCATGCCCACGGGGACCTGAAAGAGGGGATCAAAGCTGGATTTTCGAACACTCTTATGATATCGACCTCGAAACAGCCTATGTGAAAGCGGGAAGGTCATTCTCACAGCAGTTGGCGGAGTCAGCCAGACCGACAGTGTCCCAAAGTACTGAGGACATGGTCCCCTCTGAATACCACGAGTTTCTTGACCGTTTTGACAAACGAGAATCGGATTGGTTACCAGCACACACTCCCCATGATTTGGCAATCGAATTGGAGGACGGTGCAGCATTACCTAAATCAGGCAAACTCTATCAGATGTCACCCGCAGAACTCAAAGCACTCAAAGAGTTTCTGGATGAAAACTTAGACAAGGGATATATCTGTCCATCACACGCACCATTAGGAGCTCCTGTTTTCTTTGTTAAGAAGAAAGATGGTGGTCTCAGACTGTGTGTAGACTTCAGGGCACTCAACACTATCACTAAGAAGGACTCTTACCCAATTCCGCTTACAGCAGACCCCTCATTGATCGTCTCAAGGCTGCAAACCTCTTTACCACACTCGACATGTGCTGGGGATATCATAATGTTCGCATACGAGAAGGCGATGAATGGAAAACATCCTTCCGCACGCGTTACGGACAATTTGAGTTCTTAGTTATGCCCTTTGGATTATCAAATGCCTCAGCAGCATTTCAGCGAATGGTCAACGAACTATTCCACGACTTAGTGGATGTTTCGGTGATTATCTACCTGGATGATATTATCATATTCTCCGAAGACACATCCAAACACGAGGAACATGTCCGTGAGGTCCTGCGCCGTCTTCGAGAAGCTGATCTATTCCTGAAACCTGAAAAATGCAAATTCCACGTGAAAGAGGTTGACTATTTGGGCTTAAAGATATCACCTGGGTGTGTTGGGATGGATCCTGTGAAGGTGGCGGGTATCACATCTTGGCCCCGCCACGTAAATCAATTCCTGGGATTTTGCAACTTCTATTGCCGCTTCATAGACAACTATGCCCACATATCACGCCCACTGGAACGCCTCAAAGCAAAAGATCAATTATTTGTCTGGGGTGATCGAGAGGAGGAAGCATTCATTACCCTTAAGCAAGCATTCACAACAGCACCAGTCCTGATGATGCCTGACACTTCAGCTCCATTTGTGGTTGAGACCGACGCATCCAACTTCGCCATGGGTGCAGTATTGTTACAGCAGGCATTGGATGGGGAGCTACACCCCGTGGCTTATTACTCTAAAGCAATGTCTCCGGCAGAGCGCAACTATGATATCTATGATAAGGAATTGTTGTCAGTCATTTGAGCACTTGAAGAATGGCGTCCATACCTCGAAGGATCACCACACAAGATCCGTGTCTTGTCAGACCACAGGAATCTGGAATACTTCATGTCAGCAAGAGATCTCAACCGAAGGCAAGCGCGGTGGAGTATCTTCCTGAACTGGTTCGACTTCATCATAGAGCATCGACCAGGACGTCTCAGTAATGGCCCTGATGGCCTCTCACGTCGACCAGATCACGAGGAAGGAAAGGAGCACGATAATAAGAACCAGGTGTTATTAGACAACAAGAGGGTATGGCGATGTTGTTGGGTAATGCTACAACCATATCAGTTTGTGGTAAAAGTAGGAGAGATAGCAGAAGTGGAGGATGATTCGAAAATCTTGGAACAGATTTGTGTAGCTTCTCCAAAGGACACCAAACTCGAGGCAGTGTTCAACAAGGAACACGCTGATGGGTTGATACAAAGGCGGCTCAAGGAGTGGGAAGTAATTGACGGAGTGGTCTATTTTCGGGGGTTAGTTTCAGTTCCCAATGACCCCGGCATTAAACACCGAATTTTAGAACTGTACCACGACTCAATTCCAGCGGGACACCCAGGGGAAGCAGCAACTCTGGCAGCAGTAATGCAAAACTATCGCTGGCCAAGGATGGCGGAATATGTCAAACAGTACGTTTCAGGCTGCAAGACATGTCAGCTGAACAAACCACGACGACAAAGGCCATTTGGGAAACTACAAACCACAGAAATTCCGGAAGGACCTTGTGTCAAGTCCATGCCTCGGGTCTCCATTCCGCCACTCGGTATTCCGAAGATCCACTGTTTATTGTAATCTCACTCTTATTGTTCTTTCTCGCTACACATTCCCTTTCATTCTAGTCCCTTCTTATTGTCTTTTACTTTACCCTGCAGGTACTACACGTATAGCTCCTAGTAGTTAGTCCAGTGCTCCGCACCGATGCGCCGATCTGTAGATATAAATACTGCTTGTACGCTACTGTAGTTCCTCAGTTTAATTATCAACTTAGATCTCCCTTCCCAACTTAGCTCTTCTCTAAGTCTTCAGGCTCATCGCCTTGAAGTACTCTCTACTCTACCTTAGAACTTAAACGTTCTTTGGTTCGCTCCTCGTCACCGGCATTACCGCCGCTCCGACCTGGCTGCTACTCAGCTCCTCCCTTCTATACTCTCGATCTCCGGGGACTAACGGCGTAACGGCGGTGTTGTTCATAACTTCACTACTGTCCCACTCGACCTCCGCACTTAGACATCTTGTGGCCTCTGGCACGGTTACACGGTGTACATGATCTTAACACCTTGGCAATTCATCACAGTCGACTTCATTGGTCCACTTCCGGAGTCCAATGGGTACGACTTCATCATGGTTGTCGTTGATTGCTTCTTGAAATGCGCGCATTTTCTACCCTGCAACTCCACAATAACGGTGGAAGGAGCAGCGGACCTGTTTATGAAACGTATCTGGTGTTTACACAGAATACCCCGAAAGGTCTTGTCGGACCGAGGCCCATTTCAAAATTCCTTACACGCATCTATGAACGCATGGGGATCAAACGGTCTTTGTCAACAGCATACCATGCACAAACAGATGGCCAGACAGAATGTGTAAACCAGGACCTGGAAATGTACCTTCAAATCTTCGTCAATTACTACCAAGACGACTGGTCCTGTTGGCTCCCATTTGCAGAATTTTGTCATAAAGTATGCAGCCCCTATCATTTTCCTTTTCTCACCGTCTCAACGCCTTTACTTGTACAATACATCATCCCATCACTGTCAAACCCCCATCGATTACTGATCCACCTGACCCATCTTCTCTTTCTACTGGCTTCCGCCACCTTCCTTGTTCCTAAACTGTACAGTATTACATCGTTGTTTCTCGCAGACCGGATTATGTATATATAGCCAACCCTCCACAGCCTGGTCCCTTATCTTGACCTCTCTGTCATTATCTGGGACCAGGTATGTGCTTACTTATTATTACCTATGACTACGATACTCAATATACCTCTGTCATTATCTGGGACCAGTTTGCCTCCGCTCTGCTTAGTCGCTCTGCCTCACTGACCTGCTTAGTCGCTCCGCCTTGCTGCCTTGCTTAGTAACTCCGCTTTCCTGCTCCGCTAATCACTCCGCCTCTGCCGCTTCGTGACATTAGGTCAAGATCCATTACTGCACTGACAGCCTACCGATAAGGTTGTCCTTGCAGGATCTATAGACACCACGTCTTCCCCAGTTCTGCCCGATTCTGAAACACCTGTTGCCAGTATAGACTGCTCCGCACT